CCCTGTCTCTGCAGGTGGCACTGAGCCTCTGTAGAGAAAGGGGGACCTAGCCAGGTGGAGTGTCCAGCCCAGGATCACAGAGAGAGGCAGGGCTGGCTAGACCATGCCTTAGGCTTAGAGCCAGAGTCTGATGGACTCTCAGGCAGGGAAGCAGGCAGGTAGGGGCCTGCAGAGAGTTTATGGGGTCCGCCCTGAACTCCCTGCCTCCCACCACTCAGCTCTTCTGCCGAGAGGTTAGGGGAGCAGGAAGAGCAGCCTTGGTCCTGGACTAAGAACCCATCCTGAGGCTGGAGGGGAGGCCACAAGGCATTCCCCACGGATCCGGACCCTGGGGCAGGCGGTCTCCAGCAGGGCCCCTGGAGCAGGGGCTGAGTCATGGCCTTATCTACTCAGAGGAGCATTTTCTGGACCGTCCTTCCGCAGGTCCTGTTATCAACCTGGGAAGCCTGGGCCAAGGGGTCAGACCAGAAGAGGACCGCTCCCTCCTAGTGTGAGCACTTTTACACATGCCTTTCCCACAGGGCTGTGCTACCCCTATGGCACCCAGGTGCTAGCTAGGAAAAGATGTCCCCCCTCCAGGTACGTGCAACCCTGCAGGACCGCAGGGAAGTGACCGCTCAGCAGGGCAACTTTGTACAGTGAGCAACCTGCACAACTGCACTCAGGGGACTAGCAGCCCCAGCTCCCTACACCTCTGCCTGGAAGGGGGCTCGGAGAAGGCAGGGCACGTACCTGAGAGTACTCAGCCCGTGGGAACCAAAGCTGGGCTGGCATCTGCCTGGGTCAGCCCAGGGGACAGCGAGAGGAGTGTGGGGGAAAGCAAAGAAGTGGAAGGGCAGACGGACCCCTCATGGTTGGGGGGCATGGTCTTATCTCGACTGCCACCCACCCCAAACGTCCCCCCATCCCCACACTGTCCAGAGGTCAAGCTTGGACTTCCTGTAAAGTCCTGCTCAGAGTGGAATCCTGTCCCCAGGCGCAGGTGGCCTTGCAGCAAAGCCACAGAAGCGGAGCCCAGAACAAAGGTCACCTCCGAAGCTGACTGAGCCCCTTTGTAATCGTTGCCCAAAGCGCCCCTGATCATCACTAAGAAGCTTCCTGACTCCTAATTTGGCAAAGATGCCCACTCCAGTAAACACCCTATGACGCCCCAATCAATCACATAACTCCCACCTTCCAGCAGGAATTTTCTTTGTCTTGAGGCTATAAAAATTGGCTATTAACCCACAAAAACTGTCGGCTTTCTCTGTTCTGTCAGGAGGTTGGCCCACTGCGCTCACAGGGCCCACTTTCTCTCTGCTCTTTGTTCTTAATAGACTCACTCCCTTCTGAAATGCTCTGTGTCTGGAAATTCTTTTCCAACCCGCGTTTGGACTGCCTCAACACATAGGAAAGGCTGTCTCACTCTCTCTGAGCCTCCACTCCCTCCTACAAATAGTGGGATAACAGCAGCTCCCACCCAGCCCCAAGAGCACTCCACTGGGGTCATCTTTACTGGGATTACTGTCTAGTGGAGCTGGGCAGTAGCTCAGGCATGGCCTCGCCTCACCCCACCCCTACGTGGCTCAGCTCCGCCTCGGGTGACCTCCAGGCTCTCCTGGCGTAGACAGAGCAAGACTGTCCTGCCAGCCTGCTTGCCCCCACCCCCGCCGAGTCCCAAGGCTGCCATAGCTCGACCCTGATTTTCCTCTCTGTGTCCACAAGGCAGATGCCATCACAGCTGATGCCCAGCCAGGGCAGTCTGGGGGTGGGCATAGGACCACACCGCCCTGTGTGCATATGCTGTGGCATAGGGAAGACCCCAGCCCTGCCCTTCATCAACTGTGTGGCCCTCGGCAAATCACATTGCCTCTCTGAGCCTTGATTGCCTCATCAATAAAAGGCAGAGAATCACAACTGCTATGGGGTAGGGTTAAGTGAGATATGGCACATAAAACACTCCGTAGTGCCTAGGACAAGTCAAAAAACATTTGCGAACACTATTGCCTTCTGCCAGGCGCCCCATGCCCAGCCAAGCCTGGGCTGAAGTAGGCATCATAATCCCCATTTAAGGATGAGAAAACAGATGCTGCACTGCTTGTGTTAAAAACAAGACAGCAGGAACGTCCCTGGTGGTCCAGTGGCTAAGACTCTACGATCCCAATGCAGGGGGCCCAGGTTTGATCCCTGGTCAGGGAGCTAGATCCCACATGCTGCAACCAAAGATCACACGTGCTGCAACTAAGACCTGGTGCAGGCAAATAAATAAATGTTAAAAAACAGGAACAAGACAGCAGGCCCAAGATGGAGTCACTGATGCTAAGCTCTCCGTCACCCAACTGAGACAACTTAATTACTGGCTCAGTTGGTAAAGAACCCACCTGCAATGCGGGAGGCCAGGGCTCGATCCCTGAGTCAGAAAGATCCCCTGGGGAAGGAAATGGCAACCCACTCCAGTATTCTTGCCTGGGAAATCCTGTGGACAGAGGAGCCTGGCGGTTTACACAGTCCGTGGGGTTGAAAGAGTCGAACATGACTTAGCACCTAAACCACCACCACCAATACAGCTCCAGCTCTCCTGGAAATTCTATCTTTTAAAGCAATCAATCTGGAATCACCTGACCAGCACTAGTGAGGTCATCTACTCCTGCTGTCCCCCCAAAATAAAGTGACTTTGCAGGGAATTCCTTGGCAGTCCAGTGGTTAGGACTCTGTGCTTTCACTGCTGAGGGCCCAGGTTCGATCCCTGGTCAGGGAAAGAAGATCCCAAGCCATGCGGCAAGGACAAAAGAATAAGGAGGAGAAAGTGACCTTGCAATAACCAACCCGCTTTTTCGCCTGAGTATAACTTTTGTGTCTGCTCCCTTCTGCCGATAAAAGTCTTAATCTGCACGACCCCTTGGAGCGCCTTTCTGTTAGCTGGATGGAATGCTGCCCGATTCATGACCCGTTGGATAAAGCTGACAAGATCTTTAAAATGTGTGCTGCTGAATTTTGGTTTTTAATACGTGCTAAGTGTCAACGCTCGTGCTCTTTGGTGACGTCCACGCCCTCACCCCTCATCCCTTCCGTGGATCTCCGTGGAGCTCAGGGTACCCACGCAGCAAGAGGATGGATCTTCTAGGGTGGCCGTGCCTGATTCCAGGAGCCTGGGCCGGCCATGGGGAGGAGCAGAGTGTGGATCTGGAGCAGGGGGGCCCAGAGCAGCCCTGGAAAGCTGGGTGGGGGGCTCCAGATAAGTCACTTCTACCCTCAGTCCCTGCTTTGGTAGACGGGGGTGGTCCTCACAGGCTGCTCTGTCTATAGCTGTAGAAAGAGCTCAAGGCAGCCATCTTTTCCCCCACAAGTGCTGCAGGGTCATTAGTCCTTCCCCTCCAGCCCAGGAGGTTCTAGAGATCGACCAGGGCATCTCTGGAGAGACGGTCTGCGGGGGAAGACCTGTAACAATCACTTCCCTGTCCAGGGCGCCCAGCACAGGGAGTTGTGATCATTTCAACCCAGTCCTGGGAGGCAGAAACAAACATATAGGAGGAGCAGATGAAAGGGGAGGTGCAGAGGCCCCGCAGCTGGATCGAGGGGGAAACTCACCTAGGGGGACACACCTAAGGAGAGGGTGTGAATCTCTGGCTGTGTTTTCTGGGGGGGAACATGTGAGTGTGAGTCAGGTCTCTTGCGGTGTGCTTCTGTGGCTGTTTAGGTGGGTGTGTCTGGGGGTAAGGATGTGTGTCTTGGGAAGATAGTGGGTATAACTGTGGGTGTCCAGTGGACCTGAGTGCTGATAGGCAGGGCAGATCGTGTAGACACCCCCTTTCCTTTCCTATGCTCAGAGCCACGGGAACTCCCAGCCTGGCCACCCCCTTCCCTCCTGGCCGCCCCTAGGGCAGAGGGTGTCCCGGGGAACTGCGACTGTCCTCGTGGGGCCATCTTGCCCAGTGGTCACTACTCTGGAAGGTCCAGGAGAGGTAAGAAGGGACCCTGGATGTACAGGGACCCCCGTTCACGAGAGCCTTTCTGGGCATGCCATCTGCTATGGGGCAGGGCGCTCCTTGGCAGACAGCTGTGGTTGGGGGTGCTGGGGGAGTTTAGGACTCCATCCAAGGGCAAGGCACCAGACTGCGAGCCCCACCAGCTCTCCTGGACACTCCACCCCCGGGGGCAAGCCCTGGTACCAGTCTCTGCCAACTTCCCCTTCCCTCCCCCCCTCCCCGCCCTCCCCCTCTAGCCTCTCTGCATCGCTCTTCTACTGTGGGTCTCTCTATTTATCCCCTCCTCCTCTGTTTGTCTTTACTGTAGCCCCTAAGTCTGACTCTCTGGGATGCTCGCTGTCCGTTAGAACCTGGCCCTCTCTTCGACTTACTGTGGCTCTAAATGTCTCCTGTCTGTCCCCCTGTCTTTCCCTGGCCCGCCGGCCGCCCCACCTCTGACCAGGTCGGGCCGCGACCACCCCGGCCCCCGTGACCCCAGGTTGGGATGGCTGGCGGAGGTTTTGGCGGGAGGGGTGGGGCGGGTTCTCTGGCCGGAGGCCGGCGGGCCCGGCCCCTGCGCCCCGCGCCGCCCCCGCCCGGCACTGGGCATGCCCCAGTCGCTTCTATATAAAGCGGCGCCGCTGGGGCCGGGCGCTGTGCCGCCGCCGCCGCCGAGTCCCGCCGGCTCCGCAGAGCTGCTACTGCGCTCCAGGTACCCCGGCTGCTGCCCGCGCCCCGGGGAGAGCCAGGGAGGGGGCCGCGGGGACAGGACCTTGAGCGCCCGCGACCCCCGGGGGGACCCGAGAGACTACCTGCACCCCGCCACCCCGCCTTTCCCAGGCAGCGCGTGCACACACGGGGGACCCGGTGCGTCCCGCCGCTGGAAGGGCTGAGTGCCAGGACCCCCAGCGCTGCTGCGCGCAACTCGGGATGTGTGAGCTCTGGGTGCGCCCCCTTGGGGTCCCGGTGTCAGAAATCCCTCTGTTTCCTTGGAGTGGGGGTGGGGCAGCCTTGGACACCTCGGAGCTCAGGCAGAAGAGGCACGGTGGCTGCCACCTCTTCACCCGCAGGGTCTTAGGGGCTGGACGCGGGGTGGAGACCCTGGCTGCCCTGATTCCCCGTCTGTCTCTCTCCCTCAGCCTCTCCCATCAGTCTCAGCCTCCCCACCTGTACGATGGTGAGTCTCCTCTCCTCCCTCCCCACAAAGCCTGAGACCCTAACCAGGGGGAGGACCCAGAGGGCAGCAGCGGGCACTAAAAGCTTAGCCCCGGCACGGCCTGTGCAGGCAGCTCAGACCCGAGACCAGCTGCGCGCACACCCCTCGACTCCCCACCATGCACCACGGGACAAGCAGCTGCTGGGGTGCCAGGCACTCCGTCTCTCCCCATCAGCCCCGGGAGGCGGGCGCTCTCCGTGCCCTTTGGCATTCATTCATTCTGCCACATTCATTATTGCCATGTGCCCGGCCCCATTCTAAGTTTGGGGACATAGCAGTGAACCCAGTGTGGGCTCTCAGGGAACGCAACTTCTAAGAAGAGGCACCAAAGCTCAGAAATTTGGCACCAGGAAACCGGGATTCAAGTCCAGGTTGGAGGCCCAGACCTCTGCCCTCCCGGCTGCCTGCAACAGGTTGTCTCTTGATGACCGAGGGGATTCTCTGGGTCCAAGCCATATCAGGACCCTGGGGATGGACAGGGAGGGCACCAGGCAACCCCAAGGCCCAAGGAAACCTCATGACTTGTCCGGGGAGGCCCAGCCTTTCCCCTGGAGGACAGGCCCACCTGTGTCCCCACCTGTTCACCCTGAGCCTCTGGGCAGGAGTCAGGACTCAGCCAGCCTCAGAGGGGCAGGGTATAAGATTTCATGCAAAGAGCACATTTCCATGACTCAGAACATCTGAAAAGAAGGACACCAGCTTTTTCCTTACTGGTGCCTGGCCCAAGGCTGGCCGCATAACAGATCCTCGGGCCTACTTGGGGAAGACGCTGGGCCAGGTTCACCTACATATTTAGGTCTTGGCAGAACTCCATGATGGTCTGTGGGTCACTGAGGCCAGAGAGAAGAAAACAGCCCAAGAGTGACTGCTTGGTTCATTCGTTCATTTATTCTTCAGTCATCAAATGCTGAGCAGCATGACAATGTGCCAGGGCTGTTTCAGGTGCCAGGGCTACCTTGATAAACAAAACAGGCAAAAATCTCTGCCCCTGTGAACCAGGCTGGGGCAGACCTGGGTGTGGGATGACAGGGCAGCGGTCCTGCTAGAAGCACATTGCTTTCTGCCCCCAGCCCTTGGGGCACCGCACGTACAGTTTGCAAAGCGCTCCCAGCTGCATGTTCCTGCTGACAGGCCTTCACCCTCCAATCCAACCCCATCCTCTTTGGTTCCCAGGCCTGGGTCTGCCCAAGGTTAGGAGACAGGGGTGCTTAGACCCTTGCCCACCCTGCCCAAGACCCACCACTTCTGCCCTGCTCAGCTCTCCCTGGATCCGCTGGGTCCCGAGTGGGACTGCCCCCTGGGCTCCAAGGACCTGGAGGAAGAGGAGGGCCCGTGGGGCGGGGGCTCTGGCCTGCCGCCCCCGGCCTGCTTCCCTGGTTCCTGGCGCCACGACGTGGGCCTGGACTGCAAGGGCTCCCCCGAGGGGGCAGACGCCCAGGCCTGGACTGTGTACTTCTACAGCCTCCTGCAGAGCTGTCTGCAGCAAGCGGGCCTCCCGGAGACCCAGGACCGCAGCCACGTGCCCCGCACAGGTGCCTGAGGGCTCCAGGGAGGTGGGGGGCACCCCCAGGGAGCGGGGGGCACCCTCAGCCCAGCCTGCTTTCTATCTCTGTCAAGGTCAGCCCCTTCCCCCCAGGCTCGGACTCGGTCTGAAGCCAGGAAGGTGAGGTCAGTCAAACTCCGGCAGGCAGGCGTTTCAAAGGGCAATTGGCACCAGTCAGGTCAGAGATCAAGGCTTCCCTCCCACCCCCATAAGATCCAGCCCTGGGATTTGCAATCCATGTTCAGTGGGGCCAACGCTTCTGTAGAAGTGTTTCGGGAGCTGCTGTGGAGGCAGCTAGCATTGGGACCCAAGACTTCTCCCCTGGTTTATCTGTTTTATGTATCAGGCAGCCACAGGAGAGCCTGTGTGGACAGAGACTTTACAGCCAGAATAGGTGAACATCACAGGCTTGGTCTCAGTGTAACAGACGGGGAAACTGGGGTGCAGCGACTCCTCGCCCTGCTGCACAGGGACCAAGGGCCGCCCAGAAAGTGTCAGAGCTCAGGCTAGAACCCAGGTCTCCAGGCATCCAGCCTCCAGAGTCTCTGGACCAGCTGCAGAGAGAAGGGGGCAACGTCACAGGGCGGGGGTGGGCAGGCAGCCTCCCCTTCCCTTTCCAGCCTCCTCTGTCCCTTTTACTGTTCTCATCCAATAACCGGGAAGGACCTGGGGGGCCCAAGGGTGAGGCCAGGGCTATGGGGGCAGGGAAAGGCAGGCAGAAAGACAGCAAGGGGAGCCCCTGGTGAGCTTGGCATCATTTTCTTCTCTCTCAAGGCTGCCCTGGGGCGGAGGTGACCTTGTGCATTCTGGGGTCCCCCAGCACCTTCCTGTCCGTGCTGCTGGAGGCTGGGGTCCAGAGCCCGGGTGAGTGTATGCCCAAGTTCCCCCACCCCCTCCTTCGGAAAGGGCAGCCCTGCCCTGGCCCGGCCACATCCCAAAATACCCGCCGACCCTGGCAACAGCCTGCATTCCACTGGACCAGCTGCCCTGCTCCGGAGGCGAGAGGGGGGAGTTCTGGGAGCAGCTGCCCCCTACGACCCAGGGGCCCAGGCGGGAGATGGAGGGCATGGGGGCATCAAGCCTTCCCTGGCCAGCAACCCTCCTCTCTCTGCCCACAGGAAACATGCTCCTTTGCCTGTCCCCCGCTTGGCTGACAAAGGTGCCAGCCCCGGGGCAGCCGGGTGAGGCAGCCCTGCTGGTCTCCAAGGCCGTGAGCTTCCACCCGGGGGGCCTGACATTCCTGGATGACTTTGTCCCCGCTCGTCGGGCCACCTACTTCCTGGCTGGCCTGGGGCTGGGGCCTGGCTGGGGTCGAGAGGCGGCTGAGCTCGCCCGCGACCTGACCTGCCCCACGGGAGCCTCAGCCGAGCTGGCCCGGCTGCTAGAGGACCGGCTGCTGACGAGGCGGCTGCTGGCTCAGCAGGGCAACGTGGCCGTGCCAGCTACCCTGGCTTTCACCTACAAGCCACCGGCACTGCTGCGGGGAGGGGATGCCAGCCCGGGACTACGGCTGGTGGAGCTGAATGGCAAAGAGGGCCAGGAGACACTGGTGAAGGAGGAAGTGGGGGCCTTTCTGCATTCCGAGGCCCTGGGTGATGCCCTGCAGGTAACCGGCTCCTGCCCCTGAGCCTGTGCAGATGCCAATGGGAGGGGACCCCCGGATGGTTACAGGTCGTGCCAGGAAGCCATCCCCAGCTTTGAGCCCCCACCCCCCCCCGCCCCATCTCTGTGATAACCACCTGCTTTCTTACCTCCGTGTCCTGACTGGCTCCTATGGTATGACTGTCCCACCCTGCAGGGGCCTGGGTGGTGAGGGTACCGCCTTCCCCTCCCTATTGCAGGTGGCCGTGAAGCTCAGTGGCTGGCGCTGGAGAGGGAGGCAGGCCTTGCGTCTGTATCCACGAGCTGAGCAGGGCCCAGTGGTGGACACAGTGCTGGCGTTGCTGGAGAAACTGGAAGAGGAGGAGAGTGTCCTGGTGGAGGCTGTCTGCCCACCTGCCCGGCTCCCCTTTCCAGGTGAGGGCCACCTGGGCCAGCCCAGGGTGGAGCTTGGCTCGGCCTCCCGGCTGCTCTGTGCTCAGGCCTCACCGCCTCTCCCCAGGCAGCCCTCCCCCTGGCCCTGAGCTGGCCCTGAGGATCTGTGCGGTGGTGTGTCGGACACAGGGTGACAGGCCCCTGCTGAGCAAGGTGAGCCTGGCTCGGATTCAGGTCACGGTCCTGCTGCCGCACCCCAGTTTACTTTCACTGAGCTTCTGGGGGACCCCTGGGCAGGGAGGACAAAATCTTGGGGGTGCGGACTCTGGTTGCCTCTGGAAGGCCTCCTGGTCTGACGCCGCTCTTTCCTCTTCCACCCATTAGACACCTGTTCCCCCCCCCCCACATCAATAGCTTTACCTGGTATGCCATGCTGGCTACCAGGGCCCAGGGCTGAATCCTCTTCCCCTGGAGCTCTTGCCCTCAGAAGAGACTGACCCAGGGTCCCTGATAGCCCTTAGGAGGGGTCTCCAAGCTGGGGAGTTCAGGGAGGCTTAGGGATCCTCCTAGGTACACAGCTCTGGGCCAAACTGAGAAGAGATTCAGCCTTGCCCTCAGGGAGCTTTAGGGTTGGGCCCACCAGGCTGGCATAACCCGCCCCCCCCCCCCCCCCCNCCCCCCCCAGCGCCGGAGCTGAGGACCTAGGAGCAAGCATACTTGGCACCCTTAGGGAATAGAGACCCTCAGCTGGGCCTGGACGCCTGGAGAGAATCCCGCAGGCGGACCAGATGCGCAGTGACGGGGAGAGTGGTTTGTGCAGTCTAAGTCACATTGGAGGACAGGACTTGTTGAATGTCTAGGGAGGAGTGTGGCCGGGATCGTGGCATGGGGGAGGTGTGCTGGGGGCCGGGGATGGTCCCAGGAGGGACCAGCGCCCTGAGTCGCCTCCCTGCGCAGGTGGTATGCAGCGTGGGCCGTGGGGACCGGCCTCTGCGACATCAGAGCTCCTTGCCCCGGACGCTGGAGGCGGCGCTGGCCCAGTGCGGCCTGGCGGAGGCTTCTCAGGCGGCAATCGTGCGGCAGCGCGTCAAGGCGGCGGCCGAGGCGGCGCTCGCCGCCGTGCTGACCCTGGAGGCCGGCCTGAGCGCTGAGCAGCGCGGAGGACGCCAGGTCCGAACTGACTTCCTCGGTGAGTGTGGGGCTTCCGGGGATGAGGACCGGCGGAGGTGGGGGGGCGGATCCCCCGGAGGCCCGAAGGCGGCCTGCACTGAGCCCGCGCGTCCCCCTGCCCGGCCCAGGGGTGGACTTCGCCTTGACGGTGGCCGGTCGTACGCTGACCCCCGTGGCCCTGGAGGTGAACGGAGGCCTGTGTCTGGAAGCATGTGGCGCGCTAGAGGGGCTATGGGCAGCGCAGCACCTGGGCCTGGCGGCCGAGGAGGCGGCGGCCGCGCCGCTGGTGGAGACGATGCTGCGGCGTTCGGCGCGCTGCCTCATGGAGGGAAAGCAGCTGCTGCTGCTCGGCGCGGGCGGCGTCAGCAAGAAGTTCGTGTGGGAGGCGGCGCGCGACTACGGGCTCAAGGTGGGCGGGGCTTTGAGCCCCGGTAGGCGTGGCGGAGGCGGGGCCCCGGGAGGTGTTGGCCTCGGGGCGGGGCCTATGTGGGGCGGTCCAGCTTGGGGCTTCCCAGGTGGAGCTAATGCTTAAAGAACTCGCCTGCCGGAGCAAGAGGTGTTAAGAGACTAGGGTTCCGATCCTTGGGTCGGGAGAATCCCCTGGAGGAGGGCACTGGAGTGCTCCACTCCAGTATTCTTGCCTGGACAGCCCCCATGGACAGGGTGCCTGGCAGGCTACGGTCCAGGGTCGCGGAGAGTCGGACACGACTGAACCCACTTAGCACAGAGCCTCAGCACAGGGGCGGGGCCTGTTGCTCCGCCCAGGTTAGAAATCTCAACTTTTTTTTTTGGCCCCTCGCTAAATTTTGTTCCCTCTGGGAGTAAAAGGCACCGCCTCGGGCCACTAGGCCACCAGTCCTAAGCCCTAACCCTGTTGGTTTCCCTACAAACCCAGGCCAGACTGTGCCTGCCAGTGGGAGTTGACCAATCCTTTCTGACACCGTCTGTCACCTAGATCACTCCCCCCACCAACCTCTCTCCTGCAACTGTCTTTCCTCGGGCTAAATCTTATCCCCTGGTGGCTCAGACAGAAAAGAATCCATCTGCAATGCTGGAGGCCTGGATTCGATCCCTGGGTTGGGAAGATCCCCTGGAGGAGGGTATGGCAACCCACTCCAATATTCTTGCCTGGAGAATTCCATGGACAGAGGAGCCTGGCAGGCTACAGTCCATGGGGTCGAACAGAGTCAGACACGACTGAGCGACTAAGCACACAGCAAATCTTACTGAGCTTCCAGTTTAAGCACTGCCTCCTCTAGGTTGCCTTCCGTCCCCTCTAGGCTGGATTAGGTGTCTCACCTCTGTACTTTTCACTCAGTCTCCATCAAACACGCTTTGAGCGCCTAGCGCTAGTGAACCCTTCCCCCCGAGGGCTAGGACCATATTCCAGGCCCCATCCCACTGCCCAATGCCCCACAGGAGCTGATCTCGGCGTGTCACTGTTCTGTGGTTTCTGCAGATACACCTGGTGGAGTCGGACCCCAACCACTTTGCATCCCAGCTGGTGCAGACCTTCATCCACTTCGACGTCACGGAGCACCGGCGGGATGAGGAGAACGCCCGGGTGCTGGCGGAGCTGGTGCGGGCACGCGGCCTGCAGCTCGATGGCTGCTTTTCCTACTGGGATGACTGCCTGGTGCTCACAGCCTTGCTCTGCCAGGAGCTGGGCCTGCCCTGCAACCCGCCGGCCGCCATGCGCCTGGCCAAGCAGAAGAGCCGCACCCAGCTGCACCTGTTGTGCCGCCGTGGCCCACCCTGGCCCGCGCCCTCCCTCTATGCTGTGCCCTGCTGTCCACTGGAGAGTGAGGCCGATGTGGACAGGGCTGTCCGCCAGGTGCCCCTGCCAGGCGTCATGAAGCTAGAGTTCGGGGCTGGCGCGGTGGGTGTGCGGCTGGTGAAGGATGCCTCGCAGTGCCGCGAGCACTTTTCCCGGATCGCCCGAGACCTGCAGGGCGAGGCTGACCACCCAGGCATTGGGTTGGGCTGGGGCAATGCCATGCTGCTGATGGAGTTCATCGAGGGCACGGAACATGATGTGGATCTGGTGGTGTTCGGCGGGCGACTGCTGGCTGCCTTCGTCTCTGACAACGGCCCCACGCGGCTGCCTGGCTTCACTGAGACCGCAGCCTGCATGCCCACTGGGCTGGCCCCAGAGCAGGAGGCACAGCTGGTGCAGGCCGCCTTCCGCTGTTGCCTGGGTTGCGGGCTGCTGGACGGGGTCTTCAACGTGGAGCTCAAGCTGACCGGGGCTGGGCCGCGGCTCATTGAGATCAACCCCCGCATGGGCGGCTTCTACCTGCGAGACTGGATCCTGGAGCTTTACGGTGTGGACCTGCTGCTGGCTGCGGCTATGGTGGCCTGTGGCCTGCGACCTGCCCTGCCCGCCCACCCCCGCGCCCGGGGCCACCTGGTGGGTGTCATGTGCCTGGTGTCCCAGCACCTGCAGGCGCTGAGTTCCACCGCCAGCCCCGAGACCCTGCAGGCTCTTCACGACCAGGGCCTGCTGCGCCTCAATCTGCTGGAGGAGGCCCTGGTGCCTGGCGAATACGAGGAGCCCTACTGCAGTGTGGCCTGTGCTGGGTCCAGCCCGGCCGAGGCCCGTCACCGCCTTCTGGGCCTCTGCCAGGGCCTGGGCATCGATGGGCCCCACTACCCCGTTGCCTACTTCTTGTCCCACTTCAAATAGCGCTGGGGCCAGAGGGCAGGGGCAAAGTGCTGGAGGGGGGTGCTGTGGTACCCTCTGCTCCTGGAGCTTTCCCAGCTTCTCTTCCTGCGGCCCTGCCCCACCCTGGGCTGGTCCACTCCAAGGCCCCAGGTCTTTCCAGAGCCCAGGGCTCTTTCGACACCTAGGCCTCCTGGACTTGAGGGCCACAAAAGAAAAGATCTGGTGAGCCGCCACCGGGCCTTCTTGCTGTCTCGAAGGCCTCCGTCCAGCCCCACGGCTGCCCAGGATGCTAGCCATAGAGAAGCAGCACCTGCACACACAGAGACACGCACCCTGCCCCCAGGTTGGTGGGAGTAGGCCCAAACTCAGCCCATCCTTCCCACCCCTCCAGATATGTTTCTCTTCCTGCTGCCTACAGAAGAGAGCCCAGCTGGCCCCTTGCCTTGAACAAATCCCAAGAAAACCTGAGACTAAAACCCTCATCCTCCTACTCTCACCCCCTCATTTAACAAATTCTAGATAGTTCTAGAGCCTGCTGACAACTTTTGGCAGTGCCCCGTCTGCCTTATTCGGCCTGAGCAGTAGAAGCAGGTGACCTGGGCTCAGCAGTAACCATCTCCCCTCCAGGCAGACACTATTGCCCCATTTTACAGATAAGGAAACAGGCTCAGAGAGGAAAAGCCACTGCTTCAGTGTCTTGCCACTGTGACTGAAGGGAGGAGGACAAGATGCACCATCCAGATTTCCACTTTTATCAAGCCGTACCCACCCACTCAGCTTCTTGGCCCCGCCCACCTCCTTACCCTCATTCATGTGTGGTCCTGGGACAGGTGAACATCCCTCCCATGCACTGTGCACCTTATCCGCCAAGCTCTGGTGCTTTGGCTGCAGGCACACCTAACTTGCATTGGCAGAGAAGACTACACTCCTGTCCTCATCCAGGGGAGGCTGCTCTAAGAACTCTTTCTCCGTGCAGCACGGGAGCTGTGGACAGCTCCACAAGCATCCCTCTCCAAATAAAGGCTTATGGACTAGTGACATGAGCAGAGTTTGGGCCAGGTTCTTGCCACTTGGACAACACTTCTCAAGCCTGGGTAGACAGGGGACATGGAAGGGGGAAGGAGAGGTAGTTAAGGGCTAGCTGTAGCATCTAAAAAGTCAAAGTGCTAGTCGCTCAGTAGCTGGCCAGGCTCCTCTGTCCATGGGATTCTCCAGGCAAGAATACTGGAGTGGGTTGCCATTTCCTTCTCCAGGGGATCTTTCCAACCCAGAGGATTGAACCTGGGTCTCCTGCTTTGCAGGCATATTCTTTACCATCTGAGCCACCAGGGAAGGATAAACTGCTACACTGCCAGGCCTCTCGGTTCACCACTGGCAAGGGGCATGCCAGGGGCACCCACACCAGGACCCAAACCTGAGGGTTTCCTGAAGGTGGAATTACAGCAAGGGCCAACCCCAACCAGATAACCCTTCTCCAGGCTGGAGACTGAATTGTGTCCATTTGAATTCATATCTAGCCTCCACGGTCCAACTGGAATGCACATCCAGACAGTTTCCAAACTGTCGGAAATCATTCAAGGTCTGATCTGGCCCAATTCACACCCCCAGAGTCCCATCCAACAAGAATCTGTGCCCACATCTAAACTGACAGACCGGGTTTGGCATGTTCATTATTGTAGTGTTGCCAAATACAATTTCTTGTGCCTGACGCACAGCCCAAGCCTGTATTTATGGGTGGTTTGATGAGACTCGAAGGAACCCATTTGGGGAGGAATCTGTGGCTCAGACAGTAAAGAATATCTCTGGAGTGTGGGTGAAAGTGAAAGCAAACTCGCTCAGTCCTGTCCGACTCTTTGCGACCCCATGGGCTGTAGCCTACCAGAGTCCTCAGTCTATGGCAATTTTCCAGGCAAGAGTACTGGAATGGGTTGCCATTTCTTTCTCCAGGGAATCTTCCCGAGCCAGGGATTGAACCCGGGTCTCCCACATTGCAGGCAGACGGTTTACCTCGGTCGGGAAGATCCCCTGGGGGAGGGCATGGCAACCCACTCCAGTATCACTTTCACTGGCAACAAAGCCCAGCAGTGAGCTGAGTACGGAGCAGTAAATGCTCTGACTTTCAAGTCCTCCAGCCGAGAGGCACACTAGCGAAGCCGTGATGCAGCTGCCGGCTCCCTTTCAGGGTCGAACAGAGATACCGGACCTGCCTCTCGCCGCCACCCAGACAACCCGGCAGCGCAGGGCTCCACCGGGGCTGGGAATTGTGTTTACGCTCAAACCTGCAAGCACTTCCGACTATCCACGCCCAAACTCGCCCCAGAACCAAAACAGTCGCCTCCCAGGAGGCTCTCGTCCGGTGCCGCCCCCGGGGAGCTGTGTTGGGAAGACGGAGCGGCCGGCCGAAACCTGGATCCGGCTGGATTCGGCATCTCAGCACTCTGGAACTACCACTCCCGAGGTGCCTTACGGCAGACGCCCCGCAGACTCGGGGGCGGGGAAATCTCTTGCGTCATAGGTGCGCGAGGCTGTCGCGGAGTGATGACGTAAGGCCCCCGGGCTCCCGGCCTGTCAGTCAGCGCGGAGCTGGGTACGCGCCGGTGGGCCCGCTGGGCCGGCGCAGCCATGGCGGCGGTGTTTGACCTGGACCTGGAGACAGAGGAAGGCAGCGAAGGCGAGGGCGAGCCAGAGCTCAGCCCCGCGGTGAGTGGGCCGCCCGGGCGCCGTTTGATCCCGGCTCGATCCCGTCGTTCAGGCGGTGGGATCGCCCGGGCACCCCGTAGCAGAGTGGGCTCGGCTCCCGCAGACGCTGGTTTGTCTCAGATCCCAGCCACTGTTAAGATCTGACCCTCCCCACACCCCGATCTATCCTGCACGCTCCCGGCCCTTCCCCTGCGTCTCCCTATCCTGCCCTCGCCTGTCCTCCCCAGTCCTGGTCCATCGCCTGTCGGCTCCGATTCCTGACCCTCTCTTCTGGGCTAAGCAGTCCAGCTTTGGGGAGAGGGAGCCTGGCACCTCCCTTGGCTCTTAACCCCTCGGTTTCTCACAGGACGCGTGTCCTCTCGCGGAGTTGAGGGCGGCTGGCCTAGAGTGAGTGAGGGTCGTGTTGGGGGAGGAGGGAATGGGCTGGGGAAGGGGACCTGAGGAGCGCAGGAGCTCATTGCCCCCGTTAACCTCCTGTGTCTGCAGGCCTGTGGGACACTATGAGGAGGTGGAGCTGACTGAGAGCAGTGTGAACCCGGGCCCTGAGCGCATCGGTCCCCACTGCTTTGAGCTGCTGCGTGTGCTGGGCAAGGGGAACTATGGCAAGGTACTGGCTCTCCTCCTTCGTGACTGGCCTCATAGCCTCAGTTTTGATGCACCAAAGGGTCTCAGAACTAATTAGACTTGTAGGGACTACCCTGGTGGTCCAGTGGTTAAGACTCTGCACTTCCAGTACAGGGGTGCAGGTTCTTTCCCTGGCCGGGAAACTAAGATCCCACCTGTGGAGCTGCCAAAACATTAAAAAAATAAAATCAGACGTAAATCAGCGGAGCCTCTGATTGAGCTCAGAGGGAAGGAAGGAAGAGCAAATCCTCTCAGAACTGGACTTGAAATCTTTACTGCCCCACCCCTGGGTGGGCCTAGGCTTTCTTGGTCCCAGTACCAGAGCTTCAGGGTGGAGCTTTTTGAAGATAGGTATGGAGAGGGAGGTTGATCCTGTCTCCCCTGCCCTACAGGTGTTCCAGGTGCGAAAGGTACAGGGCAGCAATCTGGGCAAAATATATGCCATGAAAGTCCTGAGGAAGGTGAGTCATTCATTTTGTCTACAGCTCATCACTGAGTGACTGCCATTCCCAGTGCTCTCTGTTGGGCTTTTCAGGGACAGCAGTGAATGTGGGAGAGGAGACGGTCACTGTCTTGAACATTTGCTTGTTTATTGTCAATTTCGATTATGTTGTTTTGCTGCACTTCTCAACTGTGGGCCCTATGGCCTCCCAGGGGACATTTAGCAATGTCTGTGTACATTTTTGAGTCATGACTAGAGGGGGGATGCTACTGGTACCCAGTGGGTTGAGGCCAGGGATTCTGCTAAAGATCCTGCAGTGCAAAGATAGCCCCCCACCACAAAGAATCGTCTGCCCCAAACATCATGAGTGCAGAGGTTGAGAAACATCATGTCGTTCAGTCGCAAAGTCGTGTCCGTATGGGTTCTGCTTCTTGGAAGAACTGACCCACTGGAAAAGACACTGATGCTGGGAAAGATTGAAGGCAGGAGGAGAAGGAGACAACAGAGGATGAGACGGTTGGATGGCATCACCGACTCGATGGACATGAGTTTGAGCAAGCTCCAGGAGTTGGTGATGGACAGGGAAGCCTGGCGTGCTGTAGTCCATGGGGTCGCAAAGAGACGGACATGACTGAGTGACTGAACTGAACTGAAGTCATGTCTGACTCTTTGTGACTCCATGGACTGCAGCATGCCAGGCTCCTCTGTCTTCCACTCTCTCCCGGAGGCTGCTCAAACTCTTGTCCATTGAGTCAGTAATGCTGTCTAACTACCTCATCCTCTGCTACCCCCTTCCCCTTTTGCCCTCATTCTTTCCCAGCATCAGGGTCTTTTCCAATGAGTTGGTTCTTCACATCAGATAGCCATGCTACTAGGATAAACCAGTCCCTGGAAAGCATGGTTGCTGATAGCAGTAGACTGTGGAGAAATATAGCGGGGTGATAGAGGCTGGCCAGGGAGGGTCATGACTGCAGGGGCTGAGGGAGTCCTGGGCACCCACCTTCTAACCCATCCCTGCCTCTGCAGGCCAAAATTGTGCGCAACGCCAAGGACACGGCACACACGAGGGCTGAGCGGAACATTCTGGAGTCGGTGAAGCACCCCTTCATTGTGGAACTGGCCTACGCCTTCCAGACTGGCGGCAAACTTTACCTCATCCTTGAGTGCCTCAGCGGTACGAACGGGGACGCAGCCGGGGAGCGGGCAAGGCCAGAGAACCAGTGCAGGGAGCTCTGGCGGGGAACTGGGAGAGATGTGGGGAGCAGAATGGCGGGGGGCCCCCACCTCATCCATCCCTCCATCCATCCATTCATGCATGCATACATTCATTTATTCAGCAAACGTCTGTCCAGAGCCTCTTGTGTTCCTCCCCTGTGTTGGGGTGAATGGGAATGGTGGGAGTTGGTAGAAATGTCCAGAGGGTTGTTCTGTCCATTTCCACTATGACTCCGTCATGTCCTGGTCCTCTCTTCTGTGTGCCTTGCATCCAGTTAGACCCCAGTCCAGGTGGCTTATTCTCTACAGTGTCCATCCTCTCTGCTCTCTCGGGGGGAGGGGAGGAATCCCAGTGCTTTCTTCACTGGCCTCCAAGGCTCCAGCTCACTCCCTTCCTAGTGTCTTCTCCACGAATCCCAGGGTTGGCATCTCAGAGCACGGGATTGTCCCCACCCTCCTACCCAGAGCTCCGTGCCTCCCCGTACCTGCCTGGATGGCCTCCTTGGGCCCGGTGTCTCCTGCTTGCCGGGAAGTGATCGGGGCCTGTTCTTCCTGCTGACCCCAGCTGTACCCACGAACCCCGGGGGCTTCATTCTCTGCATGCCATCCCTGCATGCCCTTAAGTCTCACCGCTGCCATGGACTTTCTCTGTCCGCTCACGTGGGGCTGGATTGTGTCCGCCTGCCCCCTTGGTGAGGGTTTTGGGGTTAGGCTCTTGGAGCCGTAGCCTCGGGCTGGCGTATCCGAGCATCCGTGTGCGCGTCCGTCTCCCCATTAGACTGAGCGCCCTGAGGGCTGTGGCTGGGTCTCTTCATCTCTGTCCCCAGCTTCACCCCACACAGGGCCGGGCACCGAGTAGGCGTCGGTAGATGTTTGCTGAATTGAATTGAATCCCCACGGCAGCTCTGGGAGGCAGGTAGGGCAGGAATTCCGAGCCCCACTCTCCCCGAGAACAAACCGACACTCGGCGAGCAGAGGAGCTTGGTCCCGGCACGCAGCTGCTAACGTGTTTGTGTCACAGGCGGTGAGCTTTTCACGCACCTGGAGCGGGAAGGCATCTTCCTAGAAGACACGGCCTGGTGGGTGTTACCTCTTGCCTCTCTCCTGAGGGGGTCCAGGGCCTGGGCCTGGCTCCAGCCCCACCCTGGCCTTCACTCTGTCCTGTCCCTGCAGTTTCTACCTGTCAGAGATCACACTGGCCCTGGGCCATCTCCACTCCCAAGGCATCATCTACCGGGACCTCAAACCTGAAAACATCATGCTCAACAGCCAGGGTGCGCAGCTGTGGGGAGGGTTGAGCCCCATGGAGGGCAGCAGGGCTGGGCCCTGACCCTCTAACATTTTCCCTCAGGCCACATCAAACTGACGGACTTCGGCCTCTGCAAGGAGTCGATCCACGAGGGCGCCGTGACCCACACCTTCTGCGGCACCATCGAGTACATGTAAGTGGCCTCCGGCGGGGCCCAGGGGCGGGCAGCGCAGTCAGGCAGGGCTTGGTCTGACTGGCGGTTCCACCTGGCCCCCAGGGCCCCTGAGATTCTGGTGCGCAGTGGCCACAACCGGGCGGTGGACTGGTGGAGCTTGGGGGCCCTGATGTACGACATGCTCACTGGATCGGCAAGTCCAGCCTCCTCGGGAGGGTGGGCGTCAGGGCGGGAGGAGGGGCCCCTCCCGGGGCAGGGGCGGCCAGTGGGAGGCCTGCAAGGCGCCTCTCACCCTCTGCCTTCTCCAGCCGCCCTTCACTGCAGAGAATCGGAAGAAAACCATGGACAAGATCATCAGAGGGAAGCTGGAGCTGCCCCCCTACCTCACCCCGGACGCTCGGGATCTTGTCAAAAAGGTGGGTTCCCTCCTGCCCCCGGTCCTGCCCCATCTTCTCTCCCAGGCCCTGCATGCGTGCCTGAACCTCCCTGGGTTGGGGTTGCTTTACCCCCCACCCCGCTGACACACACACACCAAACACTGTACGTTTGGAAAGAGAGCACTTGCTATGGGGTCCGAGACGTCAGCTGTCATACAGATCAGCTGCCAATCCTGGACAAGTCTCTGCGCGTGCGTGCTAAGTTGCTTTGGTCATGTCTGACTCTTTGCAACCCCATGGACTGTAGCCTGCCAGGCTCCTCTGTCCGTGGGATTCTCCAGGCAAGAATACTGAAGTGGGTTGCCATGCCCGAGTCCTAATCAGTGAGACTAGCTGCTCTCCTCAAAAAGGCGGGGATCGAGGTTGGGAGGGCAGACACCCCATCCAGATTGTACCCCCATGAATTTGCCCTTGGGGCGATGCCAGCAACCAGACAGCTTTGCAAAGGCTTCGTGGAGAAGGGGGTGCTTTTGGACCAAACCTTGGAAATCCTGAGGGTGTCAGTAGGGAGACCATACTCCAGAGCCCCCACCACAACCCCCAACCCCTGTGTCACTTTTCCCCTCCCCCGGGCCCATCTCAGCACACTTGGTCCGTAACTCTGCCCGAGACCCTGACCCTCTACCTTTGTCCTGTAGTTTCTGAAGAGGAATCCTAACCAGCGGATTGGAGGGGGCCCCGGGGATGCTGCTGATGTGCAGGTGAAACCATCGTGAGGGGGCATGGCTGAGCTCCCGGGGTGCCTGGGTGCAGCGGGCGGGGCCTCAGGGCAGAGGGTGTTTCTGAGGGAGCCAGGGTTTGAAATGTTGGCATGTTTCTGGGCACTCTACTCACAGAGGCACCCCTTCTTCCGGCACGTTAATTGGGACGACCTCCTGGCCCGCCGTGTGGACCCCCCTTTCCGGCCTTCCCTGGTGAGTGGAGGCCCCACTGGCCTAGGGGTGGGTGGGGGCCCCTTTCCTGGATGCCCCTCACCCTCGCTCCCGGGTGCCCACAGCAGTCAGAGGAGGATGTGAGTCAGTTTGACTCCCACTTCACGAGGCAGACGCCGGTGGACAGTCCAGACGATACGACGCTGAGTGAGAGTGCCAACCAGGCCTTCCTGGTGAGGTCGGGGGCCTGAGGGCCGGGGCCGGGGCCGGGCCGGGGCCAGGGCGCCACTGACCCTGGGCGTCGCCTGGCCCGGCCTCTGCCCCAGGGCTTCACGTACGTGGCGCCCTCGGTCCTGGACAGCATCAAGGAGGGCTTCTCCTTCCAGCCCAAGCTGCGCTCCCCCAGGCGCCTCAACAGCAGCCCCCGGACCCCCATCAGGTACCGTGGGGGCGCGGCCGGCTCCAGCTGTGGCTGTGCCGCCAACCCCAGGGCCGCCCTGGCCGTCTCGTGACCAGACTCAGCCTCCGCTTGTTCGTCTGCTGCGGGGACTCCTGTGGGTGGGCAGGTGACCACACAGCCTGAGCTCCAGGCGGGGGAGCAAGGGGGGAAAGTCGCCTCTCCTGACCCCGGGCCAGAAGACACTGATTTGGCCTACTAAGAGAATGGGTGGGGACGCGGGCGGCAGGACGCTGGGCCAGTTCCAGAGACCCGGGGCTGTGCCTCGAGGTGCAGGAGTGACTGGTGTGAGTGGGTCTCGGTTGGGGTGGCCGTACCCCAGAATCATGACCACCAAGGGCTGCAGGCTGTGACTGCCGGTCGAGGGGCCGCCCACCTGGCCTCCTGCAGTTGAGCTATGCCCTTGGAGAATTAAAAGTATCAAATCATGGCACCGACCTGGCTCTTCCTTGGTTTCCGGGGCAGAGGTGGTGCCCGGACGAATCCCAGCTTAGGGATGGGAAGGGTCATGACAGGACCACAGATCCATGGAGCTGGAGGGATTTTATTTCCGTTGATTGCCCAGAGCCCCTGGGGGATGAATGGCCTTGCTGGAGGGGCTGGGGATACGCAGACTTGGGAACAGAACTACGGGGGGAGGGGCCTGGGGCAGGCGTGACAGTCCGAGGCTCTCCAAGCGGGGGTGACCTGAGTCCAGGGCAGCTGTGTCCAGCTGCGGCAGCTCGGAAGCAGAGGGACGGTGGCTGGCGTGTGGCTGCAGGGCCGTGCCTACAGCGCGGTGACGTGGAGGCCCTGGCCGCCGGCTGCCCGGGAGCTGTCATCCCAGGCTGCGCTCCCAGCGAAGGCGTGCAGGTCACTCAGCAGGGCCTCGGCACTGCCCCCCGAGCCCGCTGGCCCCTGGCAGCCGAGGCCCAGGCCACCCTCCGCGTCATCGTCGCGCGCTGCCCCGGCCGGCTCGGGGGCCTGTGGCGGGCTGGGCCCCTCTCCCCGCTGCTCCTCTTCCTGGGATCTGGGCTCCTTTTGGCCACTGACCAGATCGTAGTCGTCTTCCACGTCCGGCTCGTCCTCCTGCTGCTCTGGGTCCTCATCTGGTGAGCCCAGCTCGGCCCGGAGCCAGCGGCCTGGCGGGCTGGCCCAGAGCAGGCGGCGAGTGCGGCCCCAGAGCGCGGCGCCCAGGCGAGCCGGGTGGTAGTAGCCCCCTGAGTCCCGGCTAAGGCGGCGCCAGGCCAGTGCCAGGCCAGCGGCCAGCAGCAGAAGCAGCAGCAGCAGGACAACGATGACTGAGGAGTTGGAGTCCCTGGCGCTGCCGCCCGAGCCCAGGGCCCCGGGCAGGGCCAGCAGCGTCCAGAGCCCTAGGGCGCAGGGCAGGTCCTGTGGGGAGACGGGCAGAGGCTCACTGCTTGGGTTGGCTGTCTCTTGGGCAAGTTTGAAAAGCCCAAGTGCTTCCTCAGTCATGAAGGCCTGTCCTGGCTCTGCGACAGCCGGCCACCCGTGCCCCACTGCCTCCCACTGCACCACAGGAGCCTGCTCCTGCCTGGGGCCGGTGCCCTGGCGGCACCTTCAGTCTGGAACACACCATACCCCTGAGAGCCCCCCGGCTCCCTGCTTGCCCTGGCTCAGGGTGCCTTCAGTCAGGCCTCACCTCCGTGGATGCCTACCCTGACATTCACCCCTGTGGCCCAGCGCTGTTCACCCACCCCTCCCCAACACGGGGATCGCTCTGCTGTGTGCCATGCTTATCGTTCTATCTTCCTACCAGGAAAACAAGGATCTTTTTGGCTTAAGCACCTAAACGACTCCTAGCCCAGAGTAGGGGCTCAAGAAATATTGGTTGAGTGTGTTAAGACTCTGCCCCCACTCCCCCGGGAGGTGGGGGGATGGAAGGGAAGGAAGGCAAGGCTGGCTCTTCCTGAGGCCCAGGAGGGAGGCACCCAACCCGAGGCAACTCTTTCCTTCCATTTGTCCAAGTCCCAGGACGGGGGTCACTGAGCCCCCTCTTCCTGCCAGCTGTGGGACTGCCCCAGCTGCAGCGTTTCCGTTCGACTGCGTCCCTGGGGGCCTCAGGCTTGCAGGGCCAGGGGCTGGGGAGGCGAGTGCAGCTGCCGGAGGAAGCCTGCGGTCGGAACAAGGCAGGTGGGGGGTGTGAGGGGGAGGGGTGCTGAGGTGCAGGCAGGCCTTTCCCCACCCAGCTGCCTGCCTGCCTGGCTCCTGGGATGCAGTCCAGACGGTGCGCGTGTCCCAGGCTCCGGAGCAGATCAGGTGAGAGTCCCTCTGGGGGGATCTTGGGGGCGGTGGTTGGGTACACAGTGGGGCGCTGAGGGCCACCCCCTGAATCCCAGGGAGGCCCAGGTCTAAGGTGAGGTGAGAGAGAGGCCCAGTCTCCGCCCCATGTTTGTCCCGCCCGGGTCACCCTACCTGACTGCTCAGTGTCCCCAGGCCTGTGGGGGTCCTTCCTTAGCTCCCCGGGGGCCCAGACGGTCCAGCCCTGACCTCCTGCAGCCCCTGTCCCCAGGACGCAGTCAGCCCCATGCTCACCATCAGGCCGTCGCCTCTCAGCGCTGGGTTCCCACCTCCAGCTCTGGCTGTGTCGAGTGCGAAATGAGAGCAGCGACGGCAGCTGGGGTTCATCGGCACTTCCGCTTCCTGCCCAGAACACCCTGCCCGGCCCTCCCACACGGGACCCCGGCGGGCCCCTGGGGCCTCTCAGGACCACCCCGATTCACAGCAGATCCTCAGCGGCCTCTCCTCCTGCCAGGCTGGGGCCATGCGGCCTGTGGCCTGTGGCCTGGCCTCCGAGAGGAGGAGGAACTGGGCATCCGGCTCAAAGCAGGGCAGGCCCTGGAGGCATCCGCAGGGCTTCTGCCTCCGTTTTCCTACCTGACAGATGTCAGGGAAAACGGTGGGGGGGATCTCAGGGCCCCCTCTCTCATGTCTGTGAGCCCTGGGGGTGTCCCGTGTCCCCAGGTGCCCAAGCTTCCTTTCCCAACCCCACCCTTGTAGCAGAAGGGCCAGCCTGGCTTTTTAGAAACAGCATTTTATTTGGAATGAAAATATAGAGCCCAACCCTCCTGCTTCCTCAGAGCAGGGAGCAGGAGGGCTGGCTGGAGGCGGGGGAGGTGGTCCCTCACAATAGAAGTGCTCCTTGGTACAAAAATCCTCCAACAGTAACGCTGACCAAAGCCCAAAGCCTGGCAGTGGCTCCAGCCTGGGCCCGCGGGAGGGCCCCCCCTGAACCTGCCCCAGAAGCCCTCAGCAGGGGCAGGGGGGCAGCCCGCCCGCAGTCGGTGTGACAGAGGCTGAGTGAGACGGGGGTGGGGGAGGAGGTGACAGGGAGCAGTGTCCGCGGGCCGGGGACCTAGGCATCTCCATTCTCTATGCGGCCCAGCTGCTCCTCCAGGCGGCCGATGCGCACGCCCTGCTCCTGGACCAGCGCTCTCAGTGTCTGCAGCTCCTGCATCACCTCCTCCAGCTTCCCAGCCTCCTGCGGGGACACCAGCAAGGGGCCCAGCGTTGCAGGGCCGCAGCCCTCCCTACATCTACTACGGGGCAGGGGCCCGGGGCCCAGAGAGGGCAGTGAATGGTTTGGGCAGGCACAGCAGACCTGGGCAACACCACCCCGCGCCAAGGGGCACATACCCCGGCTCCGGCGAGGCTGCCGCTGAGCGCGGCGATGTTGGTGGAGGCCGTAGGTGCAGAGGGCCCCGGGCGGGGGGTACCAGGGGCCGCGGCGGGCCGGCTGTCCGACAACACGTTGCGCCGGTTGACCTTCAGGTCCCGCTGCTTACTGGGCACGTAGGCCTCCCGCAGGGAGATGAGGATGGGGCTGGCGTCCCGCCCGCTCACCCACTCCTCTGCCTCCAGGGCTGCCTCGGGCCCGGCCGTGTCTGGATACAGATCATCCTGAAAGAGGTCCGACTGCCCCGGGGGCGGCGGAGGGAGGCCTGGGTCAGCTGGGGGCCCACCTGCAGGGTCCTCTGGACCCTGAGCAGACACCTCCTTGCCACTCTTCTGACCTCCAGGCTGGCAGCCCATCAACCCCTCTTCCAATGGCCTGACCCCAGTGACCTTTCTAAAGCTCCAATCTGTCCTTTCACTTCCCTTCTGGATGCCACTAACAGCTCCCTCTGAAGACTCCTCCCACCTCCCCAAGCAGGGGCCAGCTATGTGCTTTATGGGACTCCGGGAGCCACGTCAGGGCCCTGTGGATTGTGAACTGGGCCAGGCCCTGTTCCCTGGATGGGCTTGGCACGCTATACAGCACTCAGTTAACGCTGGCTGCAGAGATATGGAGCTCGTTCACGGCTCTCAGCTGGGGCCCCGAGGCCAAGCCACACGTGGCTGAACCCTCGCCTGCTGGGAGCCTCCCCTGCAGCCAGACTCCTGGCTCTCATCGCTCCCACCTCCGTGCCTTCACTTGGCTTACCACCCACCCCTCATGGAGATCGTACCCCAGCCAGGAGGCTGCCCCGCGTCCGTCCAGAGTAAGGCCTCAGCTCACCCTGTGTCTCATCGCTGCCTGCCCCGGTGGGGCACACTGGCGTCCATGCGGCCCACTGACTACACTCGCACTTAGCCATGTCCCACTCGCAGGCCTCACCTCGGTCACCCCCGTGTGGTCTGTCTGCTAGAGAAGGGAGCAGGTGGGCAGGGAACAAGGCGGCCTCACCTTTCTTGGCACAGTCATGACGATGGGCTCACACTTGCGCTCGTGCAGTTTGTAGAACCTGGGAAAGGGTGCGGAGGGAGGACCCGTGGGTGGAACCTACCCCTCTACCAGCTCTCCTGGCTCCCTCTGCTCTCCGTATCGTCCTTCCCCTGGGCCCTCCCACGGCCTGATCCCTACTCCGGAGCCTCTGTGGGCCAGCTCCTGTTTCTGAGCAGCCTCCTGTGATCTGACCTTTCACCCTGGGTGCCTAGGGTCCAGCTCCCGCCCCCACCCCTATCCCCCTACAGCTGGCCTCCTCAGCGGCCCTTCTTACCGGGCAATCTCACACTTGCTGACCTCCAAGCCCCTCTTGGGCATGCTCCCCATGCCCCTCTGGGGCTCTTTGCTGGTGAATGTATTCAGGAAGTGGATGTAGGGGGGCTCGTCCGTGATCTCAAAGTACCGGATGCTGGAGTCGCCCTGGAGGGCGGGAGGGGCAGGGGTCAGCACCAGGGCCTGCCTCTCTTCTCTACCACCCCACCCCCACCCTGCCCGGCCCCACCTTGCCGCAGACGTAGACCACGTTGGTATCAGGGTCGTAGAAGGGTAACAGAGCTCCGTTGCTAGAGTCCAACTCTTGCAGGGCCATGGGCTCCCCGAAGTTTTCCTGGCACATGGGTTGAGGGGCAATCGGGCCAGGTCAGAACCTGCTTCCTCCCCTCACCATCCCAGCCCTGCTTCAACACTGGCCCTGACCAGCCTCACATGCCAGCCAGCACTGCCCCTAACACTCTCACCCTCTGCCCACACATTGTGCCCTACTGGGCCCCGCTGGCTCCCCTCCACCCCGTGGTCCCAGTTTTCCCTGCCTCTTCCAGGCCTTCAGACAACTTGCAGGCCACCAACCAGGTGCTGAGAAAGTCCCCAGGGAGCCAGGCTGCAGGGCAGCACTAGCCCCTTCCCTGGGGGGCCCCTGGAGGTCACTATACAGGATAAGGCTGGGGGACAAAGCACTTCAGAGGAAGGGCTGGGAGGCTTCCTGGAGGAGGGGGCCTCTGCACTGGGGCTCCAAGGATAGCCAGAGTAGAAACAGACAAGCAAAGGAGGGAGGGCCTTTCAGGGGCCAAGAACACTGCTGCGGGCAGATGTGGAGGCAGGTGGGGGAGGCCAGAGAGCAGGGACAGGGAGAGAAGAGGCCGGAAGGGCTGGGGTCCTGGATGCCTGGATGCCTCAGGGGCCAGGCTGAGAACCTGGGAGGGACAGGCCTCTCCAAGTGACTTCCACCCTGCTTGCCCAGGGTGGAGCCTGTCCTGCATCCGCCCCCTCAGGGAGGCCACAGCCACTCACTGGGTTCCAGAGCGCCAGCTGCCGCTCGCTCATGCGGCTGAAGCCCGTGGTGAACACCTTGCCGTCGGCCAGGAAGATGGCCCGCATGGGCCGGGCTCCCTCGTGAGCCTTCTCCCGCTCCTGCGGAGGAGACGGAGGAATTGGCCTGTGCGGTGCCCGGAGAGAGCCCCTCGGCCGGTCCGCGGTCGTCCTCACCCTCCGGGCCGCATACCGCCACCAGGGTCCCCCGGCGGGGGTCGATGACGCGCACGCTCTTGTCCTTGCAGGCGGTGCAGAAGAGGCTGCCATTGCGGTTCCAGCTGACGTTGTAGATGAGGTCGGGGTGCAGGCTGTCCAGGCGGTACAGCTCCTCCGCCGTGCCCACGTTCCAGATGAGCACCATGTTGTCGCAGCCTGCCAGGCGGGAGCGCCGTCAGCTCTGACCACCCTCTGACCACCCTCTGGGCACCAGACCTCCGACCTCCGTGGCCTCAGCTTTCACCTGTGATGTGGCTGGGAGAGGATGTGGCGAGGGGCGGGGCCAGGGGCGGGGGGCGGGGCCAGGGGCCACAGTGCACACCTGCGCTTAGCAGCACGTTGCGGGCAGTTGGGTGCCAGGTGACGATGCCCACTCTCTTGGTGTGCCCCTCCAGCACCACCACCGGCTCTGTCAGCGGGGAGACCAGCCCGTTCTCCGGGATCTGCCACACCTGTCCGGGCGCGGGGGTGGGGTGGGGGAAGCGGGGAGGTCAGCGGAAGTCCCTGCTTGGCCCCGCTGCCAGGAGCCTTGAACCATACTTGCGACCCCGCCCCGCCACCGCCCCACGCCTTACCATGACCGTGCAATCCTCCGAGCCGCTGGCGATAACTTCGTCATTGTGGGGGCACCAGTCGATGTCCAGGACAGGTCCTGTGTGTCCACACACTGTCGGGTAGGCCTTGTCAATGCGACCGGTCTGCAGGCATGAGGGGAGGCTGTCAAGGGGGCCCCAGGAGGCCCAGGCTCCATCCCTCCCAGAGCTTGAGTCCTCCCCTCCATGGACGCGGAATGACAGGGGGTGATGCGGCCCCGCCTGGCACACAGGTGCCCCAGGTGTGACTCTTGCTCTGCCTGCTCCTGACCCACCTCCATCTCACAGGTGTCACCAGGTGAGCAGGAAAAGTTGCCTCTGACCCTGATTCCTTGGCAATAAAAAAAAAAACAAACCACACCTTCACCATGTGTGTTAGCACCTCCTGGGCAGTAAATCTGGATTCTAACACCTGCCCAGCAGTGTGGGGATGGGCACTTCATGGGCTGTGAAGTGTGCGGAGACCTGGCAGATGTAACCAAGCTGCCTCTGTCTCTCCGCAGCTGCGACGGGGCCCACCTTGCTTAGGGGGAGCACCAGGAAGGCGCCTCCCCCACTGGCCTCCACAATCACAGCCAGGAACTTGGGGTTGACGGCGCAGAAGGTGCTGTCCCAGGTGACACGGGATACTCGGATGTCCTCATAGCACTGGTCATTCTTGACAGGCTGCCCAAACACATGTCGGAATTTGCTCTGCCGGACCACTTTGCGAAACATGACTGCAGGGTGGAGAAGCATAGGTCAGCCTTTGCCCATGCCGACAACCCCTAACCCTCCCAGGGCTCCAGGAAGGGTGGTGGGGAGGATGCAGCCGACGATCTGGTCCTTATAACCTGCCCGGCTCTCAGTTTCCCCGGTTACAAAATAGGGTCACAGTACAGGTCTGGCTGCCTCTCTTCAAGGGGGATCTGAAGGTAGAAATGCATTGACCTCCAGCAAAGCCATTGCTGAGGCCTGAGGGGTTTGGGGGGCCTCTCCCAGGCTCTGATATGTGTGGGGGAGGTGGGAGGTGCCCAGCCAGTGCAAGCCTCGCTTCTTGGTGGGTCTCAGTCGCCAGCAGGACCCTTTTCCCCCAGGATTTGGTAGCAGGGTGATGGGGAGGACAGACAGAAGAGGAAGGAATGATCTCTGCTGGGGCGCTGCATTAGGCCACAGTGCTGGGTCGCACGGAATGTGCAGTGCCTGCAGGAATGTGCAGGGAGCCCCAGGCCGGTCCAGGAGGTCCGGCAGGACTGGGCGGGGTCGGGGCGCCGCTCCCAGCCGCCGAGCCTCCGAGCTCGCTCGGAACCGGGTCCGAGGTGAAGCAGGAGTCTAACTTCAAGGATTCTGGCTCCTCAGCGGGGAGACTGAGCAGCCAAGGGGAGTTGGGACTGACGGTGGGGCGCCGCAGAGGGGAAGTGCTCCTCGGACTTGCGACCCCCATCCCAGCTCCCGGCGATCTGCCCCCGAAGTCCCGCCCAACACCCCCGCCCGCGCCCCCAGCCCCATCCATCGCGCTCACCAGGGACGCCGAGAGGCTGCAGCACCGTCCTCGGGTGGCTCCGGATCCCAGTCTCTGGGAAGCAGGAAGCGGGAATCAGGAAGTGACAGAGGAGCAAGAGGCGGGGGGCAGGAAGGGCGGGGCTGGAGGCTGCAGGCGGGAGCCTGGTGGCCAGGAGCACGAGGAGAGCGGGCGAAGACTCCAGGGCACTGGGGCGGGGCCTGGGCGAGCCCCGCCCCTCCGAACTTCGGGTCCCTCTACGGCAGAGGGGCAGGGGCCGGGATGAAGATGGGGTTGGAATGGTGCAGCCTGGCCGCGGACTCGAGCCTGTTCCCCTCCTTGCTCCTCTTGTCGGCTTCCTCAGGAGTCGCCAGGGTCGGGTGCAGCCCTGCCCTCCCAGTACCCCACCTCAACCCGTGCTTCCCGATGGAGTCCACCTCGACTCCAAAATATACCCTGATGCTGGGAAAGACTGAGGGCAGGAGGAGGAGGGGCGACAGAGGATGAGACCATTGGATGGCACCACCGACTCAATGGACATGAGTTTGAGCAAGCTCTGGGAGATGGTGAAGGACAGGGAAGCCTGGTGTGCTGCAGTCCATGGGGTGGCAAAGCCAGAGTCGAACAAGACTTATTGACTGAAGGACAATATATTCATGTGCCTCTTAAGTTACAGAGGTACCAGCTCTTGGTACAATGTAAATAAAACAGTGGTGTTTTATGAGGCGAGTGGAAGGCCCAGCCCTCTCATTCTTCCTGGTGCACGCACACCTTTGGGTCCTTCCCGGCCTCCTTAATAAAAAGAGAAACAGTGCTATGACCTCCAGACCCCTCACACATTCCCCGTTTTCCTCAACCACCTCCCTGCAAAGCCTGGAAGTTTGTCCCAGACACCTCCCTCCTCCTGGCCAGCTCCTGAGACTGGCCTCCCCGACCTATCCATCCCCCTCCCACCCTCGGAGGCTTCAGTTCAGTCGCTGTATGTTCTTAATCACTACCTTGTGTTATATTGTATAACTATTGTATATTTGCTTCCATATATTTTTTATTTTTGGCCGCACTGAGAAGCTTGTGGGATCTTAGTTCCCTGATGAGGAATCAAATCCACACCGTCAGCAGTGAACATGAGAGTCCTAACCACTGGAGTGCCAGGGAATTCCCTAATTATCTGTGTATTTGCTGTTTGTCTGCCTCGTCCCACTAGGATGTCAGCAGATTGAGGACCACATTTGCCCTTGTTTCTCTCTGGATCCCCAGTACCTAGAACAAGACCTAGCACACAGTCTGTGTTCAGTTAATGTATATTGAATGAATGAATGAACAGTAGCTCTGAATGCATAATTGAAAAATGTTCATATTTACAGCTCTCAGAGTGCATGTCTGGTCCCTATGAAGGAGAGGGAAGTGTGTCTCTCACCTGTAGAAGGCGAGTCTTCCAACGGGTCACAGGAGCCCAGCCCCATTGAGTATGTTAGGAGTAAGGTGGAAGGGCTGTGGAATGTGGGGGGTAAGCCCTCCTTTCATCCCCTCTGGCCTTGGGGATACAAGTTTCCTCCAACACAAAGCCTTCCTCTGTGGGCTAGCAGGAGAACTCCTCTTTATCTCACAAAACCCTTCATGATGCTGCTCTTTCTTCTGGATAGCAAGTACCCATTATGAGTGGGGGTCCCTCCTGGGACCTTGAAGGAGGGATTCTCCAAGAGGTGGGGTTAGGAGGATGGACCAGAGTTGAAGCCAGGTGGCTGGCACTGAGGATTTAATCCCTGATATGCCTGCCATGTGAAAAGGCTTTAGGATCCCTATCTGGGAGAAGGAGGAGGGGCACTCTGCAAGGGGGCCATGCGCAGACCCTGCCCTCAGGAAGTGTACAAGTCCAGTGGGGCGGGGAGTGTGAAAACATTTGGAAAGTGGAGGAGGGGGCTGTGGGGGGGGGGCGCAATGCCTGATGGGCAGGATGCTGCCACATGGGCTCTGGAGGGTCAGCACTGTCCCGGGCCTGAGTGAGACCCAGGGATGGCCACTGGCATAGTCAAACTAATGGCTAACAATTATTAAGCACTTACTCTGTGCCAGGCAGGATCTGTGAACTTCACAGGGATTAACACTCAGAAAATGGAACCACTATTTATTATTACTCCCATTTTACAGATGAGGAAATTGAGTCTCAAAGAGGCCAAGAGCCTTGCTGAGGCTCACACCCCTGGTGAGTTGTGGAGAACCAGGATTCAAACAGCCTCTGAGGGGCACTGGAGGCCATGCCCTAATCTCATTCAAAATGGAAGGCTGACTGGAAAAGCACTTGACAAGTGCTTGATAAATATTTGCTGAATGAATGAATTAAACAAATTTGTGCCTGTCCAGAAATCTCTCTCCCACCAGCTTCAGTGGCCAGAATTCCAGGAAGTACTATGATTATGCTGCTAGTATCACCACCACCACTACCCAGCCTGCTTCCATCCCTGGGTTTGGTTAATGATCACAACAGCCAAATTTGCAAAGGGAACATCATCACCCCATTTTACAGAGGAGAAAACTGAGGCAAAGACAGGCCTGGGAACCAGAACCCAGATCGTACTGAACCACTTCAGCCTGCCTGTGTAGCAAGCACTGCTGGGAAGAGTAGCACTTAAAAGGTCATTGTCCTTTACACCCACTAGTAAGGGCACCCCTCAGCTTATAAAGGTCACAGTGCTGAGCTTAAGGGAAAGGGTGGGGGGTGGGGGTGAAAGGAGAAAGAGTTCATGGTTTTAGAACCCCAGTGACTGGGAGAAAGCTGGGTGGGGTGAGTGCCAGAAGAGAGTGACGGGTATGAAAAGGAAGTGGGGTGGGGGAGTCTGAAAATAGACCTTTAGCACTTCCTAGTTTTTCTTGCAGGGTCTGCAGCTGGAGACGGAAGAGGCCGGCTCTGCTTGGAGACACTGTGTGACCTCCAAGGGCCCTGTGCTGTCCCTGGAGCCACTGGTTCCCGGAGTTTTCTGCTGGGACATCTTCCCGTCTCTGCATCTGGGCTGAGAGCGTGGAAGGGGCTCAGGCAGAGCCAGGACCAGGGCACTCCTTCCATCATCCCCAGCCCCTGCATCCCTGGATGTCCACGAAGCATCTGTTCACTGAGCCCCTTCTGTGTGCCAGTTCCTGCCAGCACCTCACACACCTTCTCATTTAATCCTCACGACACCAGATGCAACAGGAGCTCGGAGGGTGAAGCGGCTTGTCCAGAGTCACCGGGAGCTGGATTGGAATCCAGGCTTGCTCGCTCTTGCCTCTGTGCTCACCACCTTGCTGAAGGAAGTCTGGCCCCAGCCTCACTGCCTGTTGGGGTGGGGGATTGGAGGAGAAGGCTGCCAAGTCTGCTTGTGGGCCGCTAAGGCCCCGGGCTCCTGATGGCTCCTGCATGCCTCCCTTCTCTGTAGGGACTTCCTCCTGGGCCCCTTGTATCCAGGTGAGAGGTCGGCACAGGGAGGACGGCAGGGAGGGAAGGATGGAAGGAAGGTCGGATCAAGCCTGAGGAAGTCACTCTGCGCATCTTTCTCCTGCAGGACCGAGGCTAAGGAGGGGGCTGTCTGTGGGGCCTGGAGGGCACTGGAGAGCTGAACCCACAGCACACCATCACCTGTGGTAGCCTGCGTGGGGAGGCGGTGCTGGGCCACCGTGTAGGGGCCAAGCCTGCAAGAGCTTGCTGGGACCAGGGACATGACGTTCAACAAACCGTACGGGATTTTGGCTGCTTCATGTTCACGTCCCCCAAGTCCCGTCTGCCAGGCCCAAGGGACTCGGTAGGGGTTTTCCACGCGAACTTCCCCCACGGTACCCGTCCTCCTCTCTGATGGGCTGGTTCCTCCGTCTCCCCTGGCTCTTCTGCTGTCCTGGCGGGCCTGGACTTTCCCGAGCCCTCACGTGGGGCCTGAGCCCGGGGCCTCTTCTCGGGGAGCGCTGCTGGGGCCTTCTCCCTCAGAGGCAGCAGGCGCGGCCGGGTTCACGGGGCCCTCTAGGGTGGAATCCATGGCTGGTGTGGAGGAGGCTTCCTCACAGGCACTGGGGTCTGAGCTGGTAGTGGGCCCGGGGGGCTGGGCCTTGGGGCTTGCCTGTGACTGGGCCCCAGAATCCAGCTGGGGCTGGCGCTCGTCGTCCTCCTGTGGTTGGGTTGCGGGGTTCACCCGGGCCTGGGCCTCAGGGTTCACCTGTGGCTGGGCCACGGGGTCCACCCGGGTCTGGGCCTCGGGGTTCACCTGTGGCTGGGCCACGGGGTCCACCCGGGTCTGGGCCTTGGGGTTCACCTGTGGCTGGGCCACGGGGTCCACCTGGGTCTGGGCCTCGGGGTTCACTTGTGGCTGGGCCTCAGCCACTGGCCCTGGTACCGTCTGATCCCCAGAGTCCACTGGGGTCTGTGGCTCAGCTGGCATGAAGCTGCCCGGCCACTCCTCACAGAGAGCGGCTGCAAAGGAGGCGAGCATGGCGCGCAGCAGGGCCCGGAGGTCGGCGCTGGCCAGGAGGCAGAGGAAGGGACTGAGGCAGCTGTTCAGTAGGATCAGGTAGTCAGAGTAGACCAAGGCCTCCCAGAGCAGGTAGCCGGGGTAGAAGTCCCACAGGAAGGCCAGGTACAACAGCTGCGCCAGCTGGTAGGGCAGCCGCAGGACCACGTAGGCTGACAAAATGGTCTTGGCCACACGGGCGAAGCCGCGGCAGGCCGGGGCCCCAGGCTGCTGGCGGCGGCAGGGCCGGCAGGCGACCGCCTGGGTGAGTGCGTGGCAGACGAGCAGCACCAGGAAAGGAAGGAAGCCCCCCAGGATCTCCAGCATTCGCAGCGGCAGCTCCTCGCTGTCCCAGAAGTCCAGGCAGATGACCAGGTCGTACCACCAGACGGCGGCCTCGGGGAAGACCAGCCAGGGCACGCTGAAGAGGGTGGCCAGCACCCAGACCCCAGCACAGACCCAGAGGGGCAGGCGGGCTGGGCGGCACCCAGGGTACCGGCGAGGGCACAGCGCCAGCAGGCAGCGGTCCAGGCTGAGGGTGGCCAGCAGGAAGAGGCCGGAAGAGTAGGACACCCCCCAGAGGAAGTAGTAGAAGCGGCAGGCGGCCGTCCCCAGTGGCCAGTGCCCGCCATGCTGGATCTCCATGATCTGGAAGGCCGCTGCCGCCAGGAACAGGAAGTCAGAGAGAGCCAGGCTGAGCAGGAGCAGGGCGAGCCGCGTGCCTGCGCCCTGCCGGGCCTGCGAGCCGGCCAGCCACGCCATGAGACCGTTGGCTGGCAGCCCCAGGAGCAGCAGGGCCACGAGGAAGGCCGTGTCCCAGCCACCCTGGGGGTAGTCCTCGTCGTCGAGCTCTGTGCGGGGCCAGCGGCCAGGGGCACCCAGGTTGGCTTCCATAGCAGGGTCTATCTGGGGTCCCCAGTGTCTTACTGGACATGGAGTGGGCACCTGGTGAATCAATGAAGGCATGAATGACTGAAAACGAGAGAGAGGATGCTGAGCATCTCCGTGAAAGTCGCTGTCCCTCTCTGGGCCATCATCATCACCTTTGGAGTGGTTAGCCTTTGCCAGGGCCTTTAAACAGATTAGTTTACCTAGCCTTCCTGCAATCCATCCTACAGGTAAGCAGAGGAAGGTGACCTATGCAAGGTCAGAGATAGGAATGTGGGCACCAGGACTCTAATTATTCTGTTACCTGGGATCCCGCTGCATCCACACAGACCAAACCAGAGGCTTTCAAATTCATTTCAATATGATCTTATAGCAGAACTCCTATGTGAACTAAAAGAGCGTGCTCAGATTAAAGGAGGGCAAGCACCCTTAGGACTCCAGGGAACAGTTTAGAAACCGCTTGGGAAATCCCTGGTGGTCCACTGGTTAGGACCTGGCCTTTTCCTGCCGTGGGCCTGGGTTCAGTCCCTGGTGGGGGGACTGAGATCCCTCAAACTGCATAGTGCAGCCAAAACAAAACCAGCCCAAATGGTCAAAGCATCACAGGCTCCCTTTTTGTCTGCATCCTGGGTTCAAGAGTTGGAGATTCAGACTTCCGTGGTGGTCCAGTGGTTAAAGATCCATGCTTTCATTGCAGGGGACAGGGGTTCAATACCTGGTAGGGGAACTAAGATTCTGCAAGCCATGTGGTGCAGCCAAAACAAACAAACAAAAAGATTCCAAAGGGAAAGGCTTAGGGTCGCCTGGGCCCAAGAGTGGACAGGGAGTCTGGGGCAGAGGGGGGGCTCCCTTGTCCCCTGGGGTTACTCATTAGAAAAGGGGGTAAGGGGCTCAGCAGCATGATGAGGATGAGGGTGGCTGAGTCCCAAGAGGCCTGCTGCCCTCACCCTACCTCCTTAGTGGGGAGAGGGAGACTCCCTCTGAGGTGGAAAAACCAGATGTCCCGGAAAGCCTGGGTCCCGCCTGTGGCCCATAGCTCAAGCCATTTGACCTTTAGCCTGTGGTCTCCCCACCCCCAGGGCCCTTACTCAGGCAGACCCCACTCTGCAAGCTCCAGTCCTTCCTGGATCAGAGCCCAGGGCACCCCCTGAGGCCCCAACTGGCGAGGCCTGGCTTACCTGTGAGGTGCAGGCCGCTGGCTGGAAGGAGCAGGGGGTGTCTGCCCCACGCCGGGGCCTGCTGCCTGGTGCCCTGCGGCACTAAGGCTGCTGGCATGAAACCCAAGCTGAGAGGACATCAATCTTTCATGGGGCTGCTCGCCGGGGAAACCCTAACCCTAGCCCAGTGGGGCCAAGTGACCAGCCAGGCCCCCCATCCTTGACAGGGCCGGATGGCCGAAACCCCCCTGCCTGGGCCCCTCCAGCTCAGAGCAGGCTCTGCGTCCCCCAGGGTGTACCTTCTCTGATGTCACCCCCGTGACTCTCAATCATCCGTGATCCCAAGCCCCTATGATCTGGCCTCTCTTCCTTCCTTTCACACACCCCCTGCTCCAGTCGGGAGGTCACCCACAGAGGGGTCACTTGTCCTCTCTCCCACCTCCCACCTTTGTACACACTCTTCCTCCTGCCTGAGCTGCTTCCCCATGTCCTGTGGTAGCTGAGTCCTGCTCATGTCAGACAACTGGGCTCTCTGATGCTTCAGCAATACTGCTCCCATTTTATAGGTGAGGCAACTGAGACTTAGAGAGGTGAGTCTGCTGGGTCTCCCAGCTCATGAGTGGCAGAGCTAGAGTCCGAAGCTCACTGCGGCCACTCTGTCCTGGCACCCCATGTTGCTGAGGATGTTTCCCTTGACTGATCGGCTTTGCCGATCTGGCCACCTGCAGGCAGGGGGCGGGATTAGGGCCTGGACTGCCTGACTCACTTACCCTAATCCCCCTCAGGGCCGGATCCCTGGTCATCAGCCCTCGGGGTGGCAGACTATAAGCTGCTTTATGGGTCCTGAGAAGCAGGGGTGCTCCCTGGTGCCACTTCTCTGAGCCCTGTCACCCCTCTCCACATGGCTGAAGAGCAGGTGAGGGGGCGGCATGGCCCTGGCCCAGCCCCCGGACCACAGAAGCCCCCCGAGGGGGTCCTGGCTTCCAGTAGTGGTGCTGAGGGGCCCCCCTTGACGAGGAAGAGAAGCAGCAAGAGGGAGAAGGGGCTCCGAGGGTCCCGTAAGGTCACCGGCAGCTCTGGGGAGCAGACCCCCAAGCAGGGCCCTGAGGCCCCGGGGAGCAGCAAGAACCCCTCCAGGACCGGAGAAGGGCAGGAGGGGCCGGCCCCTCGTCGCCAGTCCCACCGGCACCGTCCTGGCCCCCAGCACGATGCTGCTCAGAGGACGTACGGGCCCCTGCTCAACCGCATCTTCGGGAAGGTCAGGGGGCCCGGACCAAGGTTGGGGGGCCTGGGGGTGGGGTTGGGACTCATGGGCTCAGGTTCAGCCCACCCTTCCCCTAACACTCAGGCCTCCTCCAATTTCTGCTTCAGACTCAGGAGCCGGGTTGTGGGGGCAGGGTTTCTGCAGTGGGGGGCGGGGGGGCCGGCGGCATGGGCAGTGGGTAGAGCTAGACCGCTAACCCAGGGGGTCTGTGGCAGCTCGGGGCCCCCAGGAGCAGGAACGGGGTCAACTCTTCTCCTGGGACTTCGCTGCCTTCTCCTGCCCTTGTGGGACGGGCCCTGCCCAGGCCACCGTGGCCCGGGGCTGGAGGAGGAAGGCTGGCCAGAGCCCTGACTGGCCCCGGGGACAAGCTGGACTATGCCTCTGCAGGACCGAGAGCTGGGCCCTGAGGAGCTGGATGGTGAGTGCCCCTCGCTGGGAGCGGCGGGTGGGCGGGGTCTCAGAGTCTAGCTGGCTGCCTGCGCCTGACCTCCCTCCCCTGCAGAGCTTCAGGCCGCCTTCGAGGAGTTTGACACGGACCACGACGGTTATATCGGCTACCGGGACCTGGGCGAGTGCATGCGGACTCTGGGCTACATGCCCACCGAGATGGAGCTCATCGAGGTCTCTCAACACGTCAAGATGCGGAGTCAGTGCTTGACCCCGCCTCCCCGGGGCGCGGCGGGGCGGGTGGGCGGAGCCACTTGGCTTTGCCACCGGGGTCCTTTCCCAGTCTCAAGGTTACCGGACGGAGGGGTGTTGGGCGGTGGCTCTGGCAGTCAGACAGGGGGGTGGTGGAGTGAGGGGGGTGGAATGGCAGTTTCCAGGACAGTTTGACGACGTTGGCCCCAGGACACGGAGGGTAGGGGGACGAGGAAGGCACCGGGTGATCCACGAGAGGTCCTCGGGACTGGAGTTGGGGACCCCCATCTCTGACTGAGATAAAACGGTCTGCGCTGGTACCAGCCACCTGGGCTGTCTCTGCCTCTCTCTGATCATCCTGAAAAGAGTCTTTTAAGGTTTGGTGAGGCCGAGCGGCAGAGAACCTTGGCCACTCCTTGCGATTAAATGTCCGACAGGCAGCCCTTGTGTGAGTATCAGTTCAGTTCAGTCGCTCAATCGCGTCCGACTCTTTGCGACCCCGTGGACTGCTGCACGCCAGGCTTCCCTGTCCATCAACTCCCGGAGCTTATTCAAACTCATGTCCATCGCGTCGGTGATACCATCCAACCATCTCATCCTCTGTTGTCCCCTTCTCCTCCTGCCTTCAATCTTTCCCAGCATCAGGGTCTTTTCCAATGAGTCAGCTCTTCACATCAGGTGGCCAAAGTATTGGAGTTTCAGCTTCATCATCAGTCCTTCCAATGAATATTCAGGACTGATTTCCTTTAGGATGGACTGGTTGGGTCTCCTTGCAGTCCAAGGGACTCTCAAGAGTCTTCTCCAGCACCACAGCTGATTTATCAAATATCAGGTTCCTTTCATCCCAGGACACCAGCAATTTTTTCCCTTACAGTTCCCAAAATGGAACGTGATTTACAATTGATGTGAATATTCAGTGTCATGCCTCTTTCTTTCTCCCGAAGCTATTCATGGACCATTGGTGCTTTTTATAATTGACGGCCTCTTAGAATCCAGAAACTACCTGTGTATGCTTCTAAGGTGTCTTTACTGCTACCTCTGGGGTTCTGGCACTTTACAACCATGAACTCCAACTGCAATAGCACCCTGTCCTCCAGTGAGCAGGCAGGTCCAGCGAGTCATTTGAGGTCACAGCATCAGTGAGAGAGCCAGGCTTTGAGGCTGGGGCTCTCCGGTTCCCCAGCCTGGTCTCAGTCCCCCACACCTGGTGCTTCACTGAGAGCCCTTGAGCATCTTGCCCCCAGCAGAGCCCCGGGCTGCAGCCTCCGACCCCTGGGGACATGGAAGCTGGTATCCTTTCTGGACGCAGAGCGGGTGAGGGGCTGGGGTCCCTCCTTGGGCCCCAGTCTTCACCACTGTGACCCTCTGCCTGGGTCTGCAGTGGGTGGCCGTGTGGACTTCGAGGAATTCGTGGAGATGATGGGCCCGAAGCTGAGGGAGGAGACAGCGCACATGCTGGGGCTGCGGGAGCTGCGGATTGCCTTCCGCGAGGTGCGGGGGAGCCCGGGGGGCCGGTGGGTGGGTGGATGCTGGGTGGCATCCTTACTGGCCTCACAGGAGACTGGGAACCTCAGCCTCTGGAGGCCCCGAGCCCTGCTGCTGGTGGCACTAGGACTGTGAAGGGGGTTGGAAAGAGTTTGGCTCACTCCCGGCTGGGGGTCTCCCCAGGAGGACTTCCCCGAAGGCAGGGGGTTCACGGCCTCAGTCTGGGAGGAGGAGGAGAGTTTGGATGGAGGAAGTGGGGGTGTCCAGCAAGGTGGTGGTGGGTGCAGGAAGAGGGTAGGAGGGCTGAGTCCTGCCGGAATCGCAGTTTGACAGGGACAGGGATGGGCGGATCACGGTGGCAGAGCTGCGGGAGGCAGCACCAGCTCTGCTGGGGGAGCCACTGGTGGGTCCTGAGCTGGACGAGATGCTCCAAGACGTGGACCTCAATGGGGACGGCACCGTGGACTTTGACGGTGAGCGTCCCCCCAGACCAAGCCCCGTCCTTCTGGGTCCCTGGCTGAGCCCAGTGCCTCCTGGGATCGCTAACCTGGACCAGCTCAAGCCCCACCCCTTCTCCTGCAGAGTTCGTGATGATGCTGTCCCGCCACTGAGGTTCCTCTGGCCCCAGACACAGCAGCAAGGTTCAGGATGCACATCCTCCCTTGGAGGCCCCAGGATGAAAGAGACCCAGCAGCCCCCGGGCTTCTGCTCTGACAACCTCTGGCTGGAGACCTGGCTTGTGATGTCACACAAAAAAACCCCCCTCATTCTCGCCTTCCTTCCACCTGAACGGCCTGGAGGAAACCTGCCCTCGACCACCCGTCATTCCCTAGTGTGACAAGGTTTGACTCTCTCCAGCCCCTTGGGAAGTAGGGAGCTCCCTGGAATTGGCAGCATTCAGAGATGGGGCAGTGCAGGGGGTGGTTCTGGTAAAATGGGAGCTGAGAAAGGTGGCTGGACTCCTCTCACTCCTTATATGTGGAAAAAAATTTTTTTTAAACTGAACTTGAAAGACAGGGATGGTCCCAGGTACCAGAGACAAAGAGAAAATCCAAAGCTGGGTGGTGGGAGGAATCAGAGGCTGTGGAGGCTTCAGGGGTGGAGAGGTTCAGGAGTCTGGGCTCGGACACCCAGGAGGGACAGAAGACCTGTAAGAGGCTGGGGAGCAGGACACGACCTTCATATATTCCAGGGTCTCAACAGGTTACCCTGTTCTTGAAAAGGGGGCCAAAATATACCGCTACCCACAAACCTGAGAAAGTGACAAGGTGCAGATGTTCAACCTTGAGTGGAAAAAGCTACCCCAGTGAACCTGAAACTCAGGTCTGCATGTCAAGCAGGAGTGTGGTCTATCTCTGTGGTGTGAAAAGCAGAAGAAATAGGAAAAAAACAAAAAACTGCTGAGAAAGACACTCTTTCACCCCAGGGCACATAAGAGTTAAAAAAAAAAAAAAACCCAAATACCCCTGTCACTTCTGAAAATGAACTCATGACAAAGGATGACAAATCACATAAGGAAACAAATCACCATGAGGGAGATGCAGAAGATGCAGTAAACAGGAGAGTCAGCACTCCAAAGTGGAAATCATAAAACACTCTAAAAGAGACCATGAAGTAAATGCAAAAACAAACAAACAAACAAAAAACAGACAGACTAAACAAGAGAGACCGTATCTGTAACAGCATGGTATGAAAACTGAATAGAAAGATTAAAAAAAAATAACCCAATAGAACTTCTAAAAATAGAGGATATGGCCATTGGAATGAAAAAAAATCAAGGGATAAATTAAACGGATTGGACACAATTTAAGAAAAGATTAATGAACTGGAAGCTGTATCTGAGAAATCCCCCACAGGTAGCATTGAGGGATGAATGACAGAAAATATTAAAGAGTAGTTAAAAGCTAGGTGAAAGAATAGAGTGAAAAAGCTGGCTTAAGACTCAACGTTCAAAAAACAAAGATTGTGGCATCCAGTCCCATCATTTCATGGCAAATAGATGAGGCAAAAATGGAAACAGTGGAGGGTTTTATTTTCTTGGGCTCCAAAATCACTGTGGATGGTGACTGCAGTCATGAAATTAGAAGACACTTGGTAATTGGAAGAAAAGCTATGACAAACCCAGACATTGTATTAAAAAGCAGAGACCTCACTTTACCGACAAAAGTCTGTATAGTCAAGGCTATGGTCTTTCCAGTTGTCATGTGTGGATGTGAGAGTTAGACCATAAAGAAGACTGAGCGCTAAAGAATTGATGCTTTTTAACTGTGGTGCTGGAGAAGACTCTTGAGAGTCCGTTGGACTGCAAGGAGATCAAACTAGTCGATCCTAAAGGCAATGGCACCCCACTCCAGTACTCTTGCCTGGAAAATCCCATGGACGGAGGAGCCTGGTAGGCTGCAGTTCATCGGGTTGCTATGAGTCGGACACGACTGAGCGACTTCACTTTCACTTTCACACATTGGAGAAGGAAACGGCAACCCACTCCAGTGTTCTTGCCTTGAGAATCCCAGGGACGGGGGAGCCTGGTGGGCTGCCATCTGTGGGGTCGCACAGAGTCGGACACGACTGAAGTGACTTAGCAGCAGCAGCAAAGGAAATCAATCCTGAATATTCACTGGAAGGACTGATGCTGAAGCTCCAATACTTTGGCCACCTGATTCGAAGAACTGACTCACTGGAAAAGACCCTGATGCTGGGAAAAATTGAGGGCAGGAAGAAAAGGGGGTAACAGAAGATGAGATGTTTGGATGGTGTCACTGACTCAGTGGACATGAGTTTGAGCAAACCCCAGGAGACAGTGAAGGACAGGGAAGCCTGGTGTGGAGGACAGGAAGTGCAGTCTATGGGGTGAAGGACAGGAAGCTGCAGTCCATGGGGTTGCAAAGAGTCAGACACGGCTTAGCTATCGGACAACAACCACCACAGTCATTAGGAGTCTCAGAAGAAGAAAATGTAGAAAATGGGCATGAGGCAATATTCAAAGAGATGATGGTTAGAAATTTTCCATAAAGACTTCCACAAAGGGCCCGGACTGAAGGAGCATATTGGAGCCGGAGAAGGATAAATAAAAGGAAATGTATATCTAGATGCATCCCAGTGAAACTGCGGAATACAAAAGGAAAATCCTGTAAACAACTCGGGAGAGAAGTCAGATTACTTACCAAGGATTAGCAACTAGACTCTCCAAAGACTTTTTTTTTCATTGACAGCAGTAGATGCAAGAGGAAAATGGAGTAAATTGTTCAGTGTGCAGAAGAAAAAGTGCCTGCTGAGAAGCCAACACCGAGCTCATCTTAGCCAAGAATGAAGATGAAATATAACAACACAAGGCAGAAAGGGTTTATCACCCACAAACTCTTGTTGAAGGGATGGCTTCAGTAATAAGACAATTCAAGGTAGCATGTGTACTAAATAACAGTCAGAAAAGAAACCAGTAAAGGTACTGGTAGCTCTAAAGAAGCATTACCTATAAAAATAATAATTTGGGGGATGTTAAAACAAGGAGGGACTAAAAATTAGACAAAAATAAAATGGCAGATGGGAAAGAATATTTTAGATACGCTGAAAACTTTTTCTTGTTTTTCCTAGAGTAGGAAGGTTCATTGAGATTTTGTTAATCATGTAAGGGTAACAGAAATAGAGATACAATGTTCCATTCTCAACAGTTTAAGCAATAGAGGACGAAAATAGAGAAAGTGAAGATTTCTTGACTAAGCTAGTAGAAGTCTGGGAAAGAGGAATAAAAGCAAAGGAAAATCTACAGAAAACATTAAAACAGAAGGTAGAAATAATTCTTTAAAAAATTACAATAAGTATAAGCAAGATTTTTTTTTTTTTTGGTTAAAAGTTGGGAGTTTCAGTCCCAGAAGAAAATATCAGTGTTAGACTGGGGTCCCTGTAAGTGATGGAGACCCCAAACAACAATGCCTTAAACTGGATGGACATTTATTTCCCTCACAGGAAGAGTCTTAGTTGCAATCCAGCTGTATGGTCTTCAGGCCGTTAGGCTTCTTCTGCTGGCTGCTCTGCCACTCTGAGGGTGTAGCCACATTTGTTGGTTTCCCACCTGACAGAATGGGAGCAGAAACAAAGAAGAAAGGGCACAATCAGCAGGAACCACTTATACCCGGTTAGGGAGGGCTCTGCACCTGGGACACCTGGTTGCAAAGGGTGCTGGGAAATGCAGTCTTTATCTTGCGGGACCTTGTGCCCAGCTAGAAACCAGAAGTTCTTCTACTGCAAGGGCAGAGAGCAGATCTCAAAAGGCAGATACCCAGGCTCTTCCCCACAGCTGAGTGCACATACAAGAGACACATCAAAGCATAATGACAACTGAAAGGCTGAAACTGACAGCTTGGAAAAAATATTGACTAGGAGAGAATTAACCAAAACAAAGCTAGTGTGACTACAAAGTGGGCTATGGGGGGAAAAGTGTCGGGGGTAAATGGAGTCACAATCCGCTAAGGAAATCTAATGTTCTTAAGCTGCATGCAATTACTAATGCACTTTCTAACTAAAAAGAAATCATATTTAGAGTTTGGAGATTCATTATTTCCTGAGGATGGTGTTGCTGTCAATCCAATTTGGATTACATAAACTAACCAGCAAAAATCAAGCACATTGATCACATTAAAACTTTAAACCTTGCGATTCAGTATTCTGTCAACACATTCATATGGACCAAGTGTTGGCAACCTTTTTCTGTGAAGGGCCAGATAGTAGAGTTTAGGCTTTGCGGACCATATGATTTCTGTTGCTCTTTATAGTAGTTTGCATGGCTGAGCAGCCAAAGTCAATATACAAGTGTTGCTGTGTAGGGAATTTGACAAATAATAATTCATTGAATGCAACTTATGATACCAAAATTTGAATTTCATAAACTTCTGTGCCACGAAAGCTTATTATCCTTTTGCTTTTTTCCCAACCATTACTAAAATGTGAAAACCATTCTTAGTTGGGGGCTATATCGGGCCTGTGAGGTATAGCTTGCAGATTCCTGAAATAAGTCTTTTTCAAAAATTTTATTTTTGGCTATCTCGGGTCTTAGTTGTAACATGGAGGATCTTTCCTGCATGGCATGGCCTTCCCTCTAGTTGTGGCGCACCAGCATAGTTGCCCCGAAGCATGTGGGGTCGTAGTTCCCTGATCGAATCCGTATTCCCTACACTAGAAGGTGGGTTCTTAACCAGTGGACCACCAGGGAAATCCCTGAGATAGTCTTATAATATGGAGAATCACCACTTTTGGTTAGAGAAAAACTTCTAATAGAATCACTTAAAACTGTAAAGTGACAAAAAGTGATGAGCATAGCAACAACTCTACATTAATTGCTAATTTGCCCACTTTCAATGAATGGTTTTTATAACTTTTTTTTTCCCGTGTTTGTTCTGATTATATCTATTGAAAGGTAACTTTGTCTGATTAGTCTGGTAATACAAACTGTGGGCTTATATTCTGTATCTTTTAAAAATTTCACTCTTCTAGTTTTTTATCTTACTAAAGCATTGGTCCATAACGTATTAGAAATGAAAACTGGTCCTTTACCTCCAGCTAACTTGAGAATCACTCGTTTAGGAGTTCCTGCATCTAACTGGTGCCCCTCAAAGTGCCTTGATTGGTGGCTGAGAGTGGGACGTCTAGGTTGGCCAGATCAGGTGTGAGAGCAGGGGCCTTGGTGTTCATTCAACAAAATCACAGAAATCTAAAGGTACTGTCCTGGCTGCTGCAGACACAGTAGAGGCCACTTCAGAGCAAATACCATCTTAATGGCACTCATGTTTTACTGGGAGTGGAAGACTGTGAACACAAGAACACGAACTGGGTCTCCTCGGGCCACTCATTTGGCCTGTTGGTTAGCTAGGGACCATACCGGCTTGCTGACACCCCTTCCACATAAGTCACAGAAGCCCTGGGTTATATTCCTAACTCTGCCTTTGGCTGACCCAGTCTCTCTGGGCCTCGGTTTTCCTGGAGGATGACCAGAAATAACCCATGTTAAGTGCTTAGCACACAACCTGGTGCCTTCTAAGAGTCTGATAAATGGCAGCTATTATGATCTCAGATTTCAGGGTGCTCAAAGATTCTGTTTCCTGGTTATTGAGATCTGGAGATGCTTGGTCCTTCCAAAATTCTGCTACGGTCTGTTTCCAATGTTTTGTGATTCTAAGAGTCTTTGATCATTGAGGCTTTCTGTCATACAGGCCCTGCTTCCTATGTCCTTTGCCCCTGCTTTTCCCAATCCCTGGGTTTGGGAAGTAGGGCAGTGGGTGGAGGTGGCTGGGCGGCTGCCTTCTGGTGGCCCACATTTGGAGCTGGCTGTGGCAGCCCAGGGTCCCAGAGCCAGGCTGGAAGCAGGATACCAGCCTCCTGGCCCCAGGCCTGCGTCATCAGATTGCTCCTGGCCAGGGCCACGGTGGGTGGTGGAGGAGGCACCAGTGCTGCCTCTCTGAGTGGAGACGCAGCAGGACAACCCGGCTAAGGGCGGGGAGATCCTCCTCCAGGCCTGCAGGGCAGAAGAGCTCAGGCCCAGTTCTGCCGCTAATGAGCTGTGTGACCTTGGGCAAGTCTTGGAGCGTTAGGGCTGTATGTGTACCATAGGGGGGAACAGTCCCAGAGCCCTTCAGCCCCATGTTCAGTCTTTTCCTTGGCCTTTCTGGGAGGGGGCTGTGGCCAGCCTGGTGGGCCGGTGGCAAGCAAAAAGCCAACTGTGGGCTGGAATTAAGCACCGCTTTTATTAGCACAAAACATCACCAACCCAGCAAGCCCAGGGCCTGAGAATAAGTTAAGGCACAGAGAGGGGAGGGGCGACTTTCCCAGGCTCAGGTAGTGGCCCGAGACCCACATGCCCCAAACTTCCTGAGCAAACTCCCCAGACGACGAGGGGGCTTGAGGGTCCCGACGGGGCTTTTCCCTTGGGATGCGGGAACCGAAGCCGGGCGCGGACTCCGGGAGTGCCCCTCCAAGGATGCGAGGAGGCAGCACACACTGGGGCCTCTCGGCCCCGACGCTGGATCCCGCCGTCTGCTCACTTCTCGAAGTAGGGCAGGTAGAAGAACTGGAAGCCCCGGTGACCCTTGACGGCGCAGTAGATGAAGATCACGTGGTAGACTGCAGGGCGGGGCCTATCAGTGCCGGGCCCGCCTCCGGCCCGCCCCCGCCCACATCCTGCCCAGGGCCCCCGCCCACATCCCGCCCTCGCCCACCGCCCACTCGCACCTCCTGGGACCAGCAACAGGAAGCCCGGCACGAAGAAGATGGCGCTGGAGACACCTGCGGGAGGGCAGGAGGGGTCGGGTCAGGGCAGGGAGGCTCCTGGGCTGGCTCCCCGGCGGGCTCAGTGCCTGGCAAGTCTCCCTCTCCGAGGTCAAAGGGGCCGTTTCCTGTCGGGAAGGTGCTGACCGCTGGAGGAGGTGGAAGGGCTTGCCAAGGACCCCTGGGCACGAGGGGAGTGAGCGCTGCCTGCGGGGGTCGGAGGGGCGGCTCACCTGGCGAGGGGGCCACCTCCAGTCCCACGCCGGTCAGGATCAGCACTGCACACAAATGGAGCCGCGAGGGTGAGGGCAGGCGCCGCAGGAGGCAGAAGCTGGTGGCAGTGTGGGGACCTCCGCCCGCAACCCCCCCACATGGCTTAGGTCTGAGGAATGGTGTCCCCCACCTAAGCTGAAGGCCCTTTGGGTAGAGAACCTCCAGGGGAAGCTCACCAAGCTCTGTGTTTTCAGAGCAGGTCCTGGGAAATGTCCGTGAAAGGAGAGATTTTTGTCTGCTCCTTGGTGTGGCTCCTTTAGTCAGTCAGCAAAGGTTTATGGAGTTTAACTGCTGAGTGCCTGGTACTGGGAATCCCACGGGGACCGGCAGATGGGGTCTCTGCCTCCAGCCCCTTTCAGAGTGGAGCAACCAACAAGAACCTCCAAGCTACAACCCCAGTGATCAGGCAGCTCAGGAGCCTGGGGAATCAGAGAGGGCTTCTTGGAGGCAGTGGCATCTGAGCAGGGTAGCAGCAGCAGTAGCAGTCACCATTTAGTCACCTTTTACCAGGTGCTACCAGGTGCTACCAGGCACTGGGCTAAGTGTGTGACATGCAGTGCCTTATTTGTCACCTTGATTGAATGGACAGGTATTATCATCCCCATTGCGAAGAAGAGGAAACTGAGGCACGGCATTCAGGGGGAGGGGTGGAGTAACGTCACTGGCTGTATTGGGAAGGTGGAGGTAATCTGACTCCAGAGGCTTTGTTCTGGGCACCCCACAGGCAGAAAGGGAGAGCAGTGTTCCAGATGGGGGAACAGCCTGGCAAAGGCCCCGAGTCTGGAGGGAACCTGGGGCCTTCTAGGAACTTCCAGCTTTGGGGAGACTGGAGAGGCAGAGTCCAGGTTTCAGGAGTTTGGCAGGGCCTGTAGGCCCTGGAGAGGGATGTGGACTTTGGTTAATGACAGTGGGCACTGGGGAAGCTGAGGTCATGGCTGGATCAATTTTTCAGATGCTGAGAAAGTCCTGGGTCCCCAGTTACAGGATGGGATGGGCGCAGAGACGGGGAGCTGGACTCTACAGCCCTGAGGATTGGAGGGGGGTACAGCACAGAGGCTTGAAGGACCACCATGGACTGCTGTGTGGTTTGTGTCCTGCACAGAACACCTCAAAAAGGATGGGATGGCGGCTGAAACTCACTCTCAGTATCCTGGCTCATGGCTGCGGGCTCTGCCCACTCAAAGGAGGCATCTTTTTCTAATTCCTCTTTCCAATTTATGGGTTGTGGCGGCCCACAGGCCTGACAATGTCACTGATGTGGGTTTAAATCCCAGCTCATCTACCCCCCAGCTGTGACCTTTCACCTGTGTCCTTATTTTTGAACTGGGATAGTAATAATGTTTGCCCTGTCGGGTAACGAGGATAAAATAAGGTAAGGCAGTTAGCCAGTGTGACTCACACATGTTGGGAAGGTGGCGGCTCCCTCCCCTGCACACACAGAGCTGAGGCAAGGATGCTGCCCAGCTTTCCTGCTAGGGGGCTCTGACCTTCCTGGAGGACGGAGAGCGGATGCCACAGTTGGGCCCACGTTATAGGATCCTCTTAATCCCAACCCTAGATTCTTTCAGGGGGACCCTGATTCCTCAGCCCCACAGAATGAGGAGAAAAAGAGTCAGAAAACATCTGGCTCTGATTTCTGCCTGCTCTGGGCCTCAACTTCCCTATCTGAGTAATGGATGTGGGGGAGAGGTCCTTCTCAGTTCCCAGACTCCAGAGGAAGGGAACTGACAGGTACCCTGTGGATCGGGCTGGCAGGGTACTCCGCAGTCCTGGCCACTGGGTCAGGCATATCCTTGCTCACCTGCATCTACACTTAGGTTCTGGTTCGTGGCCCTACCGCTCACTTGCTGTGTGACCTCCGTAAGGAAGCCTGCCCTGCACCTGGCTCAGAGTAGACACAGGATAAAGAGTAGCTCTTCCTCTCTCTTCCTAGTGGGTTAAACTGACTTTAAAAAAAGGGAAATTTTGGAGCATGGACCCAGGTTCCATTTTCAACTATGTGTGATTTCTTGGCTGCGTGACCAGGAGGCTGCACCTGCCCCTCCCAAGGCCTCAGCTTCCTTGTCTGTAAAAGGGGGGTGGGGTCATGCCAGCCAGCTGCCTCCTCAGGGTGCAGAACCTGAGCAAAAGGAGGGTGGAGCCCTCATGGGGGTAGGCAGGGCATGCAGGGGGTCCTCGGGGGCACTCACCCAGCCCCAGCAGGAGAAGCAGGAAGGAGGCTAGCACTACCCGGTGGTTCTTCTGGATCAAAGGGTGTTGAGTCCAGCTGGATGGCAACAGAGCAGGAAGTGTGTGGACACGCTGACAGGAGGCCCACTGCCTCCGTGGGCACCTCCGCCCCCACGGGACCGTGGGGGAGCAGCCGGGGCTGCCTGTGTGGGGGCAGGGGCCAGCGGTGCTGGGACAGGGCAGTCTCACCTGCAGCAGGCGTTGTAGGAGCGCTGAGTGCTGCTGCTGATGCTACCAAAAGACCACTGGGAGCTGCGGGTGGATGTTCGGCCAGAATCCCTGCAGGGCGGGTGAGGGGGGGTGAGGAAGGGGACCCTTTGGGACAGGAATCATGATGACGTTGCGGGGGATGGGGCGGAGACTGGGCCGGGTGTTCCTGCAGGAGAGGGGACACTGAAAGAGGCCCGGGGTGAAGAGGAATTCAAGGGTTGGGGGTTTCTGCAGGACAAGTCACCTGTGAGAAGACAGGGGCCAAACCAGGCCGGGGGTTTCTGCAGGATAAAGAGCCTGGTGGAGGTGGGCGGGTGAGGCTGGCACTAGCATAGTGTGCAGGACAGGGGCCCCATGCGGGGGTCTCTTTAGGACAGGATGTGAGAGAGCTGAGTGAGGTGAGGTGGACGACTGAGCAGGGGCCTGGGGACGGGAGCCAGAAGCCTGGGGCTAGGAGTACGGGGTGGGTCCCCACCTGGCCCTGACCTGGTGCTGACTCCCCCATCCGGCTCTGGAGAGGCCTGGGCTCCATCCTCGTCGTTCTCCAGGTTCTATTCCAGAACACAGGGCTCAGAGGGGTTACTGGGCTCAGGCCCTTCCTCACTCCCCTCTGGTGGAGAGGAAGAAAGGGAGCCCACACAGCTGTTTGCCTGGCCGCCTGACAGCTGCTCCCTCCGCCCTCCCCGCAGAACGGGTTTGGTGATTCACAGAAACTGAAACCCAGGTAGGAGTACGAGCTGGGGGCTTTGGCAGGGAGGAGCCAGCAGGGGCTAGCTGAGGCTCCTGGGGCCAGGAGATCTCCCAAACTTTGGGAATCAGGGTGGGGGTGTCAGCATGGCATTTCGGGGGCCCAGTATGGAGGCCCTGGATTTGGGAGGCCAGGGAAGGGCAGGCCAATCGTTTCCAGGTTTGGGGCATAGGAATCTTGTTCAGGTTCTCAAGACAAGGAGTCTAGAGATGGTGGAGGTCCTCTGGGAAAAGGGGGATTTCCAGTTTAGTGGGCGCCATGGCACAGGCAAGGACTCACTCATCATGTGAGTCAGGGCCTTCAGCTCTGGAGGAAAGAATGGGGTGGGGACTTCCAGAACAGAAAAAGGGGTGCTGGTTCCCGTTGGATTATATGGCCTGGGGCTCTCAGGGCTGCTTCTGAGTATGGACAAAGTTTGGTTCAAGTACAGAAGAGTTCCCCATCCCTGTGGGGTAAGGAAAGGGAGGGTTAGTACCCAGGATGGACGGGGTCTCAAGGTTGGGGTCTCCAGCTGGGGTGGGGGCAAGCTCCTGGGTGTGGGCTCTCCAATAGTAGCTGGGGACTGAAATCAGAACTGAGAGGGTCTGGGCAGGGATTTGGATCAGTGGCCACCTCCCGGGGGCGGTCTCCCGCTCCGGCCGAGGCTTCTAGTCAGATTCTCGAGTTGGGGTTCTCCGGGGTCCGGCCTGGGGTCCGCTCAGACTCAGGCGAAGGTGGGGTGAGGTGGGCCGGGCGGTTCACCTGGTAGCGCAGCCGGGACTGCTTGTCCTCGTCGGCCACCTCGAACCGGGCCCGGCGCTCGAAGTGCAGCGGCCCGAAGCGGGCGACCCCGCTGGGCTCGAGCCCAGGGCCCGCGTCCTCCAGGGACAGCTCGAAGGCGTCATCAATGCTGAACTGGGGCCGGGAGGCACTCATGGCCCGGGCCCGCTCAGGCGCGCTGCGCGGTCGCCATCTGCGCCCGCAGGCCCCGCCCCCGCGCGCAGGCCCCGCTCCCCGTGCCGTCGTCTAGGTTGCTCGACGGTCCGGCGCCCTGGCCGAGGCCCCGCCCTTACATACCGGCCCCGCCCCCTCCCGCCTTCAGCAGGCCAGGGCTGCCGAGCGCCGAGCAGACCGAAGGACTGGGCCCTCTCTCTTCCGGAACGAGCTGGGCTCGCCACGCCGCCCAGCGGCCGCCTCGGCCAGCGACAGCGGGTGCCGCTCTCGGAGGCAATCCCTGGGTGTATACAAGGGTCTTGGAGGAGCTGCCACGCGCCAGCCTTCCAGGCCCGAGATAGAGCTGTCTGCATCCCAGCCCGCTCCTTGAGTGCCGAGCAGGCTCCTGAGGACTGTTTTCCCACCCTTACTCACCACGGTCCTGTTCGGGAGAGGGATTGTCACCACCGTGCAGTTCACTTCAGTCCAGTCGCTCAGTCGTGTCCGACTCTTAGGGACCCCGTGGACTGCAGCACGCCAGGCCTCCTTGTCCATCACCAACTCCCGAAGCTTACTAAAACTCATGTCCATCGCGTCGCTAATGCCATCCAACCATCTCATCCTCTGTCGTACCCTTCTCCTCCTGCCCCCAATCCCTCCCAGCATCAGGGTCTTTTCCAATGAGTCAACTCTTCGCGTGAGGTGGCCAAAGTATTGCAGTTTCAGCTTCAGCATCAGTCCTTCCAGTGAATATTCAGGGCTGATTTCCTTTAGGATGAACTGGTTGGATCTTCTTGCAGTCCAAGGGACTCTCAAGAGTCTTCTCCAACACCACAGTTCGAAAGCATCAATTCTTCGGCCCTCAGCTTTCTTCACAGTCCAACTCTCACATCCATACATGACTACTGGAAAAACCACAGCTTTGGCTAGATGGACCTTTGTCAGCAAAGTAATGTCTCTGCTTTTTAATATGCTGTCTAGGTGCAGATGTGGAAAAAGTTTATGTGGCTTGCACTGGTTTCCACGCAGCAGGCAAAGTGGTCTTTTAAAACATATCTCTCTGTTTGTCTTAAAACTTTTTTGTTTTTTAAATATACTGCCAAGTCACTCCTCTGCAGAAAACCATCCCTTGGTTTTCCATTGTGATTAGAATAATACCTGAACTCTTGACTAAATTCCACACAGAGCTCTGAACGGTTGCTGCCTACCTCTCCCAATCTGATCAAGTCCCCCTCTGCCCCTCTTTCACCTCATTCAGCCACACAGGCCAAGCTCTTTCCATCTCAGGGCCTTTGCAAGTGGTTTTTTCTATGCCGGGAAAGCACTTAACCTTGCTCTTTCACTGGGGTGGGGGGTGAGGGGGATTTTTTCATCATCTGTGTCCCTGCTGTAATGTCACCTCTCAGAGAAGCCATGCCTGACTCTGCAATCTAAAGTCAGTTTCATATCACATAGCACTTACCTGAAATTATGGTGTTTTACACTGTCTTATTCACACTGTGTCCACTGTGCCCAGAACAGTGTTTGGCGCTAAGTAGATCCTCAATAAATATTTGTGGACGACATGAATGCTTCATTCCCAGTTCCCTAATGCTTGTGAGTAGTAGGACTGGGATTTGAACTCAGGTCCCCCTAGCTCTAGGGGTGCTCACGCTCCTCCATCTACCCACCGTCTTTCACTTTGTGACTTCATGTACAGAGCTGAGTCAATCCTGCACAGTTTGTGACACATCATCACTATGAACAAGGCCCCTCTTGAGTTATGTTCATTTATTTTCCTTCCTTCACCCCTGTTTTTCCTCCTGCCTTCTGTGAGACCCCACAGCAGTGTGCTCAATCCGCTGCTTTGAATCCTGTCTGGCCCTCTGCTCCACGTGGCATTGGCTCATACGTGGGTGTGTTTGCAATTTACAAACATAGTATCCTGTATAACACTCATTCTGTTGTTTTCATTTTTACCTTCAACACTAATGTTTTCCACCTGCACCTCATTTTTGCTTCTACTAACTACATTTGGCATACTGTGTTGAGCATCCAGCACTTTTATTATCCACCAGAGCCCTCAATGATATACACTTAGCTTGGCCTCAATGCCCCCATCACATAAGTCGCTGTTGTGAACATCTTCATACTGTCTGCTTATGAAGAGTAGAAAAAGCCCTCTTGAAGTAGGACTCCCAGGCCGTAGGGTAGATGTGCCACTGACTTCACAAAGTATCGTAGATGGTCTCTTGAGTAGCTGTACAAATTTGCACTCCCATCATACAGGTTCCAGTTTTCTCTAGGCCCTCAGTATTCCAACTTTGTAATGGCCGATTAATCTAGATTTTTCGAGGGAGCTGCACCCAGAGGAATGTGGGATCTTTGCACCCTGACCAGGGATTGAACCTGTGCCCCTGGCGATGGAAGCATGGATTCTTTTTTTTTTTTTTTCCATTTNTTTTTTGTTTTTTGTTTTTCCATTTATTTTTATTAGTTGGAGGCTAATTACTTTACATCATTGCAGTGGTTTTTGTCATACATTGAAATGAATTAGCCATGGATTTACATGTATTGGAAGCATGGATTCTTAACCACCGGACCACTAGGAAAGTCCTATGACTGATGAATCTAAAGTTGGGTCTCTTTTTCATCTGGTGTCTCTGACAACGGGAGAATTTGATCAGCTCTTCACGCACATGTCAGTTCATGGTGATTCCTCTTCTGTGAATTGTCTGTTCCTACCCTTTGATCATTTTTTTTCTGTTGTGTTTCTAGCCTTTTTCCTGCTGTATTGCATGTCTGTACTTATCTAATTAATCTCTTGCTGGTTTTTGTTGCATATATCTCCTCCTTGTTCATCTTTGTCTCCTTACTTTGTCTAAGTTGCCCTTAAAGAACCATCCTCATTTTTGTACAGTCAAATCCATTAGGTTTGTCGCACTGGCATTCCAGCCTTCTTTGCGCTCGCTAGCTTTGGGATCTCGGAGGGCCAGGACAAGGTGGAGGGGAGTGAGGCACTCATCTTGGGTGAAAACTTTAAGGTGACACCAAAAAACTCAGTAAGCAAGATGAACAATATTTTAATACATTATCTTTTAATATTTGTTCAACTGTGTCATGTCTCAGTTGTGCACACAGGGTCTTCATCGTGGGATGTGGAATCTTTTCATTGTGTGTGGGCTCCAGAGATCCAGGGCCCATTAGTTGTGAAGCTCAGGTTTAACTGTATGTAGGATCTTAGCTCCCTGACCAGGGATCAAACCTGTGTCCCCTACATTGGAGGGCAGATTTTTAATCACTGGACCACGAGGGAAATTCTCAATGCATTATTTTTTTTTTTAATCAAATTGAAGGTAAAAATCCATGATGAACAAAATATCAAAATTTTGAATAAAAATGGGATTAGATCTTACATGATCCACTGTACCCTGATCAGGACCTTGCTTTGAGCAAGTCACATGACCTTTCTGTGCCTCAGTTTCCTCCTTTGTCAGATGGAGCTAATAACAGTGTGTTTCCTTCGCAGGACATTAATTTAAGATTAAATTAGTACATAATCAGCAGCATAACACAGTGTCTGGCACATGTCAATACTTGATCAGTGTTAAGGATTAAAACAATTCATGAGATCCTTAACCCTATAGTTTCTACCTTTGGACAGGGTGCAAGAAGACATCTAGATTTATTTCAATGTAGAGTGAGTTTAGATAGCATATTAAAAAGCAGAGACATTACTTTGCCAACAAAGGTCCACCTAGTCAAGGCTATGGTTTTTCCAGTAGTCATGTATGGATGTGAGAGTTGGACTGTGAAGAAAGCTGAGTGCTGAAAAATTGATGCTTTTGAACTGTGGTGTTGGAGAAGACTCTTGAGAGTCCCTTGGACTGCAAGGAGATCCAACCAGTCCATCTTAAAGGAGATCAGTCCTGGGTGTTCATTGGAAGGACTGATGCTGAAGCTGAAACTGCAATACTTTGGCCACCTCACGCGAAGAGTTGACTCATTGGAAAAGACCCTGATGCTGGGAGGGATTGGGGGCAGGAGGAGAAGGGTACCACAGAGGATGAGATGGCTGGATGGCATCACCGACTCGATGGGCATGAGTTTGAGTAAACTCTGGGTGTTGGTGACGGACAGGGCGGCCTGGCGTGCTGAGATTCATGGGGTCACAAGGAGTCAGACACGACTGACCGACTGAACTGAACTGAACTGAGAGTGAATTTGTTTCCTCAGCACTATCTACCAAACAATCAGTTCATTCTCCTTCTGAACTGTGGTGCCATTTTTATCAGACATCAAGTATGTTGTTGCTAACATACATATCTATTTTAAGGTCTGATTTTGGTTCCTCTGGTTCGCTTGACTAATTCTCAGCCAGAACCATGTGCTTTTTATTACTATGGTTTGCCCTGAGGTTTAATATAGCAGGGAAAGTCCCCTGCTTTGGTCATCTTTTTCAACCTTGATCTAGCTTTTCACAGACTTTTATTCTTCTACAAAAGTATTACAAAAATCTTCTATAAATATCCTCCCAATTATCACTGGGATTTCACTTAATTTTTAGATTAATTTCAGAAGAAATCACAGCTTTAAATGTTAAACTGTTCTAGTCATTAACAAGGTATGCCACTTCAGTTATTTGTATTTTCTTTTATGCTCTTAAAGTATTTTTTCTCTAAAAAGCTCTGGGCTGTGTTATTTCCTAAATACTTTCTGATTTTTATTGCTGTTTATTTTCTACTACATTTTTGGGTGGGTTATTGATAATGTTAAGAGTGTTATTAATTTTGTAACATTGCTGACTCTAATTTATTAAACTTGTCTGTAGATTCTGTTGGATTTTCTATGTAGATATAATCACTAATTTCTTTTTCTTGGTTTATTGCTTTGGCCAGGACTTCCAATACTTTGCTAAACAACATCATTGATAGGGAACATTCCTTACTTTGTTCCTGATCTTGAAGGGAATGTGAGTATTTATCCATCATACTTAATTGCATATGGCTTATGTCATTCTGATCAAGTTCCTCTTTTCCCCTATGAGTTTTTATCATAGTCATCAAAGCAAATTCCATCAGATACTTTTTTTGCATATTTTGAAATAATTATATGAGTTTTCTCCTATAATTCACTGATTTGATGAATTATAATAATGGATTGAATTATAATAATGGATTTTTTTTTTTTTTTTGGCCAAAGGGCGTGGCATGTGGGACCTTAGTTCCCCAACCAGGGAGGAACTGAGCCTCCTGCACTGGAAGTGTGGTCTCAAGCAGTGGCCCACCAGGGAAGTTCAGTAATGACTGTTTCTAATGTTAAACCATTCTTGGTTAAATCACTCTTGGAATGAGCCCTACTTGATCCTTTTTTTTTTTTTTCTTTTTCTTAAAAATTATTCATTTATTTGGCTATGTTGGATCTTAGCTGAGGTGGGCTCCAGAGCATGCAGGCTCAATAGTTGTGGTGTTTGGGCTCAGTTTCCTGAACATGTGGGATCTTAGTTGTCCAGCCAGGGATTGAACCCATTTCCCCTGCATTGCAAGGCAGATTCTTAACCACTGAAACACCGGGAAGTCCCCTTTTTTTTCCTTTTGAGAAAGCATTTAAAAATTTTAATTGTGGGTAATACACATGAAATGTATTATCTTAAACATTTTTTAAGTGCAAATTTCAGTAATGCTTTGTTGTTGTTCAGTTTCTAAGTCATGTCCAACTCTTTGTGACCCCATGCACTGCAGCAGGCCAGGCTTCCCTTTCCCTCACTATCTCCCGGAGCTTCCTTCAATATCTCAAACTCATATCCATTGAGTCAATGATGCCATCCAACCATCTCATTCTCTGTCATCTCCTTCTCCTCCTGCTCTCAATCTTTCCCAGCATCAGGGCCTTTTCCTGTGAGTCGACTCTTCACATCAGGTGGCCAAAGTATTGGAGCTTCAGCTTCAGCATCAGTCCTTCTAATGAATATTCAAGGTTGATTTCCTTTAGGATTAACTGGTTTGATCTCCTTGCAGCCCAAGGGACTCTCAAGAGTCTTCTCCAACACCACAGTTGGAAAGCATCAATTCTTCAGCACTCAGCCTTCTTTATGGTCCAAGTCTCACATCTGTACATGACTACTGGAAAGACCATAGCTTTGACTATAAGGACCTTTGTCAGCAAAGTGATGTCTCTGCTTTTTAATACGCTGTCTAGGTTTGTCATAGCTTTTCTTCCAAGGAGCAAGTGTCTTTTAAGTTTCATGGCTGCAGTCACCATCCACAGTGATTTTGGAACCCAGGAAAGTAAAATCTGCCACTGTTTCCATTGTTTCCCCGTCTATTTGCCATGAAGTGATTGGACCAGATGCCATGATCTTCGTTTTTTGAATGTTGAGTTTTAAGCCAGCTTTTTCACTCTCTTCTTTCACCTTCATCAAGAGGCTCTTTAGTTCCACTTCACTTTCTGCCATTAGGGTGGTGCCATCTGCGTTTCTAAGGTTGTTGATATTTCTGCTGGTTCCAGCTTGAGCTTCATCCAGCCCAGCATTTCAGATGATGTACTCTGCATATAAGTTAAATAAGCAGGGTGACAATATACAGCTTTGATGTATATTGTAGTAGTGCTTGTAGTAGTTGCAGTGTTGCAGTGCTATTGAATATATTCACAGGAATTGCCTAGTGGCCTACTGGTTAGGATTCCAGGTTTTTGTTGCCATGGCCTGGGTTCAAACCCAGTTTGGAGAACTGAGATCCTGAAATTCATGTGGCAAAAAAGCAAAAACACAACAACAAAAAACCATGTTCACATTGTTGTATAACCAATCTCTAGGATCTTTTCATCTTGCAAAACTAAACTGTACCCATGAAACAACTCCCCATTTCCTTCCCTCCCCCTACTCAACTACCATTTAACTTTGTCTCCATGAATTTAACTTTGTCTCTAGGTACCTCATATAAATGAAATAATGTATTAATAATATTTGTCTTTTTGTGAATGGCACTCTTTTAGCATACTGAGGCATTTTTATATATACTAGTGGATTCATTTCGGATTTTTCATATCTATGTATGTGTGCGTGCATGCACAGTCATGTCGGACTCTTTGCCACCCCAAGGACTGTAGCCCTCCAGACTCCTCTATCCATGGGATTTCCCAGGCAAGAATACTGGAGTGGGTTGTGATTTCCTACTCCTGGGGATCTTCCCGACCCAGGGATCAAACCTGACTCTCTGTGTCTCCTGCATTGCAGGTGGATTCTTTGCCCCTGTGCCAACTGGGAAATCCTTCATATCTATATTTATTAGTAAAATCGGTGTAGACTTAACTTGCCTTATGGTTTAAGTATCTTTTTTAGAATCAAGATTAAACTAGTCTCATAAAATATATAGGTTGACTTTCCCTCTTTTTCCATTTTTCTGGAACAATCTGTGTAAGAATACAGACTACTCGTTGCTTCAGAATTCGGCAGAACTTGCCTGTAAAACATCCTGTGCGAGTAAAAAACAAAACACGTTTCCCTTTCTCCCCCGAGGTTCCACCTCTCTCGGGGGACTTCTTGGGGGAAATGAACCAACATAAACTTCTGAAGCCCTCAGCACGTGGGGCAAAGGGGATGGACAGTAATTCTTCCCATGAAGATGGAGTCAGGACAGCGCACAGACCTCAAGACATTCCCTTTTTCGGTTACCTAAACCTTGGGCTGAAAGGAGATCCAACCAGTGCATCCTAAAGGAAATCAGTCCTGAATATTCTTTGGAAGGACAGATGCTGAAGCTGAAACTCCAAAACTTTGGCCACCTGATGCAAAGAAATGACTCATTGGAAAAGACCCTGATGCTGGGAAAGACTGAAGACAGGAGAAAGGGATGACAGAGGATGAGATGGCTGGATGGCATCACTGACTCTATGGACATGAGTTTGAGTAAGCTCTGGGAGTTGGTGATGGACAGGGAGGCCTGGCATGCTGCAGTCCATGGGGTTGCAAAGAGTCGGACACGACTGAGCGAGTGAACTGAACTGAACTGAAACCTCGAAAGTGGGAGAAAACTCTTAGAGCTATTCTTCACTAATTTCCAGAGGCGGAGAGAAACGGTTTAGCCTCTGAAGTGCCTCATTTCTGTCATTCCTGTATTCCCTAATATTCACTGGGCCTAATATTCACGCGGTGGACCCCGTGGTGACGACACGGCTAGCCCGGACCCCACAAGCGGCTGTCCGTCTTCTGGGGAGCCTACGATTCCCACGGGAATACAGAAACCCTCCTCCCCCTCCTTCTTACACCTAGATTGACTGACTGATTGAAGAGAAAAATTCAGGATGGACACGCACGACTATTGTGCTAGGCAAGCTAAAAGAAAAAACAAAAGGAATACACAAAAATAGTAGTTTTAGGAGCTGGCCTTACGCATGGCGGCCTTCCCTCCCCCCACTTCTGTAACGCTGTCGTGCTACTTCTACAACTTTAAATAGCTTGGCACACGGCCACTTGGGACGGCCCAAACCAAATCGGTTCAAGGACACAGTTCCTAGGAACGCCCCAGGCCCCGCCCCGCCCGGCAGACTCCGGCCCCGCCTCTCTCACAGGCCCCGGCCCCGCCCCTGGCCAGATACGCGCGCTCAGCCGCGGAGCAAGAACCAATCACAGCCCGCTTCTACGTTCGGGCTCTTTTCGGCGTCTGCCCTTAGCCGAAATGGCGCCAGCTCGGAAGTTCCCGAAGTTCTAGAAGTTGCCGAAGCAAGTCCGGAAGCTGCCGAGCGAGTCCGGAAGTTGCCGAAAGAGAGCAGCGGGGAAGGAGGATGGCGGATATCATCGCAAGACTCCGGGAGGACGGGATCCAAAAGCGTGTGATACAAGAGGGCCGAGGAGCGCTCCCTGACTTTCAGGATGGAACCAAGGTTCGTGTCGACCCGTTTCCCCTTAACCCGTCGGTGGCGCGGTGCGCATGCGAGGCGGGAGGAGGCCTTAGGCGAGAGATCGCGCATGCCCAGACAGCAGTGGTCGGTGACCCTACCGCTCACATGCCGAGCTCGACGCTGATTGGCTTGGAATTAAGTAGAGGGTGAATTCGGATGCGTGAGCTCCGCCCCGTGGCTTGGCCGGGTGGCCACATAGGCCAGGGAGGCCGTCAGTCATCAATAAATATTTTGCGGTAGGTGGGGGTGTTGATCCCATTGCTTACACAGACCCAGCTCTGGAGAAGACCCCAAACGGGAAACCTGGGCTCTGGGAGGGGCCCCTGGATTGCAAGGTTCAAGGTCTGCTATAGATGGAAGGAAGGGCCTTCTGAAAACGTAGATCAGCTCCCATTGCTTAGATGGGAAAACTGAGGCCCTGGGATGCACAAACCCAGAGAACAGGCTAGGGGGGTCGGGTCTACCAGAGGAGAACCCTTTTGACAGCCTTCCTACTGCTCTTCGTGGCATTGGGTCTAGACAGATAAGGGCTGAGAAATAAAGAGCCCCCCATCTTCCTCCTCTGCACATCCAGGATCCTAGCTCCAGCCTCTTCCACCCCTCCCTGCCCCAATAATGTACGCCTCCAGGTTTACCTCCTTCTGCTCACGCAGTTCCTTCTTCTGGAGGGCCTCCCAGTTGCCGCTTGTCCGTAGAGTACGGGCCTCCTGGGGGCAGCCCCTGTGCCCAGCAGAGCAGTCACACAGGATATGCATATTGAGTGAATGAGTAAAAGTCCTGGCACTGAAAATAACTGAAGTGACATATCTTCTTTTTTTTTTGGCTGTGCTGGGTTTTCATGGCTAAGCGTGGGCTTTCTCTAGTTGTGGAGAGTGGAGGCTACTCTCTAGTTGCTTCCTTCACAAGCTTCTCACTATGGAGCGCAGCCTCAGTAGCTGTGGCACACAGGCTTAATTGCCTCATAATATGTGGGATCTTCCTGGACCAGGGATCGAACCTGTGTCCCCTGCATTGGCAGGCAGATTTTTAACCTCTGGACTGCCAGGGAAGTCCTGAAGTGACATATCTTGTTGATGACTAGAACAGTTGAATGTTTAAAACATACAGGGGACACCAAATGTAAGAACTACTGTGCTGACAAGAGCTGCGCAGAGATTGCAAAGGTAAAGCTCCGAGCCTGGCTCACAGGAGTGCCCTGAGGCAGAACTGCATAGCCCTAGTGATCAGTGATATGTAGAGGGATGCTTCTGCAGATGAGAGAAGGGGTGTGGATGAAGTTCCCCATGGGTTGGGGCTGGGGGGGGTGGTGGTTGGTGGCCTTGAGGAAGGTCTTGGCAAGTGAGATCTTGGATGGAACAGACACCAGTTGGAGAAAACACCAAAAATAGTGATGATCTGTGAACAATGACACTGAAAGAATAGGGACAAATAAACAAACAAACAATCACCGGCATTGATTGAGGGTTCACAAGAGCACGGTGCTCGATGCTTCACAAGTTTGCTTTCATTCTCACAAGGCGAGGTAGGTACTGTTGCTAACTCCATTTTACTGATGCGGAAACGGAGTTCAGAGGGGTGGCTAGGGGTGGGAAAGAGTGTGGGTTCCTCTAACCATATCCTGTGGAGGGTTCAGTCTCGAGACTTCTCTTCACTCACCCTGAGATGATCTCATCCAGGCTCGTGTTTTTTAAGAAACTCTCCATGCATGCCTGGACCACTCCCAAATGTGTGTGTCTAGCCTTCCCTCCCCCTTAAAGTTGATATCTGGTTCCCTACTCACCTTCTCCACCTGGATGTCTCATTGGCAACTTAACCTGCTCCCCTCAAGCCTCTCATCTCAGGGAAGGGCCCCTCCAGCCTTTTGGTTGCTCAGGCCAAAACCTCCCAGTCTCCATGCCTCCTCCTCTCCTCCTTCTGTTCTGATACACCCACCCCGCCCCCCGCCGAGAAGATCCTCAAGATACACTCAAGATCTGACCACTTCTACCACTCCCACCATGGTCCAGGCTGCCTTCGTCTCTCCCCTGGGTTATTCCAGTAACGTCTTAACTCATCTCCTGCTTCTGTATTCCCAGCTGTCCTGCCTGTCTCATCCCCACAGCAGCAGAACCTACATCAGATCATGTCCCTCCTCTCCTTTGGAGCCACCCGGTGGCTCCCATTTCAGAGTGAAAAAGCAAAGTCCTCACCACGGGCTTTAGGCTCTGTGGGGTCCCTCCCTGCTGACCTGCTGACCCCGTGAGGTATCCCCCTCCCCCTGGTTCACTCTGCTCCTGCTGCTGCGCTGGCCTCCCGCTTCGTGAACACACCACACACTGCCCCTCTGCAAGGCCTTTGCACCTGCTGTTCTTTTGGCCAAGAAATTTCCTGCCCCTTCCTACCTCAGCATCTGTCTGGCTTGCTTCTCCTGTACTCCTTTCACATCTCTGCTTTCTCTCTCTCTCTCTCTTTTTTTTTAGTGGGGGGAGGGCACACAGTGCAGCTCGCAGGATCCTAGTTCCCTGACCAGGGATCGAACCTGAGCCCCAGCAGTGAAACTGTCAACTCCTAACCACGGAACTGCCAGGGAGTTCCTTCAGTGACTCTGGCTCCCTGAACTCACTGTGCCTTACCCTGCTGTGTTTTGATGTCTGATCCATAGCGTTTTGCTCCACCTCACAGAGCATGTTTTGTTTGAGGCCCGTCTCTTTCCTTTAAAAGTTCCCTGTGAGCTACACGGGGGCGGGGGCTTTTGTCTGTTTTGTTGACTGCCAGGCCTAGCACAGAGCTCAGGCAGGTAGTTGTTTAGTCGCTAAGTCGTGTCCAACCCTTTGCGACCCCATGGACTGCAGCACGCCAGGCCTCCCTGTCCTTCACTGTGTCCTGGAGCTTGTGCAAAATCATGTCCATTGAGTCGGTGATGCCATCCAACCATCTCGTCCTCTGTCAATATTGTTGAAAGAATGACTAAAGCCAGACCCCTTGGGCTCTCATCCCAGCCCATCCACCCACTCGCCATGTGACTGGGACCCCTTCCCTCCTGGGTGGAGCGGTAAAGGTCAGGTGGTGAGCCCTGTCCCTTGTGTCACCTGCAGGCTGTGAGCTGGCCTTGTCCTTGTGGTTGTGGGAAGGCCGTGCCCTTGTCTGATCCCATTTGCGGCCCGCAGGCCACGTTCCACTACCGGACTCTGCGCAGTGACGAGGAGGGCGCCGTGCTGGACGACAGCCGGGTGCGTGGCAAGCCCATGGAACTCATCATCGGCAAGAAGTTCAAGCTGCCTGTGTGGGAGACCATTGTGCGCACCATGCGGGAGGGGGAGATCGCCCAGTTCTGCTGCGATGTCAAGGTACCCCGTGCCCCGCGCCTGCCTGCGTCTGTCTGGCCACACCCAATTCCCCATCCTCTGCCCTGGCCGGGCCACCACCAACTCCCTCCAGGGCTCTGCACTACCAGGACACTGGCCTCCTGGCCCCTAGTCTGCCTTTTCCTCTCCTTTAGCCGGACTGCAGCCAGGGACTGGCTCTCAAATGCAATAATCGCTATAGCTCCTTGCTTTAATCCCCTCTGCTCCTGGTCACTGTTGAGTTGAAGCACAAGCCATAGGTGCCCACGTGGCCCCTGCAGGGCCTCCCTCTCACTCACCTCCCTGTGTTCCCATCTCCTTCTTAGCCAACATCTTCCTTCCTACTGCAAACTAATTCCTGGGTCACCACCCCCAGGAAGCCTTCCCTGACTACTGGTGTTTGGCTTGAACCCCTCCTCTGGGTTCTCCACCCCTCACACTCTGCATGGCCAGGATCTGGTCCTTTGTCTGCATCTAGGCTACTTCAGGGCAGTGACTGGGCCTGTTTACCTTGAAAGTGCCCAGTGTGGGCCAGCCCAGAGCCAAGACTCAGAACATATCTGCTGACTGGATGAACATTAGCTGAGCAGTCAGCCCCAAGCCGACGACAGGGTCAGTGAGAAGAGCTGGTTAGGCGTGGGGATGGTCTGATTTCTGCCATCCCAGCAGATGTTCCTAGTGAAAGGTCAAAAGCTAGGTCCCTGGGACTTCCCTGGTGATCCAGTGGTTAAGACTCTGCACTTCCAGTGCAGGGGGCCTGGGTTGGATCCCTGGTCGGGGAACTAAGATCCTACATGCCGCGTGGCCGAAAAGTAAAAAAATAAAGTGGGCCAAGACTGAAAAAAACAAAACAAAACCATAAAAAAGCTAGGTCTCCAATGCCTGAGGGTCCTCCATGAGGATTTTGAAGTTGCTGCCCTAATCCCAACTCAGAGAGGGGACCTGAAAGGGGTGGGGCCGGAGAGAAGAGATGCTGGGAACAGAGTGTGAAGGGCCCCTGGAAGGGTGAGGAGCCCAGCTTGTGGGCTGCAAACCTGCAAGCCTGGGAGGAGGAGAGGTAAGAATTCCCCTGGGCTTGTCAGAGCTGGCAGACAGGTTGGCAGTGGGAGTGTGTGTGTGTGGCGGGTGTGTGTGTGTGGCGGGTGTATGTGTGTGGCGGTGGTCGGAAGCATGGGTGTTCGGCTTGAAAGTGATGGAGGGCTGGGAGGCCAGAGGAGTCTGGAGGGAAAAGTCTTCCTGGGTTTCGCCTGAACCAGATGCTGGTTCTCTGGGCCTGTGTCCTTTCTCAGATGGTGATGGGGCAAAGGGCGGGGCCTTTTGAGCCCACTACCAGCCAGCACGTGCTGACAGAGCCCCCCATGCCCACTCACCCTCTGCAGCACGTGGTGCTGTACCCACTGGTGGCCAAGAGTCTACGCAACATCGCAGCCGGCAAGGACCCGCTGGAGGGCCAGCGGCACTGCTGTGGCATCGCCCAGATGCATGAGCACAACTCCCTGGGCCACGCTGACCTGGATGCCCTGCAGCAGAACCCCCAGCCTCTCATCTTCGACATCGAGATGCTGAAGGTGAGGGGCCTCCAAGCCAAACCCCTACCGCCCAGCTTCAGAGAGGGTGCCAGCCCTGCCCGCTTGCCCAGAGCTAGGGGCCTCCCTGACTGTTCGGGGGCTGGGGTGGAATAGGCACAAGGACGCCTTGGCAGTGCCCTCCCTCCTGGGGCCCCTCCCCACTCCTCAGGTCTCTGCCAAGACAGGGCTTTTCACCATCTTGCTCATTGCTCTGTTTCTAGAACCCAGCACAGTGCTGGGCATGCAGGAGATGCTACATACATATTTGTTGAAGGGTCAGTGGATGAAGAAGTGATTCTGCTTCTTGTACCCAGTGTCCTGGGCCCGGCCAGCCCAGAGATTGACCCCGGGTCCTGAGCTGGCTTATGCCCCGGCAGGTGGAGAACCCTGGCACGTACCAGCAGGACCCGTGGGCAATGACGGATGAAGAGAAGGCAAAGGCGGTGCCGGTCATCCACCAGGAGGGTAACCGATTGTACCGTGAGGGCCACGTGAAGGAGGCCGCTGCCAAGTACTATGACGCCATCGCCTGCCTCAAGAACCTTCAGATGAAGGTGCTGCCTGGAGGCTGCGGTGGGTGAGGGGAGGGGTCAGGTGGGGTCCAGGGGGCCCAGGTTTCAGCATCTTTTGCTCTCTCCCTGCCTCCGTGCCCCCAGGAACAGCCTGGGTCCCCCGACTGGATCCAGCTGGATCAGCAGATCACCCCACTGCTGCTCAACTACTGTCAGTGCAAGCTGGTGGCTGAAGAGTATTACGAAGTGCTGGATCACTGCTCCTCCATCCTCAATAAGTATGATGGTGAGTGCTGGGTCGCCAGGGCAGGGGGCCAGCAGGTGGTCAGGCAGGCGGCCTCCTCCATCGCCTCTGGGTCTTCAGTATCACCCCCGTTCTGAACTCCCATGGGAGCCTGACCCAATCTCTCCTACCCAGGTGGGGCCGTGGGCCCTGCTGTGCCAGCGAGGTACGAATGGGGCTTGGGGGCGGGGTTGGCATCCTCAGGGCAGGAGGGCTTCATTCACGCCGGGCCCCTGGTGCCAGAAGTCACGGTGGGGTGCAGGTTGGCCCCCGTTTCTCATGCCCTTGTGTGTTTGCTGCCCACTGGCGCCCCCTGCAGACAATGTCAAGGCCTACTTCAAGCGTGGCAAGGCCCACGCGGCGGTGTGGAATGCCCAGGAGGCCCAGGCTGACTTTGCCAAGGTGTTGCAGCTGGACCCGGCCCTGGCGCCTGTGGTGAGCCGCGAGCTGCGGGCCCTGGAGGCGCGGATCCGCCAGAAGGACGAGGAGGACAAGGCCCGCTTCCGGGGCATCTTCTCCCACTGATGGGGCCCCGCCGGCCCGGCTGCCCCGCCCGCTGCTGCTGCCAGCCCACCCCCACCCCACTATATCATGCTTCTCTGTATATAAAGGCCTTATTTATCTGTCTCTCTCTCCCTCTCTGGGCCTGCCGAGCTGATCCACTGGGAAAGCTGGGGTCATTGCCCCTCATTTCCTGGTACTCGGGTGGTTTGGGGAGGCAAACAATTGGGGTTCTAATCCCAGTTCCCCGTTCATCAGCTCTGAGACCTCTTTGGGCCTCCATGTGCCTGACAGAGACAAGCATGGTCTCTGTCACAAGGGAAGTGTTTCTTGCTGGTCAGGGCCAAGGTTCCTGGGAGCCTTCAGTCTTAAGCGGGGAGAGGAAGCAAGTGCAAGCCAAGAGGCTTAGTGCCTGGGTGAGGTGGGCTCCCAGTGCAGCCCTCCCCATCGCCCCCTCCCAACCCCCAGTCCCATGGCCTCAGCGCATGCAGGCAGTGGCTCCCGTGAGAAGCCAAGTCTGGGCCCCTGGGAACTGAAAGGCCGGCCCAGGTGGGGAGGGGAGGCTGACTCTCCAGGCCCTGCCCTCTGACCTGCTGCCTGACCCTGGGCACATCCCAGCTCCTCTGCCCTTCAGCATCTCTGTTGAACTAGAAACTGTGAGCTGGGCTGCCCTGGGATGCTACAGTGGTGGGTAGTCAGGCGGGATGCAGGCGGTGTTTATTTCCGTGGAGTCACACACGCTGGAAAAGCCTCTGGACCCTTGCTGCTCCTTCCTCCAGCCCCCAGGGCTGGGTCCCCCAGCATGAAAGGGAACTAACACTGAGGGCAAAGAGATGCAGGCTGTGGGGCTGGGGCCCCAGCCTTCCACAGGCAGCCACAGGGGCTCCTCAAGTGTATGAATAAATAACCCAAGTCCAGCCACAGTTGGGACCTCACTCTTCACTGTCCAGCTTGAGGCTGATGCTCCGCGCCTTGCCCCGTGCCAGGGTGGTGGGTGGGGTCCCTGGGCCCTCCCGCTCCGCCTGGCTGGGGCCCCTTGAGCGGAGCAGCTGGCTCTGTTTCCGGAGGAAGTCCACAGGGGCAGCCCCGCCATAGCTGCTCTTGGCCAGGGCGGCCCTTGAGGGTCCCGCGGTGGCATGAGGGTGGGAGCCAGCCTCCAGCTGGCCCAGGTGGGCCACGTAGCCATCGGACAGGAACTGCGGGCAGAGGTGGGCCGGGTGAGGGGATGGCTGGTCTCGGGCCCACACACTGCCCTCACCTGCCCTTCCTAGGCTCTGGGCAGTGCTGGCTGCAGTACCGGGCTGGCACAGCCTGACCAAACCCCACCAGGGAGCCTGCCCCTCTCTGAGCCTCGTCCTGAGTTTCCTCATCTGTAAAATGGGGTTTTGGAGGGAAGTAACAGCAGCTGACATTTAGCAGGCACTTGCTTTGTGCCTAGGCCAGTGCTCGCTGACATGCAGTATATTACGGTCTCTTCGTGACAGCTGCGGAGATCTGCGCAGGTTTATCCTTTCCATTTTACAGACAGGAAAGTGAGGCTCAGAGAGGTCAAGGCTTGTGCCCAGAACCATGCCAGCGTGGAACGAGCAAGGTCTTGCTCATACTCCAGCTTGAGTTACCCATTCTGGCCTGCCCGGCAGCTTCCAGCTGCTCCTGACCTCCCTGATCCTAGGAGAAGTCCAATTTTCCCGAAGCCGGCCAGCCTGATCCTGCCTCCCTCCTAGGTGCTTCTTAACAACACAAGTAGCCCTCACGGCCCAGACTCAGGCTCCCAAGCCCCAGCTGGCTCGCAGCCCCACCCTCATCGGCTCTCACCTGGCACTGCGCCTGCAGCTTCCGCACGGCGCGGCCCACGATGTAGGTCTGGCTAGCAGGCAGGCCCAGCGCCGCATACACGGCCACGTCTTTGGGGGACCCGTAGCCGGCCACGAAGTTCAGTTCCACCTGTGGCCGGAGAGGCCAATCAGCAGACCCCGGCGGGGGGGCGGGGCGGGAGACAGGGGGTGGGGTCTGGTGGGTTCGGTGCGGAAGGCTTAGGGGCGGGGACGCTTAGTCTCCATCACCAGGTCTGGCTGGGACGGTGGGACCAGCCTTGACCTCAAGGACTCTAGAGATCCCTGCGGGGATGTGCAGTCTGTTAGCCTGGGAGCCAGGGCCATGCGGGTGGGAACAAATGGGCCTCCTCCCGGGGCAATCGCGGGGTTCGGGGGCCCTCCCCAGCCACCACACCTCCTGCACCAGGCTCTGCAGGAACATCAACTTCTGGCGCAGTGGGTCGTGAGTGAGGCCATCGCAGAAGGAGACGACGCCGTGGGGGAAGTTGTGCTGCGACAGCCAGGCCACCACGCGGTGCTTCTGCATATCAGGACGGCCCGTCACGTACACAATCAGGTAGCCCGCGTCCTGCCAGTGCCTGCAGGGTGGGGCGGCGGTCAGCCCCGAGCGCCAGGGGTGGGGACCAGTCCTCACCGCGAGCCGGGGAAGGGAAGGGGCAGCCTTTCCTACCTGACCACGTCCACGGCGCCGGCGCGCACCTTGGGGTCGCTGCCCATGATGGACACACTGGCGGTGAAGGAGCCGTCGATGCTGAAGACCACGGCCTCAGTGCCGCGGGCCACCACCGTTAGGCAGCACTCGGCGTAGGTGTGGTCGCCCCTACGGCCCGGGGGAAGGGGCTGTGTGAGCGGCGTGGGGGCGGGGCCCATGGGAGCCCCGCCCCGCAGAGGCCGGGCCCGCCCCACGCTCACCTGACCACCATGCGCACCGGGTAAACGCCGACGCCCAGAGCACGCTCCAGGGGCACTGGGAAGGTGAGACGGCCCGAGCTGTTGGTGACCTCGGTGCCAAAGTGGATCCACTTGCCCGACAGCGGCTGCGTCATGATGTAGATGTCCACCTAGCAGGGAGAGAGGGCCAGAGGGTCCCCCTGAGCGGTGCGGAGCTGAGCGGAGGAGGGCTGAGGCGGGGGAAGGAGGACCGGGTTGGGGGATCAAGCCGGCAGGACCCGCAGCTGTCCAGGGAACAGGAAGCGGGACCCGCTTGGGGCCAGGTCAGGGGCCCCCGGGGGGGGGGGGCGGTCTACATGGGCCTGAGGCCTCTGTGTTCTAACCTTCTCTCCCGTGAGCGTGACTACATCCAAGGGTCCGTACATGAAGCGCCCGTTCAGCACCTGGGGGCGGCCCTCGCACACCACCGTGTCGCTCGCCCGGTGGTTGGAGGTGACGTTCTGGCGGGAGGAGACAGTGTGAGCCCGCAGCCAGGAGATGACAGGGAGGCGGGAAGAGCTGATGAGGGGGACCCGCGCCTTGAAGTGTGTGCGCGCTGCCTGGAGGAGGCGGGCCCGCTCGCTGCGAGGCCCGAGGGGTGGGCACTTCTGCTGACCCCGATCAGAGGTCGTGGGGGGGGTCCTCTGTGCGGACTGCAGTTCCAAGGGGCGGAGGCGATATAGAGCCGGTGCAGAGGCTGAGAGGGGCGAGGCGAGCGCCAATCCGAGACCGGACTTGGCGGAGGGGGCGGGGAAGAGACTCGGTGGTGCCCGGGGGCGGGGCCGAGGCAGGAGGAGGCGGGACCTGGGAGGGGCTTAGGAGCATCCCTGGGCCCACCTGTCGCAGGATGAAGGCCACCACGTCGGCCGACTCCCAGTAGCTGGCGTGGAAGAGGTGGGGCAGCGTGACGGTGGGGAAGGCGGTGAGCGCCTCCGGGCAGTACAGCGAGTAGTCAATCCGCTTGGTCCCCCACCAGCGCTCCAGGACTGCTCGGCCACGGTGGGCAGTGAGTCAGGGATGGCCTCCCACCCCAGGCCCACCTGTCTGGCCTCTCGGGCTCTTCCCTCCCTCTCTTCCACCAGCCCTGCTCTTTGCTGAGTCCAGAGTTGGGTGCTGGGGCCCCCTCGTTCCAGAGCAAATGCTCTGGGGCAAGGGTGTCTCTGCTGGGCTTCAGCAGTGGAACAAGTATCCGCACCCCCACCACTGCCCCTCACCTCCAGGCGGGATGGCTGGCTGGACTTACTCTTAACCACCTCACTAGTGGTGCTGGGGGCAGTTGGCTGGGCTGGCGGGTCACCGCCCAACTCACTGCCCTTCCAGAAAGCACCACTGGCAGACGTGGGCGTTGAGGGCACCAACATCTCCAGCTCCTCCAGAAAGAGGCCTGAGTGGGTCTGCAGAGTGTCAGCTGTGGGTGAAGGGCAGCCTCAGTGGTGGGCAGGGCCAGGCCTCCGTCCTGTCTTCCCACTGGGGTTCCAGGACTGCTCCGCCCTGCACCACCCCCATCTCCGCTGCCAGCCTTCCCTGGTCAGGTCTCGGCTGAGGCTGAACTGCCCCAGCGTGTGGGTGGATGCGAAGGGTGGGGGCATTCTCCCCTCTTAGCTCACCCCAGCAGCATTCCTGCCAGAATGCCTGCCACCATCACCCCAATCCAAGCCCACTTGTCTCATGGGGCCAGATGGGTACTCACTTACATGCATGTGTACACAACCCACACCAGGACGTGAACTCAAGTGCCCATGGAGACACAACTGCATCCCTAGACACGGATACAGCACCCCTTCACCCCCCGCCCCAGTGGCAGGTGGCTGCTCTCGAAGTCACTGCCTCCTTTCTTTAGCCCAGTCACCACCACTGCCCCCAGCATCTGGGCAGAGGGTCTTGGGGATCCAGACTGCCCAAGGGGCCAGGGGAGGGCTCCTGGTCCTGGGAGTGGTGACCTGAGAGAGTACCAATGATGTAGGAACTACCTCTTGGTGTGGGGGGTGGTCTATCTCCATCCCTCACTGTTGGGGCCCTTCTCTTTTTCCAGTTGAGTGCGTACCCAGCAGCAGAGATGAGCCATCTCCCAGAGGGAACTTCTGGTAGCGGGGCACTGCCAGGGGGGCGATGGCCTGGAACTTGGGGGCCAGCAGGGGCTCAAGGCGGGAGGCGCAGGGGTCAGCCGCGTGGAAGAGGTTGTAGATCTGCTCGCAGGCTGGCCGCATCTGGGCCACTGGTACCCAGAAGATAAGGAGAGAGGGGGTTCAGCTGAACGACCTGGGAGGTAGGGGTGGTGGGGAGTAGCTCCCTGACATGCTGGGTGACCCTGAAACAGCGCTTCCCAGACTGTACTCCCTGAGAGGTCCCTGGGGTCCTGCTTAAAAGTGAGACAGGTCTCTCGGCTAAGAAGGAATCAGTCTTTGATTTGCTGATGCTCAGGATGAAGCGTTCCCGAGGCCTCTTGGACCTCTTCTCAGGAAGGGCATCTGGGTGTATGAGTTCCTCCTGGTGCATGCTGGGAAACGTGGCCTTGGCAAGTCCCTTCTTTCTGGGCCTCAGGTTCCCCCTCTCTAGCCAAGCCACTTAATTTGTACAGTGGGGAATGGCGTAAATGCTCGAATTTCTGGTGAGAGGGAGAGGTTGGAGGAGCTAAGGGGAGAGGCAGATGGAGGAGGAGGCGTGCCCCCCACCTGCACCCCAAGGACTCACCCTCCAATGTGGGCATCACGGTTTTGCGCAGAGCCAGCACCAGGCCGAGCGGGGAGCCAAAGAGGAAGAAGCCGGAGACCTTGAAGTCAAGGCGGGCGGCACAGGGGGCACCGTCGGGAGCCTCAGAGGTGGCAGTGGGTGGGCAGGAGGCTGTGCTTGCCCGCCGGGGCTCCCCGGAGGAGGTGGCTGGTGGAGCTGCCTGCAGGCTGTGTGCGGAGGTGGCCGTCAGCGCTGCCACCTCCGCAGCCCAGCACAAGCCCAGTTTGGGGTTGATGGGGTGGGAATGTCACCTGTTTTGAGAGCCCTCAGGCTCGGGACCGGCCATGTCACTGGGGGTGCGCTGGGTGGGCAGGGCAGAGGGTTCTGGGCTGGCCCGGCCCAGCCCCTCAGCCCCCTCTGCTAGGGGATCCCGCACTGGGCCTGCCTCCGGGGAGAGCAGCTCATTGTTCTAGAAGGAGCAGGAGACAGAAACATCCTTAGGACTGGAGACAATCAATTTCTACTTATTTGGAAGTGAGGAAGGAGGTGTGGGGGTTGGGCAGGGACTTAGAGCCCAGAGCCCCAGAGGGGATGGACAGAGGCAGCAGGGAACAGGCTGGAGAGAGGTCAGATTCCGGGGGCAGAGAACTAGAGCAGGGGAGTCTCCTCGCTGCCCCCCCGCTGCCCCGCCCCGCTCCTCCGGTGGAGGCGGGTCCAGCCACACTGACCATACTTCCACGGCGGCTGCTGCTCCGGCTCCCAGTGCCCACGCTGGCACTGTGGCAGAGCGCATCAAAGCCCAGGATCCCGCCGACACCGTCCCCGATCAGCACCACCTGGGGGAGAGGGCAGCGCAGTCAGGAGGGGCTGCAGCAGAGGCAGGAGGGTGGGGGAGGCTCGGGCGGCAAGCTCCCCGGGAGCACCCCTAACCCCTGACCTGCCCGCAGAAGCCGGCGCCCTCGGAGGAGCGCAGGAAGGCCGAGTAGGCCTGGTTGGTGCGGGCGATGACTGTGGCCACGGCGCCCTGGTATCGGGATGACGAGGTGGCCAGCAGTGGCAGGGCAGCCAGGGGAATGTGGTCCTGGGAGCGGGACAGGCTGTCCCCATCATGGCTGTAGGGGCTCAGGCTGTAGGAGGAGGGGTGGAATGGATGGATGGGAGCATCCAGGCCCGCCTCTGCCTGCTCTAAGTCCCCTGACCTGTTGGCAAGTCCCAGCACCACGGGGGCTTTGTGGGGACCACCAGTATCCCAGAGGGCTCTGTGATGGAGCCATAGGCTAGAAACTGTGGTCCAGCTGGGTGGGTGACTGGCCCAGGTGTCTGGTTTGCTGCCTCCTCCCCCCGCCCCCCCATGGGGGCCTCTCTGGTTCCAGGAGCCTCCGGATGGCTGTCCACATCTCAGGGACCCTGTGTGTCCACCCCCCCCTCCACCCCCTGACCAGTACTTGGAGACGAGGGCATAGGCGGCGGCACAGATGGGTGGGCAGGGCACCAGGCGCAGTGCCACGTGGCCTAGGGCTTCGGGAAAGTGGACGCGGGTGACAGCCTCAAAGGCTAGGCTCAACGTCTGCACGTCCGCCCGCTTGGAGTCAGCATCTCCTGGGCCCGAGTCTAGGATGCTGCCACTGTGCAGGACGAGGAAGAGGGCATGGACCGCGCACGTGTCTGCCCCCAGCTCCCCGGCGCTGTCTCCATCTGGGCCCTGCGGGGGGCACAGTGTGACACCAGCATCAGAGCGGTGGCTGGTGGGTGGCCAGGCAGAACTGAGACGCGGGGTGGCCGGCCATACTCACTTCCGAGTCCCTGGGTGCCCGGGCCCCGTCCCCTAGGTCTTTGGTGCCCTCGGTTCCAGGGTCTATGGGAGGGGGAGAGCCAGGGAAAGAGACTGAGGGCTCTGTAGGGATGCCCTCATCTGGCACTTCAGGTGCCCCTCCTCGCTGTCTGCCTGGGCACTCCCCCCGGCCCCCATCTCCCTCGGACCTCCCCTTCTCACCCGACCCCCCCAGGTTATTTCACACTTCTAGGCCTTTGCACAGGCCAGCCAGTCCCTGCTGTTCCCAGAGACGCCTCTCCCCACAATGCCTGTTTGCCTGGAAGATTCCTTCTGATCCTGCCCTGTCCCATGTGGTAGCCATGAGCCACATGTGCCTGTTTAAGTCGAAGTGAATTAAAATACTATGTAAAATTCAGGTCCCCAGTCACACTCACCACATTTCAAGAACTTAAGAGTCACATGTGGCTAGTGACGAGTACCTTTCCATCATCTCAAGAAGTTCTTTTGGACAGAGCTGCTCTAATCCTTCAAAATCTGGTTTAGATCTCACCTCTTGCATGAAGACTTCCTGGACTCCAAATGAATTCCTCCATTCTTTGTTCTCTGTCTTACATTCTAACCATCCATGCATCCACCCATTATCCACTCATCATTAATGATCCACTCATCAGGGTGTATTTAAAGAGCACCCTTTCTGGGTTGACATTTAGGAACGAGTAGTTCTCTGATCCCACCGCTTAGGGGGTGCGGGTGGCCGGCGGCCAGATAGGGGACCTTTACCTGGTGTCCCCTCAGCCTCCACGGGGGAGGCAAAGGCGTCTATGAAGTCGTTGGAGTTCCACTTGGTCATCTCCTTGGGGAAGACCTCGTCACTGTCCGAGAAGCCTTCTGAAGAGACCAGGGACTGTGTCATGGGCTCTAGGGGCTGCTCAGCGCCCCCGCGCCCCCAACAGGGCTGAGCTGCTGACCATGGGCATCAAAGAACTCGTCCTCGGAGCTGTTCTCAGAGTCCCGGGCGATGTTCTGCATGCGCCACTCGGACAGAGTCTGGGGAGACACGCCCCCTGCAGGGCCACGTGGGCCTCAGTCTGGGCATCCGGCCTGAGGGCCACTGTCCCCCAACACCCCGCCACCGGTCCCTGTGCCCCAGCCTCACCTCCATGCTGGGATGAGTAGGAGGAACGGGAGGATGAAGACCACTGCTTGCTGAAGCTGGCATCGGGCGAGGCATCGGGGCCCGGGGGGGCCTCGGGCCCGTCAGGGGTGCCGGCGTGGCTGGCGCCGCCGGCCCGGGCCTCAGTGCTTGGCTTCCCCGGGGGCTGGGCCTCGGGGCCCTCGCTGCCTGCGTTGCACTTGGCCATACGCTGTGCCAGCATGCGGGCCGTCTCCTCCTCTAGTGCCCGGATGTCAGCCATGCTCAGCTCTGTCCACTCGTCCTGCCAGCACCAGGCCTGTCGGTGGGCCCGCAGCATTACCCGGCGCAGACCTGTAGGTGCCCAGACATCAAAGCCGTGCCCTCCCCACCCCCACCCCCAGCCCTGGGTTTTCCTGCCGCTACAGCGCATACCAAGCCCTTGAATTCCCTTGAATTTGGGTAATGGCTCCCTTGGGCACACCACCCACCCAGAGCCAAGAAGTAGGGCAGGGTGAGTGCTGTCCAGGAGATGGGAGTGGGAAGTGGGGCATTCTTCTTCCTGTCCCACCTGCCTCCCTGCCCAAGGCCTCTTTTATCTCTCCAGACATCCCAACTCTTAGCTCTGAGCCCACCCCGACACCCCAGGAAGCTGAGAGCAATGTTTGTTCTTGCTCTTTCAGCTGGCTTCCTGCTGACTTCATCAGAGGAGTTAACAATTAAGGCGTTAACAGTTAATGAAATGTTGATGGTTAATGAAGGTGTTAATAGTTAATGGAAGTGTTGGCACTTAATGAAGCAAAAACACTATACCCATTCTGGGATATTTTCATCTTAGCAGAGGAATAAAGTTAGAAACCTCAATATCTAGGAAATAAAGTAATAATGATTGAATTATAAACTTCTGGAAGGAAATGCATTAGAATTTTGGTAATGGCTATATGTGGGTGATTTTCACTTTTTTTTTTTTTTTGGCTGCACCACATGGTGAAAGTGAAAGTGGTCTGACTCTTTTGTGATCCCATGGACTGTATAGCCCACCAGGCTCCTCTGTCCATGGAATTTTCCAGGCAAGAATTCTGGAGTGGGTTGCCATTTCCTTCTTCAATGGTATGTGGGATCTTAGTTCCCTGATCAGGGAATCAAACCCAAGCCTCCTGCATAGGAAGCGCAGAGTCTTAACCACTGGACCGCCAGGGAGGTCCCTTAATCTTATTTGTGCTTTTCGGACTTTTTCCAAATTTAGGATAAAGAGCCTGTATTACTACTCTCTGAGCTAAATTTCCTCATCTGGAATCATAATAGTCTTTACCTTGAGGGGTGTGGGGGGTATGAAAGATATCTTGTATGGGAAGTGATTAGCAGAGGATTTGGCATCTTGTGATCAATATCAGCTTTTGCTATCTGGCCCAACTTTTTCCTTATTTACAAAAGGGACAATTAAGGAAGCAGCTCCCTGGAGGGGAGATTCCATGAGAGTCCATGGTGGAGTGGAACCCAGGTCCCTGGGGGCCCCCATCCTTCTTCCTGTGGGGAGCCCACCATCAGACCTGGGAGGTGGGGCAGGGCTAAGCCACAGGAGTATGACTTAGGGCCTGCTGAAGAGCAGAGCAAGAGGATGGAACTCAGAGCTGGGGTGGGAGGGACTCTGACAGCGTCTAGCTTCAGCTTGCACTCCACAGCATGTTGCCACTTACAGCTGGTGACCTTCCTGAGAGTCTCAGCCTTGCTTGACCCACAGAACATTGGCGTCTTAGAGTTTCAATGGATGAGCAGCCTCATCTCTGAGTGTCTGAACCTGCATGAAGCTCAGAAATCATGTCGCCAGCTTCTTGCCCTCCTGACTCTTCCCTGTACCTCAAGGCAGGCTCCCCCAACCCCAGCTAGGCTGCGCTGCTCCCCTCTACCCCAGCACCCACCCTATCAAATGGAAAGGCTGGCTTTGTGTTTCTGTGTCCCCGGCAGACTGGGAGCATCCCTGGTTCAAACACGCGGCCTAGTGCACGCTGGGTAAGTGAAACCTCCCAGGATGGGGTGCTCACCAACATCATGGATGAACTGCTCGATCTTGGCCTGCATGCCCCAGTAGCGGAACTCGACCTTGCACAGCTTGTAGGCGCACATGAGGGGCCCGGTCTGAGCTGCTGTGCGCGCCCAGTCATCAGCCAGCGGTCCTCGGCCTGTCTTGGCCGAGCGGTACAGCCGGGGGTCCTCTTCTGCTTTGTACTCGCCTGGGGCCACGGCATCCCGCACGATGTCGATGGTATCTGGGGGGTTCCGGCAGCCCTGAGCAACACCAGCCCCCTCCAGCCCGTGCTACTCCTCCCCCACCTCGGGACTGGGAGGGGAGCTTTTCACGCACAGAAAGCCTAGGCCAGGAACTGAGCCTGGGACTTGTCAGAGGCCACCTGTCCAGGTAGCAGGTGGCCTGAGCGGGGCTTTGGGGTCATTACTAGCTGTAGGTCTCACCCAAGATGCGCTGTCTCCGCTCAGCCCCACTCAGGTTGAAGACATTGGGCTGCTGACCCCCATCGGGCAGGTAATAGGTCTCAATTTCAATGGAGAATTTCTCCACAAAGGGGCAGGTGTACCTGGGCAGAGGGCAGGGGTGAGGGTCACCAGTGGGTCCATCAGGGCCGTTCCCCTCCTGGCCCCTGACCCGCCCCACCCACTCACCGGGTTCGGGTGTAGGGATAAGCATTCCAAGATTCCTCCTCCACCTGCAGGGCGGCCTTGGGCAGCAGTGCCCGGAACCAGCCTGGGATGTGGGAGCCCACGTGGTACACCTTGTGCGTGTACTGTCCACTGCCGCCCGGCCCATCCGTGTAGGGCCGGTTGGCCAGGATCTCCACGCCACTGCCCTCGCCACTCGACTCCTCTCGGCTCTTTTTCTGCAGCCCAGGGCAAGAGGAGGACGGGCAGCTTAGTCCTAGCTCCGCTTCTGGGATGGGCTCCCCAGCTAGGCCTGGTCACCTGCACAGCTCTGAGGCCCGAGTCCCAGCCTTTCTAGCTCTCTGAAATCCCATCCTGTTCCCCTGTAGCTCCTGGGGTCAGGATTACAGCCTCTGACTGGTCCCCTCTGGGGTTCTGCAAGCCAGGACTTGTTTAGTCATTCAAGTATTTGCTGTCTGCTCTATTCCAGGCACTGTCTGGGCTTATATTCATTGGGATCTGTTGATGTACAGAGTAAAGACCCCTGTCTGCCCTTGTGGAACTAACTGTACACTCCAACGGAGGGAGACATAATAGACAGAAAACAAAAAAAAAGCATCTTAGAGGGTTCTAAGTGCTATGGTAAAAAGAAAGCATAGACTAGGGTTAGGTGGATAGAACTGGGGGTTGCAGTTTTGATAGGATGGTCAGGGAAGGCCTCACTGAAAAGATAACATGATCATGATTTGAAGATGACTTGGGGGGGAAAGGAGGGTGCTGAGCAGATATGGGGTGGGGGGGTATTTCAGGCAGAGAGAGAGCATGTGTAAGCTCCTGAGGGGGACAGGCTGCATGCCCTGCCAGCAAGGGGCCAGGGTGAATAGGCTGGAAGAATCAAGGAGAGTAAAAGGGATCCCTGCCTTTCTAGGACCCCAACACCAGCTCCTGCCACACCCCTCCTAGTTGGAGAGCACTCAGATCCTGTCCTTATGTAGCTCTGGAGTTTGAAGTTGGCCCACCCAACCCTCTGAGGCCAGATCCCAGCCCTCTTGCCTGCTCAGACTCTGGTCCCACATTTCAGGGGACGCCTCTGGAATGGGCACCGGTCTCCTCCCCTCCCCGGGTGCCTGCCCTGGCTCACGCTTCTCCACCCAAGCCTGGCTCCCTGCCTGCTTCCTGTCAGCCCAGACCTCACCCTCTGGGGTCCCTGCCTGCTCCTCTGACAGTCTCAGGGCCTGAGCCTCAGCCCATCTCCCTGACTGCCGGGGATGGCCAGGATCTTTCACCCTCTGGGAAACCCCTCCTAGTCTTTCTCTACCCCCTGGGACCCCTCCTCACTTTCTGCCCCCCACTCTTGCCTCCTCATGCACTCCTCTCCCTACCCCCAGAGGATTACGGATTCTAAGGAGGATTAAAGGAGATCAGATGGGGGCTGAGCGTTCAGCAGGGGTTGGGCACTCGGGGTGGGGAGGCACCACCAGGCCCTTCCATCCCTCTTCACAGGGTCCTTAACCACCCCACCCCTCCCTCACATCCGATTGGGGACGCTCTCCTGCTCCGTCTGGCCTGAGCCCTCCCAAGCCCCGGGGCTGGCCTGGAGGGGGATTGAGCTGGGCCCGGCCCCTTGTCCCAGGTGTGGCCTGCGCGCTCCTGCGGATACCCAGCATGAAGCATGCCCCCATCCCCTCCTGGTCTCCTACTTGCCACCGCCCTCACCTGGATCATGTAGAGCTGGGCCACCTGGTACTCGTCCAGGCTCATGGGCAGCAGGATGTGGTACTCCTTGATGAGCATCCTGAAGGCGCTCGGTCGGCCGCGCGCGGCCTCCGCGGCTCCTGGCGCAGGGCACCGCGCGGCAATCAGGCGCGGGGACCCCATGCCCGGGCTCGCCACAGGGCAGGCAGCGGCGAGCCCAGCTCGGCAGCCAGCGCCGCGGGGGGCCGGGAGCCGCCGCGAAGACTGAGCGCTGACCTCTTTTCAGCGCAGCCCCCGCCCCCCGCCCTCCCATCGTCATGGCAACCGCGCGCTGACGCGGGCCCCCAGGAGCCGAGGGAGGTGGCCGGCGGGGTGGCGGGCCAGCCTCGCCTCTCCGGCCGCAGCGGCGTCCTAAGCCCCTCGGAATAGCATCCTTTGGGGACCCGCCCCCGGGAGCCCCGGGGCCCCTCCTTCCGGGCCGCCTTCCACCACCGGCCCCTCGGGGCCCGCCCCCTGCATCCCCTTCCCCGAGTCGGTCCGTGTCCCCTACTCCTGGACGTCCACTTAGAACCTTGTCCCCCGCGTGTCTCTCCGCGGAGCAGCCCCGTGCATCCCCCTCTCCCCGCACTCGAAACTACCTTCAAAGACCAGATAACACGTCCGCCCCGAGACTTGTCTTCCCCACCCTGGCGGGCAGCCCAGTCCCCAACTCCCCCTTCCTCGCGTCGGTCCTGGACCCCCGGCACTCGTCTATGCAGCTGCCTCCTTCTCCAGGGCTGACCACTCTTCGGGCTCAGGCTAAAAGTACCCTACGGGCCCCCGCCCTGCAAGCCCCGCTCCGTCCACCTGCGCCCCGACTTCGCTGCCGCCCTACCCCCACCTCGCACCCACTGAGCAAGCGAGAGGCTCCGTTGCCCCCACTTCCCTCTGCTCTCCGGCGTCCCCGTCCCCCGCCGTGCTCTCGGTCGGCCCGCCTTCCAATGTCCTGGCTCACCTCTAGTCTAGGGTGGACGCCCCTCACCCGGTACGGGCGGGGGCCGACGGGCGGCGGGTCGGAGCCCCAAGCGCCCCCAGCCCCGGCCGCGGATTCCAGCAGTGGCTGGACCCTCTGGAGGCGCAGCGCGGGCCCATGGCCCCGATCTTCCTCCGGGTCTGCCCGCCGGCACCCCTCCTGTCCCTCCCCGCCGCCCGCCGCGTCACTGCGGCCGCCCCGCCCCCTTCCTGGGCCCGCGGCCCTCCCCACCCCGGCGGGGTCCAGGCAGCCCCGCCCGCGGCGGCGGAGGGCGGCCCCAACCTTGCTTCCTTCCCCAGGGCGGCGGGGGAAGAAGCCCTTCTCCAAATGCTGGCGCTGCTTAGTCCGGCTGTGTTCTTTGGGATCCCCAGACACGCTGGGATCCTACCTCCACCCTGGCCCGGCCCTCCAGTGTGCTATGGAAATATGACAAGAGTCCCATCCCCAACTTCCCAGGCCCTGGGAAGCCGGGGCCCAGGGTGAGGGAAACGCCTCCCCGTCCTAAGTCTGGCCAGCGGTTGGTCTCTGACATCCCTGGCCTAGCCGGTGGGGTTCCGGTGTCCCAGACCTCCAGGTCATTCAGAAGGCTGCAGTCACTTTCACTTCCAGTCTTGGGGCTCCTCCCGGAACGGGCCCCAGCGCTTTCCCCACCTGTATCTTCCGGGTTCACAAGTCTGGCCAATGGCTGCCAGGGCCTAGGGCTGGGCTCTTGGGACCACACCCAGTTGGTTAGAGGGCACTGGGATGGTGCAGGGCGGCGGGCGCAGGGTCTCAGCCCCACTGGGGAAACCAGTTCTCACTCAGGTCCTGGGGGTTGGGAAGTAGCCTGGCTCCCTTTCTTTCCTCTCAGGACTCAGAGACAGGGTGTATTCCGAGCCCCAGGGCTGATTCCAAGCTTAGGGTGTTAGGGTGTTAAGGCATGTGAGGGTGGGGCTTAAGTGAACTGGCATTTCCACCCTCCAGGCACCTTTCGTCCAGAGAAAGAACCCTCTAGGCTCAGGCTGGAGACAGAGCCCTCCAGCTGGGGAAGCAGCCCAGGCCTTGTGCTGCCCCCTGGTGGCATCTTGTGAAGGAGGGCAGGGCACTCAGCTATTGAAGTTCAACTCTTTCCACAAACAGCGGGCAGGTCGAGGGCCCGGGAAGGGCAGGCTCCCACTCAAGGTCAATGGGCAGTGGAGGCAAGGCAAAGCTAGGCTCGGTGGGCCTCCCTCCCACTCACTGTACCCCCTTCTCCCTCCGAGTCTCTTCTTTCCCTTTCTTCGTGGCCCACCCAGGCTTAGCAGAAGCACCAGGCTCAGAGAAACTATGAACTGTGGGTTTCTCTGGTGGTCCAGTGGTTAAGATGCCAGGCTTCCAGGGCAGGGGCATGGGTCTGCAGTGCACGGATTAAAATAAAATAAAATAAAAAGACTACGAGCTGAGAGAACAACTCCAAATTATATTTTATTTATATAAAAAGGGCATATTTAGCAAAAGACACACTGAGAAAAGAGTTATTATGGCCCAGGAGAAAAGGCAGGGAGGCGAGGGGCCTTCTGAGGCCCTGCTGGGGGAGAAGGGGTCTGGGCAAAGTGGATAAAAGTCCTGGGTAAGTGCTGAGTGGTGGGGGCCACACAAAGGAGACAGCTCCAGCTGGATCAACACTGTTGGCAGGTCATGGGTGAGACTCACAGTGACCTCGCTGCTAACTCTTTCGGGGGTTCCAATTAGTGCTGCCGACTGGAGTTAAGAGCCATCCCACTGGATCCTGGAGGGCACCCACCAAAGGACACAGGACAGGAAGCCCAGGACGGGAAGTGCAACTCGGGGTGAAGGCCAGGGAGAAGCAGGTGCTCTGCAGTGGCCAGGAAAGGTCCAGAAGCTGAGGTGGAGTCGAGTCCTGTTACGTGCGGGCGTTCCGCTCTGTCTCTGCCAGGCACTCTCTGACGAGGGCCCGGGCATGGATGATGCCTGGGGTGGGCATGGGCAAGTAACATACAGGATCTCAGTGACCCGCCACAGTCCCAGGTCTGCCCTCCAGAGGAAGACCCCTCCCTCACACCCCCTTTCCTTTCAGTGAAGGGGACTATAATCTAATGAGGGACTCGATGACATTAGAGGTTTAGACATTAACCAGCAAATTTACCCCACTGAAATACAACGTTGGATGGCATCATCAACTCAACGGACATGAGTTTCAGTAAACTCCGGAGTTGGTGATGGGCAGGGAGGCCTGGTGTGCTGCAGTCCATGGGGTCACAAAGAGTTGGACACGACTGAGTGATTGAACTGACTGACTGAAATTCCCTGGTTCTTCCTTAGAAACTGACTCAATTTCAGTTCACTTCCAACGCCTCTCTGGATAGTGATCCTGGCCCTCGTCTAGGCTTGGCTCAGGCGGCCTCCAGAAGTCTTTCCTTCCCTATCTTGGGAAGGATTGTTCAGTGTTTGTCTCCTCACTCACCTCTCTTCAGGCGCTCCATGGCGCTCTTGCTGCCAGCATAGGTGGGCCGGATCTCTTTGCCCATCTCTTCTATGACGGACAGCAGGTCGGTGTAAGTGCTCTGGGAGCCCTGGGCGCCAGGTGGTTTCATTGCCTACGTCAAAAGAGAACAGGGCAGTGAGTTCAGGCCAAGAGGGCTCCTCCAGTCCTTATCCCACAGGCAACCCCTCAGCTCCACTCACCTGCACATAGCCCATGGAGGGAGGTCCAAAGTCATTAAACAGTGGTCTGAAAGGGGCAGCGGCTCCCGGCACAGAGCCCGATGGTGATGGGACACTTCCAGCTGCAAGAGGAGCGAGTAAGCGGTCAGCGCTGGTCAGAAGCGCCTCCTCCCGGCGCTCCAAGCCTCGGACTAGACTCGCCCCGATTCCCTCCACAGGCACGCTCCATTCCAGGCCGCTCAACTTCAGGACAGGCCCCCTCCCGCTGCGCTCATCCAACAACCCTTACGCGACCACGCCCACTTTACAGGCCAGCAAACTGAGGCGCGGCGAGGACGGCGGCGGGCCTAGTACACTGCAGAACTCGGGCCGTCTTCTCTTCGGAGACCTCGACCGCCCGGGCAGGCAAGCAGGGATGGAGCTGGGTCCTCACCTGTCGGGACCGGGGTGCCGGGCCCAGGCGTGCTGGAGCCGGGGGTGCTGCTGGGGGCGGGGGCGATGGGCTTGTAGGACATCCCCAACTCCTGGGTGCGGCGGACGCCGGCCGGCCGCTCCTCCCGGGTTGGCTGCCTGGCCTCTGAGCCGCGCTCTGATTGGCAGGCCGGCAGCACGCCCCTGGTAAATAGAGCTCGGGCCGGAAGGGCGGGCGGGCACGAATGATCCTTCACTCCCAATTGGCGCGCGGAGATGTCACTCGGCCCTCCTCATTGGCAGAGACCGGCCCCAACAGGCCGCAACCGCTGCTGATTGGCCTCCGCCTTCCGGACCTCGCACCTGTCTGCTTCGGATTGGGCGGTGGCCGACACCCTCCACAATTGGAGAGTTCGCGGCCCGGGCCGGCGCGCTCTCAATCCGATTAGTCCTCAAGCCTAAGGGGCGGGGCTTCGGCAGCCTGAGCGCTGGGTCTGGTCCGCCGCGGTTCGCGCCGAGCCGGGCTTCCCCGGCGCGGGTGCCGCCCTCGCACCTCACTCACGTTGCTTTGTACGTCAGCGTCCCGCTGCCCCGTCCCGGTTCGGCTGGGCTGTGGCCGCCGCTGCCGTCACCGCCGCGGCGCGCGCGCGCGCGCCTGTCCTCCGCTCTCGGTGCCGGAGGACGCAGGGCTTTGACGTTCCCAGCCCCGCGCCCCACCCCGTGCGCTTTTACGTCACCTTTCACCGGTTCCACAACCTGTCCCTGATTCGCGCATGCGCCCTCCCCGAGGCCTCCTCATATGTTCCCATGGCAACGGGTCCTGTCCCTACGCGGGTGATGCGCCTCTCCCTTCCGGTTGCCTGGACCTCGGGTCTAGGCTGGTGTAAGGTCCAAGGGCGACTTCAAAGACTCCTCAACCTGCCCACCAACCCCACCCCACGAAAGCCCCATGCCGGTGCCTCGTCATGACAATCGCAGGAACAGCTCACCTTGAATACTTAAACTGTTTGCCGGGCCCTGTACAATGGATCGTCCAGGATCCTGGACTACAGCACCATCTGTAGGGGTCAGACTGATGGTTGGAAGCTTACATCACGCCCGCTAGCTGTTTGCCCTTGGGCAAGTCACTTCAATAGGCCTCAGTTTCCCCGTCTGTAAAATGAAGACATTCAGTTCAGTTCAGTTCAGTCGCTCAGTCGTGTCCGAATCTTTGCGACCCCGTGGACTGCAGCATGCCAGGCCTCCCTGTCACATTGCCAACTCCCAGAGTTTACTCAAACTCATGTCCATTGAGTCGGTGATGCCATCCAACTATCTCATCCTCTGTTGTCCCCTTCTTCCTCTGCCGTCAATCTTCCCCAGCATCAGGGTCTTTTCCAATGAGTCAGTTCTTCGAATCAGGTGGCCAAAGTATTGGAGTTTCAGCTTCAGCATCAGTCCTGCCAATGAATATTCAGGACTGATTTCCTTTAGGATAGATTGGTTGGGTTTCCTTGCAGTCCAAGGGACTCATAGGGTTGTTGTGGGGATTAAATGAATATTCATAAAATGTCTACTGTTTCATTTTCCTTTTCCCTATCCATATCTCCACTCAGATCCCTCCCCTCAAATCTCATTTCTCACAACCCTGGATCTTAGACTCTCCTCCAAACATTAACCCTTTTCCCGAGACTCCTCCTTAAAATCTTGTGCCCCTCCCCGCCCCCAGCTCTGTAGATTTTTCTCATCCCCAGGACATTGTTTATTCATTCAACAAACATTTTCTCACTCCATCCTCCATCTCAGGCCTTGTGCTGGACACTGATGGAAATGAACTAGTCATGGTTTCTGTCCTCAAGGAGATCCTAGTCTCAGAGAGACAGACAGGGAAGTAAAGCCACACAGTAGAGTAAGACAGTGTGGATTCCTGGGACAAGGAATTCCAGAGGGACAATTCCTTTGGAATTCAGAGTAAGGGTCCAGCCTTGTGACATCACAGAAGTCTTCCCAGTAGAGGTGGCTTTCAAAAGGTGAGTCAACAAAGAAACTGATGTTAAAAAAAAAAAAAGAAACATGTTTTTATACAATGGACTCTTATTCAGCAATAAAAGGAAATTATCTACCCACAAAAAGACACAGACATATTGCTAAGTGAAAGAAGTCAGTCTGGGGATCGGGATGGGGAATACATGTAACCCCATGGCTGATTCATGTCAGTGTATGACAAAACCCACTGCAACGTTGTGAAGTAATTAGCCTCCAACTAATAAAAATAAATGAAAAAAAAAAGAAGTCAGTCTGAAAAAGACGCATGCAGTATGATTCCAATGATATGACATTCTGGAAAAGGAAGACATACAGAAGGTAAAGAAAGTATTGGTTGCCAGGAGTTGGTGAGGGGTAAAATTGAGTAGGTAAAGCATAATCCGGAAATTAGAAATGAGTGGAGTCCATAAGAACAAAGACAAAAAGCACTGCACCCTAGTTGATGATGTGGTTTCCCATGGGAGTATGGGCTAACAATTCTCGATGTTGGAATGAGAAGTTACAGGTAAGTAAGGAGGACGAGGAGGCTAGAATGATCCATGTGGTAATGGACTAGAGTTGGAGATAATAGGAACTCATGTTTAGCTTGATATAAATACAGTTGGTTATATGCAGAAATATTTTAAATTTTTTATATTCACATTAGTGTAAATATATATATATATATATATCCTCATTCTATTAGCTTAGAGTGCCTAGAAGCAACTTAACATCCGGATCTTGGTTTCAAATACCATTTTCCAATAAAATGAAGCAGAGTTCCTTGGAGAAATGGCTTGACTCTAGGACTGGGACAGGAAATAGGCAAGATAATTCTGGAGCAGCTAGTAGTGCCTGAAAGTAAGAAAATGCTAAAACAACACTCAAAACTCCCAAACCCAAGTCCTTACAGGGATGGGGGTATGTCAGTGGGGCACAGGAGCCAAATGAAAGAGCTCTCAATGGCCAAAGGTGGAACACTTTGAGCAAGAAAATTAATAAAATAGTACTGGATTATAACTTGTATAAAATAAATATGAGTCCATATTGATATAAAAAAGAGTGAGGAAATAAATAAATGGAGAAGAGACAAATCGACCTTTAACAGGATTGTATGTAACAGGAAAAAGAAAATGAAATGAGTAATTTTAAAGTACAGAAAGCTGACAGAAACACTACTCTAAGCAAAGTGATCAAGATCAAAATCAATAATGATGTCATGTTGATAGTATAGGCCCTTCATATGCTGGGATGAGAACCCCATTCTTTTTTAAATATTTATTTGGCTGTGCTGAGTCTTAGTTGAGGCATGTGGAATCTAGTTACCTGACCAGGGCAATTGAACCCTGGCCCCCTGCATTGGGAGCTCAGAGTCTTAGCCACTGGACCACCAGGGAAGTCCCAAGAACCCCATTCTAACTGTGATAAAAACAAACAAATGTCCCAGTTTAGGGACATTCTATAAAATACCTGACTGGTATTCCTTAAAACTGACAAGATAATTAAAAAAGAAAATTCTGTAAAACCATCACAACCAAGAGAACCCTAAAAAGACATGATGTCGAGTGTAACATGGTGTCCTGGAAGGCACTCTGAAACAGAACAAGGGAAGAAGTGATGAAATCTGAATAAAATGTGGTCTTTAATAATAATGCGTCACTATTAGTTCATTGGGCTTCCCTGGTGGCACAGACTGTAAAGAATCTATGTGTAATGTGGGAGATCCAGCTTCGATCCCTGGGTTGGGAAGATCCCCTGAAGAAGGGAATAGCTACCCACTCCAGTATCCTGGCCTGGAGAATTCCATGGACTGTGGGGTCTCAAAGAGTCAGACATGACTGAGCAACTTTCACTTCACTTCATTAGTTCCTGACCAGTGACAGAGGTACCATTCTAATGTAAGATGTTACTAGAGCATCATGGTTCATTCTGTGTGTTGACCTGACTAGATCACGAGGTGCCCAGGCCATAGGTCCAACATTATTTTGGAGTGTCTTGAGGGAGCGTCTGGATGAGATGCATTGAACCTGAGTACTAAGCAAAGCAAATGGCTCTTCCCAGTGTGGGTGAAGATCTGAATGGAACAAAAGGGCTGAGTAAGCGGGGAGTTTTGCCTGCCTGACCTTTGAGCAGGACTCAGACTGGAACTTCCAACACTGACTTTTCTGGTTTTCGGGCCTTTGGGCTCAGACTGGAACTGTATCACCAGGTCTCCCATATCACTAGCTTGCTGACTGCAGATCTGGGGGTGGCTCAGTGCCCATAATTGCCCGAGGCAATTCCTTAACACTATATATCTTTACACAGTCACATCTCCTATTGGTTCTGTTTCTCTGGAGAGCCTTGACTAACATATGGGAGAAACTGGATGTGAGGTATTCAGGAGCTCCCTGTCCTGTCTTCAATATAATTCTGTAAACTGGGAACTACTCTAAAATAAGTGGATTAATATCCTTATCGGGTGATGGCTACCTGGCTGCATATGCATGCAAAAATTCACTGAGCTATACATTCATCCATGTTACTGAACATACATTATACCCCAACTATTTAAAGTGAAACTGGGACTGCTCTGGGGGTCCAGAGGTTAAGAATCCACCTTCCAGTGCAAGGGACACAGGCTTGATCCCTGGTCGGGAACAAAGATCCCACACGCTGCAGGGCAACCAAGCCTGAGCACTGCAGCTACTGAACCTGCAAGCTCGAGAGCCTGTGCTCTGCAACGAGAGATGCCCCCACGTGCCACTGCAAAGACCCAGGCAGCCAAAATTTAAAATATACAAATATACAAAGTGGACTTAATGTAAAAATCTCAACTGACAGCTTCCCTTGGAAAACCAGGAGATCCTGTAGCTCTAGCCTATTCCAACTGGCAGCAGTCAGCGGAGCTGGAGGGCAGGTGCCCCCTTTAGGCGGGGGAAGGGGTTCTTGGCTCCACATAGTTGCCGCCTGCTTATTGGTCCTTCCAGCCCTGGTCCCTGCTCCTGATGTGTCTGCTTGGAACTTCTGGGCTAACAGCCTTTTTGGGGTGGGAGGGCATATGGGGGGCTTGGGGGAGCTGTGGGTACTTCTGATGCCAGCAGACACATGGCAGCCAATTGAAATCTCCCCACCAACCATCCCCCGTCCCCGCTTCCAACCATAGCACCTGCCAAGCTGGGGCCAGTGGGAGGCTGACCTTGAGCAGGGTCTGCTCTTCCCCTGGCCCATGTCCATCATTCTCCTCAGCCCCTGCAGGGGGACAGACTTCTTCTCGGGCAGCAATGCCATCTGTGAGGGTAGGAGGAGGGAGGGTGGACCATGGCTCCCAGACAAGCTGCGACTCCCCCCTCATCCCCAAGCCTGCCAGACTGGCAGGAGAGATCACCTAATTGGGGATTAAGGATTAATTGTGATCTGCCAGGCAAGTGGTGCTGAGGCTGCTGCAGCCAGCCCTGGCACCTCGGTGCCCAGGCTCTGGACTGAGCGAGGCGCTGGTGGCTGCCCGCCTGCTCTGTCTCAAGGCCATCTTGTCAGTAGAGGTGGTAAGACCAGGCACAGACACTGAAAGCTCCTCCCCCTGCTGGGCCTAGAGGTCAAGTTCATCCTTCCTCCCAGCAGGTGGGAACGGCGGCTGGTCACGTAGGGCTAGAAGAGGCCTCAGCCTGTCTGGGGTCCACTCCAGCCTGAAGGTGCCCTTTCCGGTTGGCACTGTGACTCTATAGTCCCCAGGCCTGGCTGAAGTCCCCCGATGCTTCTTCCTATCGTGTGTGACTGTATGCCAGTTCCTCATCCTCATGGAGCCTTCCAGCGCCAAACACAGGGGCCGGACCAGCCCAGGGGGCAATGGGGGACCATGGCCAGTTTCTGGATAGGAGTGTGACAAAACACAAATGGCATTTTAGGAAGAAAAATCTGGCAGCATGTGCTGCATGGCCCGGAGCAGGAAGAGGGCGATAGAGCTGGGAGAACTCTGCAGGTCGCTGAGACCTGGCCTCCCGGGTCCCTCGATATGGAAAATGGGGTTATGACGACCATGGCAGGGCTGGAGTGAGGAGCTGTGTCATTTGGTTTCCCTGGGAGGCAGACACCAAGACGAAGTTAGGAATGTGAAAAATAGGAAGTCTGATGAAGGACTGGGCAGAGAGTCGCTGATTCAAGGCTGACCTGACCACACTTCGGCTAACCTAGAGAGGAGCTCGGAACAGAGACCAGCTGTGTGCTCGGTCAGTGGCTGCTGGCTCCCGGAAGAGCGAGGTGTGTGCCCAAAGGCTAAGATCATACCCTGAAGGGGCCTGTCAGCTCCCTCACTCCCTGCAGCCCACCAGCAAGTTTTTTCTTGCAGGGAGCTCTGAGCTGCACCCCTCTAAGAGGAAATGGGATGGAGCTTGGGAGAAGCCCTTAGGCCTGTGGTCCTCGGTTCTAACCCTGGATCCATCAGGAGCCCTTCACGGGGTGAGGGGTCACTATGCACCCAGCTCTGGGAGAAGCAGGTTGGGTTTACTCATCCGGGAATATTTCTCAATACTTGTTCTGGGCTGGCTGCAGGATTAGGGAGGGCCCCTTACCCACCCAAAGTTCACAATCGAGAGGACTTCACTTCGGGGGCCAGATACCTGCAGGATGAACGAGTAAGCAGTGGAAGCTGTGTCCCCAGCTCGAAGATGCTTTATTGTCAGAGAGACAGAGCTGGGCTTGGGGGCTCGGTGGAGGAGTGGGGTGGGGGTGTTGCAGGCAAGGGCTGTGCACACAGGTGCGGGCAGGGAGGAGAGGGAGAGGGGTCCCAGCTGGAGGTCGGGGCTCCAGGAACACACTGGCAGGCAGTGGCTCTGGTCCCAAGTCCTGTCTGCTGCTTCCAGCTTCTGTGCAGGCTCAGCGAGACATCATTCGCACAAACTCTGCCAGGACAAAGCCAACATTTCAGTCTGCTCTCTGGACCTCGACCCCCTGGAGTGAGGCGAAGATACTGGCTTCGAGGTGGGAGGGAGTGTGGTCAAGGGCAGGGCCTGCAACAGAGTCCCCTGAATTTGGTGGAGAATAGGCCAGGAAGAGGGGCTTTGTTTTATGGGGGGAAAAAAATCTTGTAACTCAACCTACTTTCCTCTTTGCTTTGGCTGCTAGGAAGCTCGGGAATACTTCTGGGCCTACCTTGGAGAATTTCTACACACTGACTTTCCTTGTGTGTGTTTAGTCGCTCAGTCGTGTCCGACTCTTTGCGACCCTATGAACTGTAACCCACCAGACTCCTCTGTCCATGGAAGTCTCCAAGGAAGAATACTGGAGTGGGTAGCCATTGCCTTCTTCAGAGGATCTTCCTGACGCAGGGATTGAACCTTGGTCTCCTGCATTGCAGGCAGATTCTTTACCATCTGAGTGACCAAGGAAGCCCTGACTTTCCTTGAAAGTGAAAGTGAAAGTCGCTCAGTTATGTTTGGCTCTTTGCGAGCCCATGGACTATACAGTCCATGGAATTCTCCAGGCCAGATTACTGGAACGGGTAGCCTTTCCCTTTTCCAGGGGATTTTCCCAACCCAGGGATCGAACCCAGGTCTCTCACATTGCGAGCGGATTCTTTACCAGCTGAGCCACAAGGGAAGCCCAAGTATACTGGAGTGGGTAGCCTTTCCCTTCTCCAGCAGATCTTCCCGACTCCAGGAATCAAACCAGGATTAGCCGCATTGCAGACGGATTCCTTACCAGCTGAGCTATGAGGGAAGACTTTACTTTCCTCGGCTTCCTTTTATTATTTAATCCTTGTTTTCCCTCTGTTGGGAATGGGTAGGCTTCCTGGATCTAGATGCTGGCTCCATCCACTTCTTTTGCTAAGCACCCTCGCTTCCCTAAGAACTTTCTCCTCCCTAAGACTTCCCCCTCCCTATGGGGTTAAGCGTAGCTTCCTCCTAGGTTCTCCTGATGGTTAGCTGGGAGAGGACGTAGGTGTGCTTAGCGCAGAGCCTTACGGCTCTTCCTCGCTGAAAACTCGTGAGGGTCCGCGGTGCTGAGCGTAGGGGAGCGGTGGGCGGTACCTTCGAAGTCCACCAGGCCGTCCCCGTTGAGGTCAATGTCGCGGAGGATCTCGTCCACCTCCCGCTGACTGAGCCGCTCTCCCAGCAGGGCCTTCAGGGCCGCCCGGAGCTCACCCAAGCTGATGCAGCCGTCCCCGTTGGTGTCGAACTGCGGCGACACCGGGTCACGGACCGAGTCTTTAATTAGCGCGGCCCCTCCCTCACCGCAGACACGCAGGCCCGCCCCCGCCGGCCCCGGGGACCCCACCTCCCGGAAGGCGTCCCGCAGCTCCCGGACACCGATCATGTCCGCGGTCTCCGCCAGCAGCTTGGGGCCCATCAGCTCCACAAAGTCTTCAAAATCCACCTTCCCGCCACCTGGGGGCCACGCCCATAAGAGACCGGGAACCGTCAGAGACCCCTGCCCAGCCCTGGCCTCTTCCACCCTCCCCTCCTGGCCTGTGTCTCTCTCCCCGCCCCACTGAATGGGCCTTTCCCTCCCTCCGAGTCTCCTAGGCTGTGTCTCCTGCTGGCTTCCCTCAATTTTCCTGAAGAGCTCAGTTGGGCTCAATTCCTGGCTCCAGTGGCTCGGCTGTGTGACCTTAAACGAGTCACGGGAACCTTTCAGAGACTGACTGCGTGCTAAGTTGCTTCAGTTGTGTCCGACTCTTTGTGACCCCATGGACTGCAGCCCGCCAGTCTCCTCTATCCATGGGATTTCCCAGACAAGAGTACTGGAGTGGGTTGCTATTTTCTTCTCTAGAGGATCTTCCTAACCCAGGGTTTGAACCCTGGTCTCTTAAGTCTGCTCCATTGGTAGGCAGTTTCTTTACCACTAGTGGAGATTGTTCCCTCACCAAAAAGTGGGCCTGCTGGCGCTTGACCCACCCGCCTCACGGTGGATGGTGAGATTCTCTGGAGGCAGAGAGCTTGCCGTGAGAATGACCAAAGTCTTGGGTTCTGGGAGCCAACCTGTGTAGACACCTTGGTTCCTTGGGCTGCCCGGCTGCCCTGACCCTGGCCATGGCCTCTGGAGAACTGGGGGTGGGACAGGTCTCAGGCACATACTGATTTGCTGGGAGATCTCGATGAGCTCCATCTCGGTGGGCATGTAGCCCAGCGTCCGCATGCAGGCCCCCAGCTCCCGGTAGCCGATGTAGCCGTCCCGGTCTCGGTCAAACTCCTGGAAGGCGGCCTGCAGCTCTGCCAGGCAGGGCGGGGTCAGTCCTTTCTGCATGTCCCCTGGGACCCCAGCCTGGATTAGACCTTCTCACCTTGGTCCAGTCATGTCCATGCTCTCTAAACAGCCGTTTCTGTTTTGCTACCCCAGGGCCTTTGCATATGCTATTCCTTAATTCACTCTGCAGATATTTAAGGGACATCTGCTCTGTGCCAAGCGCTGCTCTGGGTACTGGGGATGTGGCAGTGAAGAAAGAAAAAGATGAAGGAGGGAAAGAGAGAGGGAGGGGAAGAAAGAAAGGGAGAAAGAAAGGAAGGAAGGAAGAGAGGAAGGAGAGGAAGAAAGGAGAGAGTGAAGGAGGTGAGAAAGAAAGAGAGGGAAAAACAATCCTTGACCTCATGGAGCTCACATTCTGGAACATTCTTGGTCTTTATGCCACCTATTCAAGGAGGTCTTCCCTCTCAATTCAGTCCCCTCTGGCTCCTTTGATCACTTCCTTGAGAGCACATAGCACCATTTGTACTGGCAATTGACCTGTTGACATCTCTCTCCAGAGGACACAGGCCAGATCTATCTGGTTGGCCACGTTTCCCAGTACTCAGAATTGGGCCAGGCCCACAGCGGGCACCCAGGAAGTGTTCGCTGGATGAATTAAAGGGGACAGGGAAAATAGAACCAGGAAACTGACAGCTGGGGGTTCTCAACCCCGCCCTGCTCTGTCTGGTCCCCGTCTTCCCGCTCAGATCCCCTGCAGCCTGCTTGCTCCCAGTTCCTCCTGGAGACTGCTCAGACCCCCACCCAGTGCCCCCAACCCGGAAAGTCTCATTCTGTCCCCAACCCTTTACCTTCAATCTCCTCAGGCCGCAGCTCCCGGTCCTGAGGGGAGACAGAGGGGTTAAGAATTCCCTGGACAACTCCCCAGGTACCAGCACCTCCTCATTCTTGTTCTCTGGGGTCCCCCACTCAGCCCACACAGCATGCAGGCACTCCTGGCCTCCCACCATTCCTGCTGATGGGTTGGGCATTTGGGCACCCCTTCCCTGTCCCCTGTGCCCCGCCTCCTGGAGCTCCATTAGCCGGAGGTGGAGCTGGGGTTGGGCAGACTCTCGGGCTTGGCCATGGGGGCCTCGGGGTCACCACCACATCTCTCTTGTTCTCTCTCTTCCTCTTTGGGGGCCCTGTCCCCTCCCTGCCCGTCCCCTTGGTGGCTCCTGTCTCTGCCGTTTCTCCGAGTCGCTCTCTGCCCCACTCTCCTCTCTTTCCTGGCCTGTTTCTCCAGGCCCCCCCCAGTTTTGATCTTATGTCTGCTTCTCCACGCCTCTCTGTCCCCCACACCCCTAGATCCGTGAGCCTTTGCTGTGAGACCCCCACTCAGTCCTCTCCCCACGCTCAAGGAGAGGCAAAACCTGGGGGCAAGGGTGGGGGCCGGAGGCAGGCAGGCAGGTGGTGGCCGTACATACGAGCTGGGTGGCGGCGATGCTGGGCCGCAGGAAGATGCAGGCGGGCCCCACCACGCTGCTGAGCACGGAGAAGCCCTGGACGCCAGGCCCAGGGGCCCCTGGCTCCTCGGGACTGGGGCTGGGTCTGGGGCTGGGGCCCAGGCCATGGCGGGACCCCCCTGGGGGGGAGCCAGGCCACTGCCAGCGGTCCTGCAGCAGAGCCAGCCATGAGCTGGGGCAGTGACGCCTCTCCACCCTCACTTGCCAGCCTCTCCCGTCATTAGAACCCAGCACAGGACAGTGGAACCTTACCGTCAACACTCTCTACTAGAAGGGGCCACTCCCTTACTGTTCAGTGGGGCAAACCGAGGCCCAGAAAAAGGGCAAGGCACAAGGCCATGGTCACTCCAGAGGGCAGGGGCAGCAGCAGGAAGGGGGCAGTTGGATGGGCAGCCGGGCTGGGGGGCCTGACGAGCTTGGCAGGGGGAGACCCAGAGGTCTGCAGGAGCCAAGACCAGGATGGGTCCGAGTCTGGGGTCTGCCAGGGGAGATCTTGGTCGACGGTGGTGGGTGCCAACCCCTCCATCCCCCTGCTTTGCCCACTTGCGACCCCAGTCGGGCCCAGCCCACCCCATCAGACAATTTCAGGGTCCAGCCCAGCCTCCCGGCTTTGGCTTCTCCCCCTTAACCCTCCTACCTTAGGACCCCGGTGCCGGGGCCGCTTGGCACAGTTTCCCATGGGCCCTTGAATCATGCCAGGCCTGGAGTCCCGGGGGCAGCCCAGGGCTGGGCCTCAGAGGATGCTGTGGGCTCCCACTGGCCCCCAGCTGCTCCCAGTGAGAGTCTGGGATCACTGCAGGGGATTTTCCGAGGGTTTTGTGGGGAAGATCGCAGGCGGGTGGGCAGGCGGGGAGCCCGGGACACAGGGGCTTGGGTCCTAATCCGGGATTATCTCTGAGCATCTCTGCTGATGAGGGGGGCCACTCGGGGCACAAGGCCCCCCCTGGAAGGCACAGCCTCCCCGTGCTCACTCCTGAGGGTCTTTCAGACACTCTCTCTCCAGCATCCTCTCCCCCCAGCCCAATCTGGAGAGATTTAATGTCTTCAGAAGCAGGGCCTGGAACTTGGAGGAGGAAGCCAAGTGCCTTGATTGCTGGGGTGAGCTGGGTCATCTCTCCCAGGAATGGCAGACCCAGGAAGCACCTGCCCCTCCCTGTTGGACCCCTGCTGTTACCTCAGAGCATCTGCCCAGCCTGCCTGCCCTTGGCACCCCTACCTGGACCTGTCCCGGCCCTGCTACTTGGGTGAGGACCCAAGGACAGCTGACTCTGGGCTCCGTGGGCTGGAAACGGGGCTCAGTGATGGTAGAGGTGGGGGTGGGGATGCCAGCCTCCCTTTGGGCAGCTGAGCGGCTGCTGGCCTCTCCATCAGTGTGTGTGTCTGAGCTCCCCTCCCTGGGTTCAGCCCTGGGTTTGTCTGATGGGGCCCCAGCTAAGCTATGGGGTCCTCGCTGTTCCCCCACGGTGCCCTCAGCTGAGGATGACCCCACACCCCGGCCCCCTTTACCTGCCCGTAGGCGGCCTGCACCTGAGCCTCCAGTTCCCGGAGGAGCGCCCGCCGCCTGGTGGCTGCTGGGCTGGCAGGGGCCCGGCTAGGCCCTGGAGTGCCCTCGGAGGGGGTGGGGTCCCCCGTGGGGAGGCTGCCATCTGCCGGGCCCTGGGGAAGGGCCATGGAGACGAGCGCTTGGCACCTCCTGCCGTGTGAGGGGCACTGCCCCACTCCACATTCCCAGGGCCTGTGGGAGGGTGGCTTTGTGGGCAGCTGCGGGTGTGGTCCCCTCAGGGTCCCTGCTACTCTTCTTCCTGATTCCGGCTCCAGGGGCTGGTGGGCCCCAGACCCTCCAAGTACCCTGTCTTTCCTAGATCCCCAGACCCCTCACACAGCCCCTCCCTGAAACCCTGCCTTGCCACCCGCCACATTCAGGCTGCCACAGACCATGCCCAGGGCTCCTTGCATCACAGCGGCCTCCCTGCCCATCTGCCCATATGCCCCTCCCCTCTGAGTCTGTATTGCTCTCTGCCCCTCCCTGGCCCCTCTGCCCCAGAGGTCTCTCTGTGTCTGTCTCACCTGCAGCTCTCGCTCCGCCCCCTGCCCCCTGCTGACACCTGCCCAGCAGTGTCCCCGTGGGTCCCTCTGCCCGCCTGTGCCCATCTCTTTGTCAGTTTCCTCCCTCTGTTGGGTGAGACTCTTTCCCACATCGGTCTGTCCCTCTTTCTGTCTGTGCATTCTTGCTCTTCCTGTTCTCCGTAGGATGCCCTCTCCCAGGATGGCTCCTGGACTCTGGAAAGACCATCCCCCTAAGCCCCATACCAAATCTACCCCTCTTTCCCCCACCCAGAGCCCTGGGGTATCTCTGCACTTGTCCACCTCCCCACTTCCGCCCACACCTCCCACCTAACCTGTGCCAACCTCCAACTTCCTGCTTCTCAGGGAGAAGCGTGGGGGTGGGCCAGGCAGCCTACAGAGGCCTCTTGTGCGCCCCTCCCCCCAGGTTTTGCCCCCCAGCCCACTTACCGCCCAGCTGCCGGCTCCTCACCTCCCAGAATGAGGTCAGTTGTCCTGCCCTAGCCCTGCTCCGGGCCTCTCATGATTTATTCACCTGCCCCCCACACCGGCCTTTGTCCAAGGGAACCAGATCTCACCAAGAACCTGCCACCTGAGCTGGTGGCGCTGGCCTCTCTTGGCCACAGCATGGCCATCCATTCATGTATTTCTTTTGCAAACACCCGAGGTCTGCTGGGATCCAGCCCCGGGCCAACAAGACAGACCCTGTCTCCTCTGAGGGCCCTGTTTTCAAGCACATCTAATTCAGAAAAGGGCCAAGAGACAGTCTCCAAGAGCTTTGAGGCATGGACCCAGGCATCAGGAAGGCATCATGGGGGAGATGGGCAGATGTGCAGCATTCTAGGCATTGCCCACTGATGTGTACCTGGGCTAGTCCCAGGGTCGCAGCAGGGACCAGCTGTGAACATGGGGTGTTCCAAGGCACTGGAATCCAGCAGGGTCTGTGGGTGGAGGCCCTCAGGAGGGAGGAAGGGCTTGTAACCCCCTGCAAAAGCTGCAAGAGGTAGGAGAAAACTCCCAGGAGAGTCCAGCAAATGTTTGTGGACCCCCTGCTGTGTGCCTTTCTGGACCCTCCCACCTGGTTTGCACCTTCAGCAAACCCAGAGAGGCTGTGGAGGGGTGAGCGCAGGGAAGGGCCTGGCCGGCTGTCAGAGGAAGAACGTGGGGACCTTGCTGTGACAGGGGCTGGGGAAGTGACCTGTGAGCCGAGACCAGAGGGATGAAGGGAGTGACTGCATGAAGAGGGGTGGGTGGACTTGCAGGCAGAGGGAACAGCCTCCACAAAGCCCTGAGTGAATCTGAGCAAAGGCCAGCGTTGAGAGGCAAGTGGATGCCGGCTGGTGGTCAGTGGTGGCTCATTGTGACCATTCACGTTGACCATTTGAAGGCTCAGCTTCAGCATCCTTCGGTCCCTCTGCGCCCTGAGTCACAGCTCCTCCCAGAGGCCAGGCGTGCACAGCATCCCCAGCGGGACTGCAAACATGCCTCAGAGAATTCTCCTGTTTTCTGCACGGTCTTAGAACGGACCTGCAGGCCTGGGATCCCCACTGCAATTGCTGTGTGACCCTACACAAGGTATTTCACCTCTCTGAGTCTTACTCTCCTTATGGAAAGTGGGTAAGAAAGTTTCCTTATCTGGAAAGTAGGGGTTGACCTAGTATTTGCCTCATGGTGCCTTTGTGAAAATTAAATGAGAAAAGACCAATCAGGTTCCTGGCATATTGGAAGGGCTCAAAAAACTGTGGATGTCACATGAGATGAAAGAATCCATGTCCAAACAACCTCCTAAGAAGGTGGGGAAATGTTGAGAAATGTGTCCCAAAGTATAAGCCAAAGAAGTGGGGACTATTACTGGTCAGGGTATGTGGGCTGGAAGCGTTTTCAATGAAGTAGCAAACGCTTCATGTCTGGCTCCAGGGTCCAAGATGACCAGGTGGATCAGTGGTGGACAAACGAATGGATGGATGGTTTGGTAGATAAGTGAGTGGTTGGATTGGTTGCCAGATGATGTGAAGGGTTGATGTTTGAATGGTTGGTGGTGAGAAGGATGAACAATTGAGAAGATGGATGGATAGACAAACATGGATGGAAGGATGAATGAATGGACAGGTGAATGTATAGTTGAGTAGATAGATGGGAAGTTGGATGAATGAATGGATGGACAGTTGGGTGACTGACTGCATGGAAGGATGGGTAGAGGCTAATGGTTTCATAGACAGATGGTTGGTTGGATGGATAGATGGGTGAATAAAAAGATGGAGGGATAGACAAGTAGAGGATGATTGTGTAGGTAAATGAGTGGTGGCTGGGTAAATGAAATGGTGGGTAAATGGACAGGCAGATGTTTTGATGGACTACTGGTCTAATGTTTGGTTGTTGAATGGCTGAATGACTGGGTAAAAGTGAAAGTCGCTCAGTTGTGTCTGACTCTTTGTGACCCCATGGACTATACAGTCCATGGAATTCTTCAGGCCAGAATACTGGAGTGGGTTCNAAACAGACAAACAATAACAATCATTGGTGAGAATGTGGAGAAGTTAGAACCTTCACAGTCTGCTGCTGGGCTTATACAATGGTGAAGTCACTTTGGAAAAGAGTTTGGCAGTTCCTCAAAATGAGTTACCACATGACTCAGCAACTTCACACTTAGATATATACCCAAGGGAACTGATAAGTTCACATAAAAATTTGTGTGTAGCACTGTTACAACTTTCACAAAGTGAAAGTTGCTCAGGTGTGTCTGACTCTTTGTGCCCATGGACTATACAGGCGCTGGGATTCGCCAAGCCAGAATACTGGAGTGGGTAGCCTCTCCCTTCTCCAGGGGATCGAACCCAGGTCTCCTGTGTTGCAGGCGGATTCTTTACCAGCTGAGCCACCAGGGAAACCCAAGAATGCTGGAGTGGGTAGCCTATGCCTTCTCCAACAGATCGTCCCACTCAGAAATCGAACCGGGGTCTCCAGCATTGCAGGCGTATTCTTTACCAACTGAGCTATCAGGGAAGGTGTTACTCGTAACAGTCAAAAAATGAGGCAACCCAAATGTTCATTAATACATAAATGGGTAAACAAAATGTGTATGTCCAGATAATGGAATATTATTTGGCCATAGAAAGGAATGATGTCCTGACCCATCCTACAACATAGATGAAGCTTGAAGACATTATATTGGAGAAAGCAGCCAGACGTGAAAGGCCACATCGTGTATGATTCCATTTATATGAAATATTTTGAAGAGGCAAATCTATAGTGACAAAATAGATTGTGTGCGTGCGTGTTAGTCACTCAGTTGTGTCTGACTCTTTGTGACTGTAAGCCCACCACGCTCCTCTGACCATGGGATTCTCCAGGCAGGGATGGCAGGAAGAGGAATGAGGTGTGATGGCTAATGGGTCCAGGGTTTCTTTTTGGAGTGATGAAAATGCTCTGGAATTAGTGGTGATGATCACGCAACACTGAGTATACCAAAACCCACAGAACAGACACTTTATAAGGGTGAATTTTGTGTAGCAATAAAGCTCTTACATATACTTTAAACCCCACCAAAGACAGGGGCTGACATATACATGGACTGGAGGCGGGGGATGGACACAGGAAGCTGCCTGCCCCATGCGACTGGGAAAGCTGTGCTCTGGGCCTCAGAGGAAGAGGCCCCAGGGGGGCCGCAAAGCTAGACCACAGGCTGGGCTGGGGGAGCCAGAGGCCTGTGGGTAAAAGCAGTCACCAGAACACTGCAGCATGGTGCTAAGGCCTGCCCAGCGGGCCCAAGCATGATGGCTGGGGTGTGAGCTGGCGGGAGGTCTGCTGGCTGTCAGCATGTCTCCAAGCTCCCAGGTGTGTGATGCTTGTGCACAGAAGGTGCGCAGGCGTGCTCCAGGCCAGAGCGGGTAACCGAGTCTTTCTGAGCCTTGGTGTCCTCTTCTGCATAATGGGAACATGACCCCCTTCCTCCCAGGCTGCGGTAGAGATGACATGAAACCATTTATGCAAAAGCTCTTTGTAAGCTGCTAAGTGCTGGGCAGATGTTCCTGCAGCTGTGAGTCAGGGATAGATCCCAGCTCTGGGGCCACCTCGCCCACCCCCTCCCAGACCCAGGCAGCTGTGGGCTCCATGAGGCTCAGGGATGCTCCTAATCGGGCTTGCCTGATGTTTTCCCACGCTTGCGCTAGGTACTTCTGCACCTGCGGAAGGACAGCTTCCTCTTTCTGGTGGCTCTGATGGGAAAAGCAGGCTCAGTCAGGTGCCAGTTCCCAAGAGGACCCCACCCACCGCCACCCCCAGCACCAGGAAGGGGCAGCCAGGAGAATCGGGCTGCGGGTGCACATGGGGCCGTAGGGAGGCTGGTACAGGCCCCGCCTGGAAAGACACAGCCCTCCCAGGTCCAGAAAGTCGTGCTCACTCCAGTTCATCTGTCTTTCCATTCAGCCGTATCCCTGGGCTCAGCCTGCATTTGAAGAGCACTTTGTTGTTGCTTAGTCACTAACTCATGTCTGACCCTTTGCAACCCCACGGACTATAGCCCACCAGGCACTTCTGTCCATGGGATTTCCTAGGCAAAGGATACTAGAGTGGGTTGCCATTTCCTTCTCCCGGGGATCTTCCCGTCCCTGGGATTGAATTCATGTCTCCTGCATTGGCAGGGAGATTCTTTACCACTGAGCCACCTGGGAAGCCCTCACAGAGCCCTTCAATTCAGTTCAGTCACTCAGTCGTGTCCGACTCTTTGCGACCCCATGAATCGCAGCACGCCAGGGTGTCCTCCCTGTCACCAACTCCCGGAGTTTACTCAAACTCATGTCCATCGAGTCGGTGATGCCATCCAACCATCTCATCCTCTGTCGTCCTCCTCCTCCTGCCCCCTCCCAGTCCCTCCCAGCATCAGGGTCTTTTCCAATGAGTCAACTCTTTACATGAGGTGGCCAACAGTTTCCACTGTTTCCCCATCTATTTCCCATGAAGTGATGGGACCAGATGCCATGATCTTAGTTTTCTGAATGTTAAGCTTTAAGCCAACTTCTTCACTCTCCTGTTTCACAGAGCCCTTAGACGTAGTCACATAACAAGGCCCTGCAGAAGAAAGAGTGAGGGTTGAAAGTGATGCCCCGAAGCCAACCTGACGTCTTCACGCTCTGACCTTGGGAACGTCACCCTGTGCTTCAGTTTCCTCCTCTGTAAAATGGGATCTGAACAGGACCAAGTCTCAGGGTTGTGAAAGGTGTAAATTTCTCAGCGGCAGCCCTCAGTCCCCGAGGGTTTGCTATTATTATCAAGGAGAGGCTGCGGAAATGGGTGTTTATTGAAACTGCATTCATTCAAGCAAAAAGCATTTAGGGAGCACCTCTGTGTGCTGGTGCTGGGACGCTCAGCCCTGGCCCTCTGGGGGCCCTGAGGATGCTGTGTTCAGGTGTGGTGAGGAGGCCGGCAGTGGCTGCTCCGTGCTGAGTGTGGGAGCCTCTTGTAAAACCGCTGCAGCAGCAGGTGGGGTGCAGGGCTGCAGAGACCCGGTGGGCCCCACCGGCCCGGCCTCACCACACCCACACCTCGCCCCAACCCCGCTCGTGACTCGGCGGATTCCCGGGGTGGGGCGCCGGGGTGGAGCAGGACCTTAAATATAAGGCCTCCGGGTCCTCCCCACTTCCTGCCACACTTGAACTCCGCCGAGGCCTCCAGTGAGTAGGGTCTCGACCGGGCGGGTGGAGGCGCAGGCTGAGCCACCCTGCTCTCCGGGCGGCCTGAGCGCCGGGCTGCCAGTCCCTGGGGGTCCTTCCTCCTGCAGCGTCCTGTCTGTCTGCCTATCCTAGTGCCGCCCTACACCATCGTCTACTTCCCGACCCGAGGTGCGGCCGCTGCTCCCTTAGGAGGGCGAAGGGCCCCGGCAGGACGCGCAGACTGGACAGCGCCCGAGGCGGAGGCGGGACCCCGGGGCGGCGGGGCGGGATCGCGGGCTCGGGTCCCGCCGCGGAGTCGGCTGTCGGGGCGGGGGCCCGCGGGCGGTGCGCTCTATTCCTTCCTGGGGCGAAGTGGGCTGGGCCTCCACCCCTGTCCCCCTGGCCCAGACGCTGTGGGGGCCCACTCTGTATCCTCAGCTCATCTTCTCAGCGGGCTCAGAATCTAGTCTGTGTCCTGTCTCCGCATCCAGCTCCCATCCACTCCTGACTTCCCCAGGGGGCTGCTGCGAGGCTGGGCTCTCTGCCCACCCCCACTGCCCCGTCCTCCCCTCCCCCAGGGCGCTGCGAGGCCCTGCGCATGCTGCTGGCCGACCAGGGCCAGAGCTGGAAGGAGGAGGTGGTCACCAAGGAGAGCTGGCTGCAGGGTCCACTCAAGGCCTCCTGCGTGAGTGACGGCGCCCAGACAGGTGGGGCAGCCCTTGAGGAGGGGGCACCTAAGCTCAGTGTCCCTCACCAAACCGTGCCCCCCCCCACCCCCAGCTGTACGNGTGCCCCCCCCCCACCCCCAGCTGTACGGGCAGCTCCCCAAGTTCCAGGACGGAGACCTCACCCTGTACCAGTCCAATGCCATCCTGCGACACCTGGGCCGCTCCTTTGGTGAGTCCCGAGGCTGAAGGCAGCCCAGTCCAGGAAAGCACCTGAAGGGTCCCACCCAGATGTCCCGGGATCCGGTCCTACAGCTGGGGGACGGGCCAGATGGCCCTTTGGGAAAGGGCAGGGCCTGGGTTAGGAGGGCTCTAGGTTACAGAGCTGGGGTCTCCAGTCCCCCCCAGGGGCAGGGGCCACATGGCTTGTGCCGGCAGCCCTCCTGGGTTCATTGCTTCCTGGATGACAGCTCAGAGGTGGTCACTGGCCCCCACATGGTGCGTGCTGCTGTAGGCTAGAGTCACTGTGGGTGTGACCAGAAGCTGAAGGCCGGTCTCCTCCTGCCCGGGCCTCACCTGAATCTGGAAAGCTGGGGCACTCAATGAGCAGGCCCGTGGCCTTGTTTCAAAGGTGGCAGGAATGTGGCTTGGGGAGGTGGCTGCCTCTTTTTTGGCTAGCTTGTGGGAAGGGGATCCCACATCAGGGAAGTCAGGGAAGGGGAGTGGGAGCAGCCAGGCCCAGGCCCACCCTGACTTCGGTGAGACCCAGGCGCCTGGGCTCCTGCTGGTATGTTCCTTGGGCTTGTGGAGATGGGAGTGGCAGAATTGGGCAGAGGGCATCCCCCAGCACAGGGGACCTGGGTGCCCAGACCTGAGGGCTTCAGGTTTGGGGGGAGAGGGGAGCACTGAGTGGGCGGGATGCCAGCCCGGACAGAACGTGACCCTCCGCCCGGCCGCTGATGCAGGGCTCTACGGTGCAGATGAGCGGGAGGCAGCACTGGTGGACATGGTGAACGATGGCCTGGAGGACCTTCGCAGATGCTGCAGCCACCTTATCCACCACAAGCGTGTAAGCCGTCCAGGCTGGCGCTCAGGGCTGGGGTGGGGAGACCGCACAGGGCCAGGCCCACCACAGACCACCACGGGCATCACTTCCTTTTGCAGGAGGCAGACAAAGCCCAATATGTTCAGGAGCTGCCGGCGCACCTGAAGCCTTTTGAGACCCTGCTATCCCAGAATCAGGGGGGTCAGGCCTTCATCGTGGGTGACCAGGTGAGCGCTGGGTCCAGCCATCGGAGGCCCATTTCTCAGATGGGCAAACCGAGGCCCAGAGAGGGCCTGTGAACTGGCTCCCTGGAGCAGCCAGTGTTCTGCATGCCCCAGACGCCTGCCCTGTCTCCTGATCCCACTCAAGCTCTCCCGCCCCCTGCCCTGCAGATCTCCTTCGCCGACTACAACCTTCTGGACCTGCTGCTCAATCATCAGGTGCTTGTCCCCGGCTGCCTGGACCCCTTCCCCCTGCTCTCGGCCTATGTGGCCCGCCTCAGCGCCCGGCCCAAGCTCAAGGCCTTCCTGGCCTCCCCGGAGCATGTGAACCGGCCCATCTTTGGAAGCCGCAAAATATGAGCCCAGCCTCCCCCGGGAGAGGGACTGCCCTTGAGACAAATAAACACAGTGAGAGGGAAGCTGTGCTGTGGTTACTGAGGGCCCGGCTGGCCGCTGGGGAGCCCCAGCCCTTCCCAGACTGTCTCTAAGAGGATGAGGGCTGGGCTGGGCCTTGAAAAAGCTCCATGCCCTCAGAGCTGCCAGGACACAAAGAGGAGTTCCAAGTCCAGAGAGGAAGATGAGATTCCACACCTCCAAGATCCACCCTGGAGGGCTGCCTGCAGGAGGGGGTTGACTCTCCCAGGGCCGCGGCAACCTGGGAAGCATCTCCATCGGAGAGAAGGGCCAGCGTGTAGGGGACGCGCAGTTCCTGACCACTGTGTGATGAGCTCCGTCACCCAACACAGGCAGGGTGACCGGTCTCTGCACCCTCCGGTGCTGTGCACACGTGTCACTTGGAGTGACACACACACTCGAGTGTTTCACACGCGTGTCCATGTTGCCCGTTCTTGGGTGTCACCCACAGTCACCCCCAGGCAGTGTGGCAGGTGGCCAGCAGGGCCCAGGTATATGGCTGAAGACAGACCTGGGAGTTCTGGGCGTGCCGTGCTCCTTGGGGATGGGGGTGGGGGGGTGGTTCAATGTTCTCCTCCAGCTCCTGGGACCTCTGTCAGCTCCTCCCCCCCAACTGTGGGAGCACGCCACCAGCTGTCCGGTCCCAGCCCAACTCTCCTTCCTGCAAGGCTGTGACTGCTCAGCCTGTCCCGGCCCTCCTGGTGCTCCTCAGACAATGTGCAGGCAGATAATTCCAGAAGGCCTGCATTCCCAGCACAGAGCTCTCATGGTTCCTCGCTGCTCTCCAGGCAGAGTCCTCAGAATAATGAGCCTGCCGGGCCTTCCTACATCAGAATTCTCTGGTTTCCAGAACATTCCCCACCCCCAGCTGCCTGGTTCACCCTTAGAGCTGCTCTCTGCTCTCCAGGTAGCCCAGCTCTCCTGCCCCTCCCCGCCTTTGTCCGGCTGATGACCCACTTCCCCGCCACACCTCGCCTCCCTCACTTTCCCCGCCACCCCCCACAGTCATGCCCCTCAGCCCTCACCTCCCTGCCCCTCTTCGGCCAGGTGCCCTGGACACTTCTGCCTCTCTGCTCTGTGGGGTCTGGCCGCCCAGTCGTCTCCCCTCCAGCCCTCCCCGTGAGGTCAGAGACTGGATCAAGTTCGTTTCTGTCTCCCCTGGCCCCAGGTAGGTGCTACTGACTCACCTTTGTTGTTGCTCAGTCATGTCCAGCTCTTTTCAACCCCATGGACTGCAGGACGCCAGGCTTCCCTGACCTTCACCATCTCCCAGTTTGCTCACACTCATGTCCGTTGAGTCGATGATGCCATCCAACCATATCATACTCTGTCACCCGCTTCTCCTCCCACCCTCGATCTTTCCCAGCGTCAGGATCTTTTCCAGTGAGTCGGTTCTTTTCATCAGGTGGCCAAAGTATTGGAGCTTCAGCTTTGGCATCAGTCCTGCTAATGAATATTCAGGCTTGATTTCCTTCATGATTGACCGGTTGGATCTCCTTGCTGTCTGAGGGACTCTCAAGAGTCTTCTCCAACACGACGGTTCAAAAGCATCAATCCCTGTGGTGGTGGTGGTTTAGTCACTAAGTTGTGTCCAACTCTTTGCAACCCCATAGACTGTAGCCTGCCAGCCTCCTCTATCCATGGGATTTTCCAGGCACGAATACTGGAGTTGGTCGCCATTTCCTTTTCCAGAGGATCTTTTGAAACCAGGGAGCGAACCCAGGTCTCTTGCTTTGCAGGCAGATTCTTTACCATCTGAGCCACCAGGAAAGCCCATAAACTCCTTTAAGATGCCACAAGCCAGGATTCGAACCTGGGCTCTCTGGTCCCGGAGCCTGCGCTTCTAACAACTCTCCCAGCTTGCACTACTATTTTTTTACATCCTGGCCCAGGGTGACTGCAGTTACCAGGTGCCCTGCGAGCTGGTAACTCTGGTGACCCCTTCCCCCACTCAATTATATGGAGACAGGAGCCCTAACAGGTTGGGCTTCCAGCCTTTCAGGGTCGGGGTGGAAGTGGAACTGGTTCCAGTTTAAAGACTGGATCAGGAACTTCCCTGGTGGCACAGTGGACAAGAATCCATCTACGAATGAAGGGGACACGGGTTCGATCCCTGGTCCAGGAAGACTCCACATTCTGAGGAGTAGCTATGTCTCTCTGCCATAATTACTGATGCCCACACACCTAGAGTCCGTGCCCTGATACAAGAGAAGCCACGGCAGTGAGAAGCCTGTGGACCGCAGTGAAGAGTAGATCCCACCCTCGACAATGAGAGAAAGCCCGTGTGCAGCAACAAAGACCCAGTGCAACCAAAAATAAATAAAGAGTTGCAGGGGAAAAAAGGGGGAGGTGGTGGTGTGTAGAACTGGAACATTTAAAGCCTGTTGATTGGATTTGCTCTCCAGCTGGGGAGGAGGGACAAGCAGTTACGGACTCAAAACGCCAGTCCCTGTGGGTGCTCCCAGTCCTCAACCAGCTGCAGTTGGGTCAGAAGAGGCGAATAAAGGGCTTGATCCCAGTTCCTGCAAGGATTAGCCCTCTGGTGGCAGCTCTGGGACTCGAGAGTCTCCCTTCCTGGGGTGTTAGCCCAGGGAGGTTGGGGGTGAGGGGTTCAGGGAGTCAGCCCAGACCTCGGAGGTAGAAGCCCAGCCTGCTATGGGGCCTAGAGTCCAGGTCTCGGCCTCTGGGCCTTGCTCAGCCGCCGCTCCAGAAGCCCTTCCCAGGCTCGCCTCTGCCCTGCACCGCCTTCTCCCGGCTCTGTCAAGGTCCCAGAAGGCTCTAGCTTGGGCCCCACTCCCCACCTCCAGCCCATCCCCCCGAACCCACTTGGGAAGCCACCTGAAGACTCTTCCCAGCCCTGGAGGTTGGAAGCCCTGGCTGCCTTTCCCTTACTCTCTCTGGGCCCGTTTCCTTTCCTGACGTCACAAAAAGCCACAGTGTTTACCAAGCACCTTCTGTGTGCCAGACACTTAGTGGCTCTTAAAACTTCCATTTTACAGATGAGAAAACTGAGGTCAGAGCTGGAATTTGCACCCAGGCAGACTGACAGCCTAACCTACATTCTTTCCCAAAGAGCCCCAGCAAATGCTTTCAAAAGTGCTCTGCACGAATCTAGCCTTCAACAGAGTGGTTATTTGCAATGTTAATGTTAGTGAAATGTTAAATATCCTGATTGCAATCAAAAGGGAGCCACAGGAATTTTAGCAGCCGGAGTACAGGTCATGTTCAACCACTGGCCTGCTTTGTGGTTTGCTATCAAGGCCGAGAGGCTGGAAACCAACTCGGCAAACATGTGGAGATGAAACCAGGGTGAGCACGAACGACTGGGAGGAGCCTCTCATGACCCTATGGAGACGTTTACCCTCAAGAACTGTTGTGTTTGTCCAGAAAGTGCTTTTGGCAGGAAAACTTGAACTCCAAATCTTCCTCTTGGAAGACTTTCCACCGGGGTGGGGTGGGGAGCCTATACAATCTCCAGATGGGATTTTCCACAAAGTCAGGAAAATAGCCCAGGATCCCGCGAGC